TATTATTTGACGCTTTCACTTCACAAATTATTTTGTTTTATTGTCATCACACGCAGAAAAGATGGTTTTGCACTGATAGTATCTTTAAGTTATGTTTGTCACTTTTGTATTTGTTTGGTAGGTGAATTTTTAAAAGCTCATTTGTTCTTCAACACATCAAGACTTGGTGATGTTTACATATTGCCCATAGGTTTTATTTAAAAATTTTCCATTTTTCTTTAGATTATTTTCACTTAAATATATTTAAACTTGATGTAAATACGGACACATGTTGACACTTGACAGTTGCACAGTAGCGTCGCCCACTCACCAGAAGTGACAATGCAAAAATTGTGAAAATGCAAAAGAAAATCGCATGAAAATTTGAAAATTCGCGTTTTTCCAGATATAAGACTAATCTAGATCGATTTATCGCCCCCGAAACCCCGTGTGTGCTAAATTTCATGAAAATCGTTGGAGCCGTTTCCGAGATTCAGATTATATATTGATATATATATATATACAAGAATAGCTCGTTTAAATATATAAGATATGTAAGTACATAGACAAGCGGATTCAAAGGGCGTATTATATAAAAGTTTTTACAGAATAGTAGGTAATATTGTTTTCCTTAAATTTTTACCTATATATATATGTAGGTAATAATTTTAATTTTAGTAACTTTGAATAAATGAGCATTTTTGTCGAAAAAATATTGTGTATCTTATACGAAAAATAGATAGGTAACTCGTAAACAAACTCGTAAACGTTGTAATGTTTACTAATAAAAAGTGATAAAATTTTACGCTAGTAGATGGCGTGCCTCGACGTGACAGTTGGCATCGGTGGCTAAAGTGGTAGTTACCGCTGAGTCTGCGATAAACCGCCGTGAATGGGGCGGGCTAGCGTTTTCCATTCAACTCACCCATTCATGGAAACTCGTAGCCCCGTTAATGAAAAACGCTCTCATTTATCGTCGTTATCGATGCGCGGCTCTCGCCGTGACGTTTACTCACGTGGCTCACATTAATTCCATTCAAAAGGACTATCAATGATAAGATTACGGTACGTTTCGTTATCGATTCCTACCATCATTAGCATAAGTTACAATTACAAGAATTAGATATGTAACAGCGACTGATATTTGCGAAATTGTTTTTGTAATTATCTTTACGGGTGTGCCTCACAGGGCAATGGCCTCGATAATGTTATGTTTGCAATTATTCATTCTCAACTAATTTTGGTTTAGCGATGAATTTACATGAGGTGCTTAGATTTCACTTTCGGCTTAGCACTAGTTAGACTTAAGTCATAAACTTTAGATATCCAATTTATGGACACACACACACACACATTTTTTACTTGTACTTTTCACGTACATTTATTTAAAAGCAGGCAAGTACCTAAAAGATTCTAGTGGGGTAATGTATTGTTATTACGCATAACAATTTTGAATCTAAAAACTTTAATAATCCAAATTACTGTGTGCAACAAGCTTTGAACGAGATAAAGTGGGTGAAGACCTCAATAAGAACCTGTCACTATGCTTTTTACGTAGGAGGGAACCTAAGGAATTGCATAATGCTGGCATAATAAACATTATTTTAATAAATATTCTAAATTCTTTTAAAAAGGAAACCTCGTTTACACCAACATACTACTATGCCACGATATTGGTTCCGGGGTGAACTCCGAAATTTCAAACTACTTATCCCATCTTAACGTATTTTTTTCAAAATGTGTGATTTATTGCAACTTAAAAGATGGGATCGTTTTTATCCCGATTATTTCCTTTTTTTATTGCAAATTTAACGATTATCCAAATTTATTATTGTATCAGACCTATCTGCGTATCGTTTCTAAAATATTCAATGAAAACTTCTTGCCTTGGTTTCGAAAGAGTGCGCTACGCACGAGTGTGGAAACAGCATAATGACTCCATGTACTCGCTATTGTGACTGCAAAGCTAACATAACATGCGTTTCCTCAGGTAACCATAGATAGTGTTATTCAAAGATTCCCGTTTCACTCCCACGACCTAGTTTTATGTTGTGTGTTACTGTCGACGTGTCGAGTTGATGATGATGGTTGTTTTTGCATCAACAATTACTTACAGTTTGTTGCAACTAGCTAGTTTCTCTCGTAGTCCAATTATGAATTTGTGGGAGTGTTCAACGTAATATTGCTACAAGGTCTTTGTTTGGCCCTAACAATCGCCATAATCTTTCCTCACCGCAACAATTATGGATGTTATGAAGAGTGGCAATTTAGTCAGAGCGTTTAAGTGAAAGGTGCGCGTGTATACGGACTTTCCCTAACGTGTATTAATTATTTTTTAAATGACCTTCAATATCCCTAACAGTAGGTACCTAGATATATTTTTAAAAATAAACTTTTTGTAATGAATAAAATTATATACAAGTTACTAAGTAGTAAGAAATACTAAATTGGTAGGTATATCGGTCGTGGTCAAACAAAGCTAACCTAGTTTATTTACTCTTACAATTTTTTGCTAATAATCCACTACTACTATATATACAACTAGCATTGCCCGCGGCTCTGCCCGCGTTCAGATGACCAAAAACCAAATTCTTAGGTTTTACATATTAGTATACTCTTACATTGCAATTTTTGTATTTTTTCTCAGAAATGAGTTATTTTCCCGCGGTAAAAAGTATCCTATATTGACCCGGATACCCAGCTATCACCATACCAAATTTCATCAAAATCCCTCCAGCGGTTTGTCCGTGATGCGGTAACAAACAGACAGACAGACAAAAAATCTAAAAACTATTGATTCATCCACTGTATCGAAAATAATGTCTATTTTAGTAAGATTTTCCAGAAAATATTTAATGTACAGATTCGGCTTAGTTAGAATTTTATTATATGTATATATAGATATATATACATATATGTATAATATTTATTTTAAAAACTTCAATATAGCTTAATTTAACAATTATTGATTTAATAGAAATGTGGTGTGCTCATAAATAGAAACACAACAACAATAGATAAAACTATTAATAACTTATAAATTAATCGTACACTTGTATTATTAAGATATTATGTTAGCTTGATTCATTGAATCCATATAAAGTACTCTCTACTCTACTACTCTACTCTACTTGATAAAATTAATGTCTGACAGTGACATAAAAAGCATAAAATTTCGCAAAAGAGTTTCATATGTAACGAAGGTGAACTTTCCGGAAGTATTTTTATAAAATCATCCCATAAAGGGAATACGGGGATATATTACGTAAGTTTGTCTGGAAGATTGTTGAAGTTCCGCCATAAAATCACTGCTTGTAATCTTTGAAAATACCACGTTTTATTCATTGAGTGTAGCTACTTAATTGCAATATCCATAAGTGAACGTGTGGTCAACGGTGTCACTTATGGTTTGAGGTATGCCGCTCAATACCTTGCCTTGCTTTGCCGTATAAAGCTATATCTTACGAGGTCGCGGTGTATAAACTGTTGCGCAATCTATAAACTTGCAATTTAATGCTATTATTCAATACCTACATATATTTACAAATAATTTAACATAAGTTACGATAATACAAAGTACGATAACGACATTGATATGATATTGAAAGTATTAAAGCAACATTATTAAAACATCTACATTAAGTAATGTTTTGTTAAAGATTTAGGTCCTTCTTTACTATATTGTGACGTAATTTAACTTAAAACTTTAAAAATCCCTAGAATGCAGATTTATACAAGACTGTGCAGTAAATGGTAAGACTATTGCAGTAGATAACAGGGAATATATTTTTTCAATATGGTTTCAAGAAGTCAAATTATGCTTACTGTCAAATAATGATTTTATACGAATGTATGTAGTATGTCTAGAAATTAAAAACTGTCATATTATTATCTTAATACTTCTCTTTAGCAATCTATATATAATTCAATTTTTGCTAATTTTGTGAAGACCTAATAAAAGCATTCCACATTATATTATGCGTATGAGAAGAAGCTTATATGTATATACTTAATCTCTTCTTTTTTTATTTCTAATCATAATACTGAAAGGTAATAATATCATTATTTAGATAGTTTTATTTAAAATGTTAAATATTCACATAAATATATGAAAGTATCATTACATAAATAAAAATTATATAATATTAAATAATTTTTGTTTTCGTCATGCACTTTCCCGTACGGGAAAACAGAAAGAGAGTCACCTTAGACACCATATCTTATTCAAGTATTGTATTTAATGATTTGTACAGTCATATATGGTAAAAGATAGTTAAAACTCAGAATGAAACGGAATACGTTATAAGCTAAGCTAATAAGCTTGTGTAAAAGATCACAAAATGTCCACAAAAATCAGTTTTTGTAAATATCTTTTCATTGAAGTCATTACAAAAATTGTAGAACATGAAATTCTCTACAAGTCTAAGCTCTGTTCTCGCTTTCTCTAAATAACTGTTGAATCCTATAAAATATTGCCAAATACTGAATTAGGTTATGGTTATGCTTATTGTCTCTCATTTAGAGGGTAAATTCCTATTTGACTGGATTGTAACTGGTAATAATTAATTTACCAAACTAAAATGCGCTCGAGCTTTCCCTCTTTTTTAGCTTTTATTTACTTGAAATCCAACTATAAATAATATTTTTTTTAGAATTGTAAAATTGCGATTTAAGTACCTTACACCTAGGCAATTTTAAATAAACACTTTAGCAATTAAAATCAAACATGAAATAAATTTTGACAGTTACAATTGTTTTTATGCCAAGGTAGGTACTAAAAACGTAAATGATACGATGACGACACGCAAGCTTAGGCTTTAGGCAAGTCAATGTCGCGTGAAACAGATACCTCGTTAGGTACAGAACTTATTGTATTTTATATAAATTATAAAGGCATGAATTAAATGGTTGGTTCAATTATAATTTTTAGGAAATTATAAAAAAAACGTGTAAATTTAATAATAGGTGTAATAAAAATTGTAACCATATAAATAATAAATCAAAAATTATTTCTTTCCTAGGAGAAGCAAAGAATCTACCAGCTCGAAATAATGGCGCCGCCTGTCATCGTGACATATACTGCGTGTTGTCACTCGACCAAGAAGAAATATTTCGCACTTCCACCATGGAGAGGACACTTAAGTGAGTAATTTTAATATTTACAACTTATCCCTCCACGACCGCGGAGACGCCGGCGTTACAGTTAACAATAGATTTCTTAGAAAATTAATTAATTTCTTAGAAATTTTACCTCGATGTGTTAAACACAACATAAAAGTAAAAACACGCAAGAATTACCAATTTGAACATTTTATCACAAAATATAAGTATTGTTGGTGTTGTAGTTCGCATGTGACACATTGTTATTAGGTACTTATATATAATAAATATATTAAATTACTATTTACATAGTCTATAAGGGTCTCTTTGTAACGCTTCCGGACGAATTTCCTGTACTATCGGGTGGGAAACGTTAGAAACGTGAAGTATATTTTAGGGCGCAAACTAGAGTGGGTCAAGGTTCGCTTCGTTGTGAATGGTCGCTATATACTTATGTATGCTGTAGACAATTATTACAATCCTGGCTTATGTGGATATATATCATGTATAGTAGAATTTGGCACACTAAAGTTTTCATACTTCCTAAAATATATGTCATATGCTATCGTATCTGGCTTTCGTCCATAACCTAATTTTTTTTATAATTTACTATTGGAAGTAAGTACCTAATTTGTATAGTTATTATATATAGGTACCGAAACTTTAAGCCTATCTTAAAAATCTACATATATTAGAGAAATCTTAATACAATATATTATATGTTTTGAGTGTAACACATTTGTTAATTCTATTTTTAAATTGAGATATCTTTTAAAGAAAATATTTAAAAAAAATGTTTTACGCTTGTAAAATATTATGAAGTCTGCTTTAAAGTTATGTCTAAAGAAAGGAATAAATAATAATATAAAATAGCACATTAAGGTCGTGTCACTCGTATGTATGTTTCGCCCCAAAAGTCTATGAAAAACATTACATTTTATATAAAAAAAAGTGATTGACTAATTGTATATTTAAAACCATTTAAAACGATGTTGGATAAATTTGGAAAGGGAGGATTTGATTTGGGAAGCTTGGGAAGGGCGGTGCGGTGTCGCGCCACGTCCCGGATGCGTTTCCGGTGCTTGTGCGTCGGCGCGGAACGTCCCTTCCGCTATACCCTCGCCATTCGGTTTTTTGAATGAATGAGACGGTTGCCCGCTTTCGTACCACTTGGGCTACTGAGATTTTTGTTGAATAAAATACAATGAGTTAAGTTCTATAAAACCCCACAATTATGAATTATGACACAGCGTAATGCTTTTTTTACTGATTTGTAGCCGTTTTTGTAAAGATTTATAAACAAATATAAACATTTTACCTAAAAATAAGTGCCCACCTATATTACAGTTTTAGACCAATTAAAAAGGCATTTTAATAGTTTTAAAATCTTAGTCATTGTAGTATTATCTAATTTTTATACTTATAATATTTATTAATTAATCGGGCGGAAGCAATATAATGATTAATTGGATAGTGACCTCCGGAGGTGAGCAGGACGCTGAGCGGATATCGAAGGAAACGTCACGTCACTCATAGAGACTTAATGGGTTCTTTGTCTCGTGATACCTTATCAGCTACGTTTTCCAATGCCCAACTATGCAACACTGTACTAATATATAATGTTGGTTACAATGTAAACTAAGAAAGCATATACAATATACATATGTTATGATATCGTAACATTCATTGATCTTTATCAATTTACACATTAATCATAAAGTAGTAAATCAGTATAGGTACCTACATTATTTCTACTAAAAATCTACATCAATCCAGTACTCGCTTTAGCTAAAAATACGGCAAATGCATGAGTTTAACCCTATATATAACTGGAATAGCTCATCCTATGAAGTCATTTCCAGAAACCGTTTCGACTCGAGGACGTTATAAAAACTAATCCTTTCAAATCTAGTAGTGCCGTTGCATTAGCGGAAGCTTTTAAGTGATAAATTGATGCCGGAACCTCGTGGCGCGTAAAATGATCATCGCTGCGTCAAAACGGACGGTCGGCGCGGGCAGCCGACGACTTAAGTGCATTGCTCTGTTCCACGTATTGATCGTCCTTTTTTATTATTATGACCACGCTAAGAGGTACTGTAGCCTGTAGGTGTGGTATTTTTTGCTTTTAAACTTTACATTGCATGAAAAAGATGCATAGCTTTGATTAGATTACTACTTTTTAAAATACTGAAAAAATACAGTTTTGTGTCAGTCTCCTTTAGTTGAATAAACTAATTTTTAAACTGTCAAAAATTCTCTACTTAAGAGCAGCAAAGAAAATTAAGAAAACAAGTTTTTCATAATCTCTACTATAAAAATAGATCTTCAGAACCCCTTTCTACAATATGTTTAACCATTAAAATTCTATCGTAGTTTTTGAGTACAAAATACGAATGAGAGAGCGCATATAATACGCCGCCTCCTCTCAGCTGGTGGCTGTTCCGCCTCCGGTTTATAAATATTAGTGCGGCGCCGGATGTACACGCGAGCCTGCTTTATTGCAGTGATGTTTTTTGTTTATTGCAAAACTATTGGGCGAGCATTCCACATATTCTTAACATTAATTATTCTTCCACGATTCTTAACTTTTTAGTTATTCTACTATATGTTTCTTTAGAAAACTTAATATGATCGCATCTATTCGTTATTAACAATTTCTGAAAATAAAACAATGTTATTCATTTATTATTCGTATTCGGATTTTCGGGTCCGGAAGAGCCCGGTTCTGTGGAAGGCTTGCGTGGGGACACAGGTCTAACACGTAGGGCCCCTTAAGAGATTCAAGTTTGTTCAATATGACGCATAAGCCGGGATCCATCTCTGAGTAACCCATAGGGAATTGGCCAAAGATGGATTCCAGATAATGCGTAGGGACTATGGAAAATATGGAAAATTAAATAGGGTTATGGAATGGAGTTAAGATGAGTTAAAAACTGGGCTATTTGATGAGACTACCGAACGTCGTCCGCCTCAAAAGTCTCAGAATGAATATTTGGCGCTCGGTGACTCGCCTCCTACTAGATGGGCCCACACAAAGCGGCACAGTGCCTTGAGCGCAACGTCGGCGTGGTCGGTTAAGGGTGTCGGAAAGGTGTGCACCGGTTTCACCATCGCGAGAGTAATCGTGAGCGAGTTTCCCCGTCGTTACACAGATTCAGCACTTCCAACCTTTCGAGCACTTGGCTCTTGCGCTCTACTCTAGACAGCCAATGAAAGCTAGCCAGAGGCGGGGCACAGATCTTGTTTCCCCCGGCACATCTTAGGTCCGTGGTGTCACCACTCATCAACAGCTCGCCACAAACCACCCTGCGGGTGTATTATTCTTATTACTATGGATTTATTAGTATGCAAAGTCATGAATGTGCTACTACTAAATTTATTATGAGTAAAATAAACAATTCGTTATTTCTACATTGTTACGTTTGTGGCGTTAATTTTTATTATAATGTTTATGCATTTAAAATTGTGTGGTATGTATAATCACTCACACCAAAGACGAGTGTCAAAACTTTCACCTTTGTAGTGAACGATGCGAGCCCACGCAAATCCGTGCCACGATGATTATCATGTTCACATTGAAGGGATACATAGCCATAAGAATTCTCACTTGTTTGCTTTCTAATGCCTTTTTATTTAGAATAGTTATACGACATAGTCACACATAATGACACTAATAATGACTAAGATATATGTTACTAACTACATTACTATAATACTTTTAAATCTAAACTTCAAATCATACGATTAGTGATAATAATTAATTTTATTAATAAAGAATTTTAATCCGTTGAATGAGTGCCTAAATGTATATATAATTTTAGTACTCATTCCTCTATAATCAATTCAATTATATAATACATATATAATTAAGTAATTTCTATTTCGTATCGATTTAAACATTCTAATATTGGTACGGCTTTGTTTAAAAATTTTCATGTCATTGCACTCCTAACTAATATTTGATCAATAAAAATTTAGAACTAATCGTTAGGGACCAAATGAAAATAACGGTAAAATACATGCTATATACAGCTCTGTTAAAAGGCAGCAAAGCCATTTATATTTAATGCAAAACCTTTATCCATTAGTTATTGTAATAATAAATAAAGTGTAAATTATGTTGTGTTTGTTATTATAATAAATATCACACTTGTGCGACTGATAAGACTTAGAACTCTGTCAATTTATTCTTGACAACAGTCATCATCGTTTTGATATCGCTGAATAGTTAGTTATTTATTTTACATATATTTATAATATTTAAGTAAATAATTAAAAATACATTTTTTAAATTAAAAAACTCGTGGTCCCGTCGAGGACGGAGGAGTTTTTATAATTTTAATTAACGAACGAAGGAATTTAACGAAGAACTCTACTATTCTCCTTAGACATGGCTAACGCTGGCTAAACCTTAAGAGATACATCAAAACAATGTACCTACTTGAAAATAGCATGTCTTAAAAAGGTCTACATAAATGTGTTCAATTGTATATTATATTTATCTTCTAAGGTACACTGACAATAACAATTTTCATCTTTTTAAAATTTAAAGATCTTTAAATATTAAAGAATAAAAAAAAATGTCTTTAAAACGCACCTAGGGACGCACCCGAGCGAAGCGAGGGTACCTAAGACACTAGTCATACATAAAAGAATATCTTAAAGTTATTATACAGGTAAATCCTAAATACTTTGAACTTATGTTTTTAAAGTAAATTTTTGTTTCAGCCCATTTTTTGGCGAAGAATTTCAATTCGAGGTACCGCGAAGATTTAGATATCTATCCATATACGTGTTCGATCGTGACAAGCATCTCAAACAAGACAAAGTTCTCGGAAAAGTTGCAATCAAACGAGAAGACTTGCAACGGTACAACAATAAAGACCACTGGTTTGCATTGCGGCCCGTGGATGCAGACTCAGAGGTTCAAGGAAAGGCCTACATTGAACTCACACTCGAAGACTCTCGGAAACGTTTACGAATGGACCCAAAACCACCAGACCCGGACCCGCCTACGGACAACTGCTCGACGAAGACGAAAGCCAATAATCTCACTAGACTATCAGAATATTGTAAAGAGAGTATAAGGTTCGGGTCGGGTTCTAGCTCGACGAGTAAAAAGCATTTAAGTCCTGCAGCGACGGAGCCCTCGTTGGCCCTGTCGCGATCGGAAAGTTTAAAGGATCGCGCGCAATGGGCGGTACGGACGAAGCCCCCAATGCATGCGATGTCGGAGTCCGACGCATCCCCTACACCCACCGCCGCCGACTATTGGTCGGATCCAGAAAGACATTGTGCTGCGCGCGTAGGTCCTGATACCCTACGACTGCGAGTTTTAGAATGTTCAGAACTTACTACGAAAAACGGTCAGTGCGATCCTTTCGCTCTCGTTACTTTATTATATTCTAACGGTAGAAGGATCGAAAGGCGCACAAAACCCAGAAAGAAAACCGTTAATCCTCAATTCGATGAAATTTTTTGTTTCGATCTCGTAATGGAAGCCGATCCAAAAGATAAGGATGGTTCACAAACAGTAAGTATATCAGCAGAAAAAATGTATTTCGGAGTATTTTATTATGTTTCAAAGTATCACTTTCAATATTGTTTTTAGGCAGGAGTCGCATGCGAAGCAAGGGTATCGGTGTGGCACGAAGCGGCAACGCCAGTGTTCCTAGGTGAAGTGCGATTACAACTGCGGCAACCGGCGCCGGCGCCACTTTGTGCATGGTAAAATATTTATCGTAAATACTTGATGATAAGTTCTCGTGCATAGAAATAATGGGTAAAGTGCCAGATAGACACTCAACTTTTATCGATAAGATTATCAAAGTGTAGGAAAACAAATTCTGTAATGTTTCTTTAAACTGGACTTAACTAGCTTATTACTTCATACAAAATATGATACACTTATGCATGAGAAAAATGCCTGACAACGGAGTAAGCTATACCCATAACACACAGTCCGTTTATTGTGAAAGTGAATCTTTTGCTTCGACACATAGTAAAATTGTAACAGGGTCAAAATTGCACAATGCTCTCTGAAAAGTTAATGGTTAAAAGATATTTAGATTAAAATTTAATGTTAATTTTGTTTTTAAATTTTTATATCGCGATACTATCTCAAGAATGAATGATCTAAAAAAAGGTACTTTTTTGTTGCGCACAATATAGGTAGGTAGTGAATATTCTGAATGAAAATCATATATCAATTGCTATCGGTAGATTAAAGAGATAAATGAAATTATTTACGTCCTGGTTCTTAACGCTTCCATTTAAAGCGAAGGTCGTGGTCAGGTAGTGGTTATGGACTAAATAGTTGTCACTAGACACGTCAGTCAAGCCGCAAATAGAAGAACCTAATGAAATATAATACAAGCGTTTTCTGTATAAAGCTAAAAAATATTTTTATAGCACAGCACCCTTCCGTTACTTACATGGACACCTGAATTACTTGTTGTGTCTATGGTATCATACGATTCGAATACTACCATGTCAGAAACGATCTTTAGACATGTTCTCATTAATTTAACAAGTCACCAAAATTTCATCGCAATTGGATAAATGGTTTAAGATAGACAACACAACACATACATTTTTATTCGTATAAGTTAAATAGCGATTCACCTTCGCTTCGCTCGAGTGGGTCCAGGTCACAACAACCGAGTCGTTTAATCGTGAGGGAATAACAAACATAAACACAAATACAATCTATCACAACAATAATAGAAGTATATATATTTAAAATAAATGGTAAATGGTGTAGGTTTTTCCTAACGTCGCGCGCGGGAGGGGCACTCTCCCGTGGTGCTACGCCGCCAGGCACACGGCTCTCAGCGGCTGGCAGCGCCACCCTAGGCTCCCTAAGGCTACTACTCCAGTACACAGTGGACCACGTGTTTCCGTTGCACCACTACACACAACTAGAAGAGCTGTTTTTAAGAAGCGTACAACAGAAGGTGAGCGTGTTCTGTTTTAATAATATGTTGGTCGCTATAATGTTAAGAGCTGTATTTCTTACCATACGATATGACAACTAAAAATTGTTACTATCCCTCTGTCTTAAATTGTCTGTGGAAGTCCTGCTAAAATTGGTATTCTATTTGGTCTTCTATTTTCCCCTTTTTCCTACCAGAGTAGTCTCTCATTCTTACCCAAATTCTTCAGTCGCTTTGGAGATTATCTGCTACATTCATAAAGACAAATATTTATTTAGAAGCTCTATATTATTAAATCGATTTATGTAATCTAGTAAAACTAGTAGATTATTCATTATGGATAAAAATATAAGACTGTTATTAATATTTACAAATTAAAACATTTACTACAAGATTTAGACCTAAATGTTGTAGTAAATAAACCTAAAGGTTCTTGTTTAATAATTAAAATGTACTTGTAATGGAACGTACCTGTCATTATTTTTTTGTGATAATGATTCATAAGTATTGTATTATATAAGCAATTGATCGAAACAGTTAATAGTGCATGTCTTATGAATAATAATGCAGAAATATTATTAGTCATTATTATTATTGTTTGTTGATTTTTTATTATTTATTATTATAGCTGTATAAAAATAAGTTAATTGAGTTTGGTCTAAGAAATTATATACGCCTCGTAAGTTGACTCAACTTGGCACTGCTTACATAGTTTTAATCTGTATAGATGGCTTCGTTTTTATAATCTTTATTTAATTTTAATATTTATTCTCACCTTTCTCCTTACTAGGTCTGACAAACACTTATAAGAAAACAAAAATTGGTTCCTCATGAGATTCAATCCTGCGGCTTTTGGTAGGCACTTCCAGTCGGGCGCGTATGCTATGCCTATATCATGTCCCGAAGTAATTTTGTCACAAACTACTATCCAAATACTTTGTTATGAGATAAAAATTAGTCTCTGTCCCTCTGTGGCCTACACTTTTCCGACCTTCAAAATTACAAACTTTAGATATACCCAATTTAACTCACTTAGGATATAAATTCAAAAGTCCTTTTTTAATCCTCTTTTATATACCTATGTATGTATATGCATTATACTCTTCACTCTCTCAAGCGTCTCCAATTCTTCCTCCCTTTCACAACCAAGATTATGCTTTCTCAGTCCCTTCTTCTCCCCATACTCGACTACGCTGATGTGTGCTATTTAGATGTGACTGAGGAGCAACTCAACAAATTAGAGCGTCTTCAAAATCTCGCTATTCGTTTTATTTTTGGCTTGCGTAAGCATGACCATATATCAAACTTTCGTGCTCAACTTAAATGGCTCCCAATCCGCCTTCGCCGTGATATGCATATCCTTTCATTCCTCTTCAATATTCTTAATGATCCCAATTCTCCTTCATACCTTCGTTCTCGCTTCCAAATTCTCCCTACTCCTACTCGTTCCAGGCGGCCTTGCAATTACTGCGATGCTTGACATACCCAAGAGCAACATTAAGTTCTCTCTACAATCTTTTTCGGTGTATGCCGCATTGCTCTGGAACAAACTTCCGAAAGACATCCAATTAAGCCCCTCTATAACTGCCTTTAAAAAGAAAATAAAACAGCACTTTCTCACCCAAGTTATTCCACAATAATTATATTAACTACTATTATTATGCATTATATTATATAGATATGTATTTGTGTATGTAGTAGTATGTACATATATTTATGTATATAATATGTGTAATGTTTTGTTATATGTATATATAATATATATTTATTTAAGTATTTACATTTGAGTTACTGCACTTTAGCCTGCATTTTAATACTATCTCTCTAACTCACTTAGGTTGACTGGAAGAGATCTCTTCTAGAGATAAGTCCACCTTTGCTAACTAATTTTATTGTTTGTTACTCTCTGTATTTTACATATAAGTGCAATAAAGAATAGTATATATATGAAAGCGAAAGGTCTTACTCATTAAACTAAACGCGAATTCTCGAAAACGTTAGATACGAACGAATTTTGCTACAGGGCGAAGTAAGGGGGTCTAAATAAGTTTATATGAAAATCCTGTGTTTTTGCATTGCAGACATAAACATAAGTTATTCTGGCTAAACAAATTAACAGTATGAAAATCTATACTAGGTGATAATCTCAAAGGTCAGCAGTCAGGTCGGATGTAGTACCACGTCACCATAACTATGGTTATAACCGTCAACCCTAAAGCTGTTTCCCGACAGTCATACAAAAGTATGTAAGGAAGTCGGGAACGCCTAGCCCGCGTTCCATCTCCGATGGTTCCCTATCTAAATGACTTTGTTAGATGATTGTATGGATTAGTAGAATGTGATAGCAGTTTCCGTTTGTTAACTCTCCGTCCCCCGACAGCCGATCACCACGTCAGCGGTGTACATCCTGGGCGAGATTGTATCGAGTAAAACGGACGCGGCGCAGCCTTTGGTGCGATTGTTCACGCACCACGACCTCATAGTCCCCGTAGTGAAGGAGCTTGCCGATGCCGAGATATCTGTTCTCACGTAAGTGTATAATGTTAATTTTATTTAATTTGTAGTAATAATTTTTTTTTATTTTAATTATTTTCTTGATGGTGAGAATGGGCTATGTACATTAAAGTCTTGAATGGGCCTAATGTTTTAGACAGTTTATTTAAAATATATATTTTGCTAACTCTACATAGGTAGATTATAATAATTATTTTTGAAGTTTTCTTACAAAATATAACAACTTTACTATAATAAGTCAATAGCTTTGTTACATTTGACAGGAACAATATGTTGCTTTGGAAAGCTAACCTTTATTTTTTTAAACCATACTTGAAGAGTTCGAGATTAAATTAGTTATATGATATCTCATACGTTCAAAGATTTATTGCGTTGTCTCTGATTTTCAGTAAAATGAGTTATTTAACAAAATTCTTTTTTTTTCAAGTTTTTAATAAACACATTTATAGGTTTATAGGTATATAATATATTACTATTTAATTGGCGCTGTAGGGACTTGCAACATTGTAGAACTTTACGAGCAACTATAATAGGTTTATTTTTTAATTGATTCCAAGTATTGCAGAAATTATAATTACAATAATTAACACTCGAACATACTAAAAACTACATGATAATATTACACACATGTAATGTTTAGTTTTAAGACTATCTTGTATATTTGCAATTGCATTGGATACAACGTCACGTAAATAAATTATTGTTTAGTATCGGGTGGGTGGGTATAGGTGGTGCGGGTGATTATTTTTATATTAAGTGAAATCACTTATTTATAAATAAATAAAAATTTTGTGGCATGAGAAAAATTAATAGCATGAATGGGTTGGTATATCTGGCACATCTCTCCGAATTATTTTTATTTAATAAACTAGCGACTCACCCTCGCTCCGCTCGAGTTCGTTTCGTTCCTACTTACGTTTTAACGTTTAGTATAAAAAAAGTATCCTATATGTTGACCCGGATAATCAGCTATCATCATACCAAAATTTCATCAAAATCCCTCCTGTTGTTTTTCCGTGATGCGGTAACAGACAGACAGACAAAAATTCTAAAAACTATAAATTCGCCCTCTGTATCGATAATAATGTCTATTTCAATAATATGTTCCAAAAAATATTTTATGTACAGGTTCGGTTTAGTTACAATTTTATTATATGTATAGATTTACAATATTTACATTAATTTTGAACCCATATAGATAATATTTTTCGCATAAGTAGGTTTACATCGGTAGTAATTACGCGTACAGGGCCGAGGACGTCAACATTTTTGAACCACGTACATATTAAGTTAAAAATAAAAAGGTTAATTAAAAACAACATATGAATTTAAAAATGCTACATTTTAATATCAGCTCAAAAGAGATATCAAGATTATTATCAGATAAATATTGATGAGAACGAGATATAAAGATCACAAGATATTTTAAATAAACGCACACTTATCAAAGAGCCTGTGCTTTGTCATTGAATTGATCTTCTTTTCCAGGAGATAAAACTAATATAAAGTAATACAAAAAATATATATAGAATTTAGTTATTAATAATAAAAAGAATGAACCAATAAAATCAGGGCTTTATGTTGCGCTACTTTTAAATAAAAAAATAGTTAATTACATTATTGTGACATACTTAATAAAATTATTTCCATAATTAATATTTTATGAGATCGTCTTCGCAATTTTTGAAATTTGGCAACTTTTTCATAATTAGGGCAAGGTTTATAAATGTTTGTTTTTTTATGTACATAAATAGTTCGTATTTCCCATTATTATAATTATCATAATATAATCTATACCCACGGTCATAACTTTTGTCACTAAACTTATCGTCCCAAGACAAACATTGTCATTAAAATCTCGAATTTGATATAGAAACACTTTTTTATGGAGCAGTAATCATCTTATAATGATATCATTATGCGATGATTATCTCTTACAAGAAAACTCTTAATGTACAAAATTATAATTCATATTCGTGAAGAAATTGCCCCCACAATGCAATACGACGGTTTTGTGAGAATTTTGAGGAGTAGGTAATTTCGTTTATCGCAATATTACCTTGACCACGTTACAGATCCACGGCGTACCCATATATACATACGTACGTAAGAACATTTACGTTAGTCGTTAGTTTAGAATTTAATGCTCGATATATTTATACATTTTATAACAAAGATACCTACCTATACATATAAAAAGTGTTCGTAATGTAAAGTTGTAATATTTCAAATATGGTTTTTAGGTGGGAAATCGGGAAAGTTGCCCTGAATTTTGGCAATTCGGGAAAACTTAAAAAATATATATTTTAACGCTTTTTTCTATAATTTTGTTTGAAGTCAAACATGATAAACAGGAGTTAAAACGATGCATTTTTTTATATAGTCTCCGCTCAAGTTGAACCTAAAGCCACCACTTTATTGTGATAAAGATTAAACTAACTATTAATACCTAAGTACTACGTACTTACGTTTATATATAAATAACGTAAAATATCTTAAACATTTAAAACAAATATAACTTTTAAAAATATAATTCTTGTTCTGTTTTCGCAAAGATAACGCTCTCTTATCGAATATCGAGGCAATGAATGTTCTCAGTGGTCTCAACGTGCTCACAGGAAGTGAACGTAACGTAATAGCGTCGATAAACTTTATAAACATCGACACTGATATCACATAGTACTTTTATATATATATTTTTTTCAAATGTTTCTCAATATTTTTATCTATTTAGTAATAGTTTTGTCATTTTACAATTGGAATTTTGTCATGTTATACATATAAGAACTGAATTTAGCATATCTAATACTCTTTAATTATTTTAATTAAAAAACTAAAAATATACATACATATCAGTTATACTACATATTAAAAAAAATAACAACTTAACAATAAATGTAAATAAAATGGCTTCTGCGTTCGTCTCATATACCAATATTCAATAATATGCATTCTATAATGTGACGTTATATTTGATGAAAATATTATTAGACCAATCGGAATCCGTTTATTTTTAAGAGTATTTTTTATTGAAATTCTAAAATTTTATGATGTTAAAATGTTAGCAGATATATAAGGAATAGAAATTTGTAAAATGCCCCCGATGCCCACAAATGAGGGGACGCAAAGCGATGAAAAATAGTTTTATTTCGGGCTTACTGTGTGATCGAAATTTATTTTCTACAAAACTTGTAGGTCTAGTAAAAATCTAGAACTTTTATAAATAACACTTTACAATAATCTCAAAGTTTTCGAAATATTTGCACAAAACTTGGTTTTTAACTTTTTCTTGGTTTTTTATTTTTAATTTCAAGAATAATCTTTTGATTTTCATAAAACTAAGGGAATATAATCTTCAAAATAGAAGTAATAAATGAAGAAAAATGAAATTGAAATGTTTAGCTATTTCCGAGAAAAGTATGTTTTATGGTCTCAAGAGCCTGAAAATCACCCCCAAATTCAAGTGGACGTTATCATTTAAAAAAAGTTCGTTCAATTTTCAGAGAGGGCTCTTTCTTTTCGTCATGAACTCCATTTTTTGAAAAAATAAAAACATTGTATGGTCGTCCTGTAAAAACAACCTAAAAAATTTTTTAAATTGGAGAAATCAATAATTTTTATTTCATTAATTTACATAAACATTAATCTTTATCATTAATGTTAAAAACACTTAATTAACTATTGAAGGCTAACAAAAACCATGTTACAGCGACGCGACGACCATCTTCCGCGGCAACACGCTAGTGTCCAAGATGATGGACGAGGCGATGCGTCTGACAGGCGCGTCGTACCTGCGCGGCGTGTTGCGGCCCACGCTGGCCGCCGTGCTCGCCGAGCGCCGCCCCTGCGAGATAGACCCTGCGCGAGTGAAACCTGCGGCTGCGATCGCAGCTAACCTTGCCAACCTTAAGGATTATGTCGAAAGGGTAGGTTTTATCTTAGAATAATAATTCAGCTCTTTTAACGTCCCACTGCTGGGCAATGGCCTCCTCTCAATACGAGGGGCTCAACCTATAGATTACCACGCGAGCCAAGCACTGGTTGGCAGACTTCAGACGACTTTCGAAAACTAGTTATAGAAGATTGCACATTCATGTAGGTTACCTCATGATGTTTTCCTTAGCCGTATGAGAAATACAAATGGTAATCATGTTGAAAATGATTCAGTCACGGAAATGTCAGAAGTACAAGAGATAAATTGAACTCTCTTAACTTGGATATTCAAGTGAGCGTGTTACCAATGGGGTCGATTGGATCTTACTAAGATATAAACTCTTATTTACTTGTAAACTGCTCATCCAGACTGAATTTCAGTCACGGCGGCCAATCTCATTCAACTGGCTAGATGTGCAGGAGTTATATTGGGCATGTGCGCTAACGCTAACGCAAGTTCATACATAGTCTGTTCCTTTCATTCCCATGGTCGGATGGGGCGGCACTCCCACACTTGCATTGGGTGATCAGGCGCAGGATCGACGACTTACCGATTACTATTTTGTCCTGACCCTGGACTCGAATTCAAGATTTAGAGATCTACAGCCGATCATATCACCATCTAGACCAACGAGGCTAAATAAATATCGTGACGTGTAAAAATCACAAATATCCACAATTTTTTTCACTTAGCAAAAGTTTACGTACATCTCTGTATAGTATAGCTTCTTTTTGGTATAGTAAATATACTATCAAGCATAGATTATAATTAAATATATTTATGATAATCGAAATTAACATTTAAATGAATACATCCATTAAAATAAAGAAGAAAAAAACCGATAATAAGACTAATGTCAAAGAAAAGGTGGAGTTATTACTAATGTAAAACGTCAGTTGAAGTAATTGTGTATTGATTTTTATAATTCTTATAATAAATAGATTACACTTCAAGGCTGGTCCCATATAAATTAAAAAAAAACTGCTACTAAAGTGTGAATTCTTTACTTTTAAGGGATTTTGAAGTCCGTGGAATTTTTGTAGTTCAAAACATATATTTATTCTCACCGCCGTTGTTTGGGATAGAGTATGCTGGACTAATAAACTCGGACAAATCTATCTATAGGCATATAGCCGATACAAACGTTTGCCCGAGCGGAAATCGAGTCTTTGAACTTTAGTGAGATAATGTTATGTCGGCGCCAAATAAATTATTTGACTGCACTACACATATTTTTACTTTTTACAAAATGCCACTTATTTTTTGTAAAACATTATCAAATATAATCTCCTTTTTGAAGTTTCTCTTTCATACTGTCTTTTCTACATTTTAATTGATATTGGCAAAGTAAATTTTGTGACAGAAAAAGTATTGCAGTAATTTTAGTTTTCATTATTAAGAATTTTAATGTGTTTATTTAATATTGCTATAAGTAAACTTTCATATCGATAGTGTAACTCCGAGTCGCATAAGTCCAAAAGGAAACTGAAAGAAACATAAATATTATCGTTTGCTATTAATAAAATAGCAGTGCTACACTTTTTTGCTGGGGTTACAGTAGGTTATGTGTAACTCCATGTCACAAGTCGTATCTGTGTTCTGAATTTAATCTAAATCTGTTCAGCTGTTCAAGAGTGAAGGAGTAACAAACACACATACATACGCATATATACAAGCAAATTTTCTTATATACAACTAGCGACGGACCCTCGCTTCGCTCGGGTTCGTCCCTAGCTTGCTTCGCAATACAAATTTTCATCCCCATTTTTACCCCCTTAAGGGATGATTTCCGGGATCAAAAATATCCTATGTCCTTTCCAGGGTCTCAAACTATCTTCTTACCAAATTTCATCTAAATCGTTTCAGTAGATCCAGAGATTACTCCCTACAACGTCACAAACTCACAAACTTTACCTCTTTATAATATACCTCTTTATAATATTAACTAGCGGACCCGACAGACGTTGTCCTGTCTACACGTCTTTAATTTGAAAATTTCAAACTTCTTTTAATAATTTTTTTGATGAAAATTATTATTCAAATTGTGAATCTAAACCATTCCCAGATCCCCTTGAACACACACAAAAAATTTCATCAAAATCGGTCCAGTCGTTTGAGAGAAGTTCAGTGACATACACACTCACAGAAGAATTATATATATAAAGATATATTAAATATTAATTATTAATTATAGATGTAGTCTAATAAGATACCAGTGCTAACATTAGAGTACGGCCTTAGGTGTTCGCAGCGATCACGTCGTCGTACGCGCTGTGCCCGGCGGCCATGTGCCGGCTGTTCGACGCGCTGCGGCAGTGCGCGGCGCGCCACTTCCCCGCCAACGCGGAGGTGCGCTACTCCGTCGTGTCCGGCTTCATATTCCTGCGCTTCTTCGCGCCCGCCATACTGGGCCCGAGGCTGTTTGATCTCACCACCGAACAAATTGTAAGTTTGCCACGTGTTTTTTTTTTAGAAGTAAAACTTCTTTACGCACGCTTGACTTGGGGAGAAAACTGGTGAATGCGTTACAAGAGCGTTACGAAAAGCGTGATCGGGCGAGGCGAACGTTTGTTGCCATGGTAACCGTTGTTACTGTCTGATAAATTATATATAATATTATATTATTTCCTTAAATGATATTCTATCTCTCAATATGCATATATGATTGTAATATGCCTAATATGCGTTATTTAATTATTTTCATTAAAATTTATCATTCCTTTTACAAACAGAGAGTTGTGACATACGGGATGAAATCTTTAGCTATTTCTGTTCTGTTACGCCAAAGAAGTAAAACTTGTTACGTGCGGACATTATTTAAAACAAATTGAATTTCATAAAAAATACCGATAACCTACAGAAGTTTTATTTCTTGCGAGTGTACACATTCATGCACTATTTAATTTTTTTGTATAGTTATGACCTATTTGGTTACGGAAGTCAACCTTGTGATTAGCCCTTTACCGCATCGGTGCCGGCGGTCAGTCTCGCCGATTGTGAAACTAGTCATCTGCATAGGAGGTAGTATAGTGCAGTGGATTTGAAATTTAAAAAACAAAATGGTCGAGATTAGTCTTTCATGCTAATGCTAATAATTGCTATTATGTATCTACATACTGTACAAGCAACAATTGTAGCACAGACTTAAAGGTTTTTTTTGACATAATTCTGTTAACCATGTTAAATTTTGCATAATAAAAACAGAATATAGGATGTTAAGGACTTCACATTAAGTCTCGCGGTCTCTCGTTCCAATATCTCAGTCAGCCACAAGTTCGATAAAAAAATAATTATTATATTGCTATAATCTGCACTTAACTTTATTTGTGTATTTTATAATGGATAAATTGAAGCATTGAAAAGCGACATAAGATAAATACAATCCACATAGTTGTTTGTTTCTTATATAAAAGGTGATTTGTGTAGCGGAAAATATTAAATATATATAGGTAGATATGTATATTGTATAAACATTGTTTTTATTATAATAACTGATTGCAGGACCCGCAAACGAATCGCACTCTAACACTGATCTCGAAGACAATCCAGTCGCTGGGCAACCTCGTGAGCAGCCGCTCGGCGCAGCAGGTCTGCAAGGAGGAGTACATGGCCGAGCTGTACCGCAGCTTCTGCACGCCCAGACATGTGAGCACCTTCTTATATAGTATCTACCTCGGTGGTTCAGTGGCTAGCATGAACAGCTACAGGTCTGGAAGTTCTAGGTTCGAGTCTTGTATCGGACCTATTTTAGTTATTGAATTTTTCTGTCAAAGATTCTCAGTAACAGCCCGAAATGGGAAAGTTGGCGCTGCTTCACCCCCATATACCAGAGAACATGTAAAAATTGTCGTCCCACCGGATTGTTAGAGTGACAGGAATAGAGAGTGCACTTGTGTTTGCGCGTACACGCGCTGCACTATAATAATGCGATAATATAGTTTCTTATTAGTAAAATAATTTTCATCCCCTACATCCAAACTTACAAATGTTACGTTACGTAATTTATTATTATTTTTTAATCTCGAAAATTTCACTTCGAAAATTCGCATGAGCGGTCTATTGAACTTATAATTATTTTATCAGACTATTTATAGTGTAGATACAATAGAAATAAAATTATTTGAATGGACTTTAAAATTAATCGAAAAATGTTATTTATGAATTTATATTATGTAGAGCAGATAAATGCTATTTATTGATATATTGCTGCCATGTACATGTTTACCTTAAATATAATGAATGTGATTCCATTCAATCAGCCAGTCTGGCTTCAAAACGGATGTCACAACAATAATATTATGAAGAAGGAAAGAGTAATTATGACATCATATTTTAATATACATATGTATGTGTAACACAATATACTTACTTGTTTATAACACTGACTGAAACTACCATTAAGGAATTATAGACATTTTTCCGGCATTCAATCTACTATAAATAGTTTATTGGTTGATTATATATTTTTATAATTAAAAAAAACTCATTATTATGTTTTTGTTTGCTTGTACTTACTTAACTTTTATTTTAATTTTATTTTTGCTTTCTATAGTGTAATCTATTATCGTCTGTCGTTGTCTCATTAGAATGCAGTGTTGCTTATAATTAGGGCATCATTTAAGATCTTTCTATTGTTGTACATATCATATACCTATTACTTTAAGAATGTATGCTCTGTTAGCGACCTATGTATTAAATAAATAAAAAATAAAATATTGCGATAAAAATGTGTTATCAGAAATCATAATATCTTTAATTGAAGGCGGTGCCCTACAAGAGTACCTAAGGACGGCGAGTCGCTAGTTCTTTATAAAGAAAGACAATTTGATCGTTCTGATTTTAAGAACAACGATATAATGTCAATAAATATATCTCATTTATAAATCGGTAGGTGTCATTATCTAAATGACTAATAAAAATTATGTTATGAGTTTTTGTTTTATATAGCCTTATATGATGCAAAAACCTTTTTTATTTATTGCTCTTTGTCTTTAGTATCGTAATTATTGGGGTCTTATCATATACAGTTTTAATTAACGGTGAAAGTTACATATATCGCCGCGCTGGTGCGTTGCACTAATGTCTTTGTGTCTTTACTCACTTTTAAGATATTGATGTGTAATTATTGGCCCTTGTAGTAGGAGAGGTAATATGCATTTCGCTGAGTCATATTGTACTGAATCATATTCCCCTAATACATTGGAGCTTTAAATATCAAGTGCTCAAATGGAGGAAGTGTTGTCGTTTCATACCTAATATAATATAACACTGAATTTTTCTACTTTTTTTTTACGCGAGTATTTGACATTTAAAATAAAACTATTTTTTCGGATTATTTCGCAGATTTATTTAGATTTTTGGTTCCCGACGTTTCGAATGCCTTACAGCATCCATGGTCACGGGAGAAACTGACGTGAAACCAAAAATCAAAATAAATCCGCGAAAAATGCGAAAAGATAGTTTTATTTAAACTGAATTTTTCTTTTTTTTTTTAAATAAAAGAGCAAGTTATCTGTCGTATTTTTATCAAAAAAATATCAGTCGTCACAAACATGCAAATGCTTACTTTGCAGATTATTCAACATTATACAACCGTTTACGGTTCAAATTCATACGGTATATAATTTCCCAGAAAAAAAATCGACACTACCTCTTCTATTATACGCCCTGTAACTCATAGGCTTTAGATTCACATATAGGAAAATGTTTAAATTGACCATATAAATGTTTTTACTTAATTTGGTTAATAATGAAGAAAATTTGTATAATTAATTGTATTAAAATACTAATAAAGATTTAATATATAGGTGCAAGCAATAAGGCAGTTCCTAGAAATAATCTCGAGCAGCTCGGACACGCAGAACAACAACATCCAGGAGAGCCCAGTGCTACTGAAGGAAGGGTGAGCGCCATTACATAATTGTATAAGACATTTCCACTGCTCCTAGCACTTCCATTTTATCTTACGGAATGTTCTAAAATCGAATATTATGCTTTTGTTTATGCATCATTTGGAACAGTTATGGGTATGTATCTTTGATTTTAAACTTCTCTTCAGTTACCAGTCGTGTGGTTTGATTTTGCTATACTTTGTTTTCTCTCTGTTATTTTGTTTGTTTTTTATTTGACAAAATTATTTTTTGTCTTTATTTTGGCTTGAATATTTCACTCTCATATTGAGGTATGATGAAAGGTGAAGTAAGTATATAATATTCGAACACAATTAATAAAAAATATATTATTAATAAGAATATATTATTAATAAAAATATATTTTTCCATTACATATACATTTTTTAAACATATGTGTGCATACATACATATGTCGTACAACTACTGGATCGTTTAGATTTTTATGAATTGAATGTAAATTTTAATATTATCAGATAAAATATTAATAACGTATAATCGCATAATATAAGGAAAAGAAACATCCAGTTGCATTAAAATTAGAAATGCGATAGTGTAACAAAATATCGCATTCCTTAAGTTTGTGTGTGTGTTTGTTACTTTATTACGTGTTAATAGATGAAATAATTTTAGTGATATTGGAAATTAATAGCTTATTTCTTTTTTAGTTTTTGGCTCAAAAATAGTATTTTATAAGAACGATTTTGTGTGCAGGACGATGATAAAACGCTCGTCTGAAGGAGTGCGCGGCGGCGCGGGCTCGCCGCGGCGGCGCTGGGCGCGCTCGGCGCACGCGCACTGCAAGAGACGACACTTTCGTCTCACTAGGTACCTATTATAAATATACTTTAATTGAAATGAAAATAAAGTTGTACATGTTTGTTGTAAAGCATTCGAACGCCGGGAACCAAGACAAAATAAAACCGCGATGAAATCCGAAAAGATAGCTTAAAAAGAAAAAAGATCATTTAAAATGTCAAATATTTGCATATCTAAGAACACTTTTGATTGGCCTGGTAATTAGTTCCATATTAATTTAATGATTTTTACGATTTTTAATGTTAATATTTTTTGCAGTCTATAATTATTATCGGAATACGATACGAGAAAAAATGCGAAAGTTTAGGTTTGTATATGTTAGTATACCTTTACGCTGAAACGGTTGGACGGATTTTAATGGAATTTTGTACACAGATACACCAGGGGGTGTACCTAGAAACTCCGAGCCAGAATAAATAAAATAAATATATAAATAAATATGTTGGGACATTAAGACACAGCACCATCTAGTTCCATGGTAAGCTATGAGGCTTGTGTTATGGGTATCAGTTATAGTTGATACATTACACATATATAACTTTAAATACATACATATTATAAATATAAGCACCCATGACTGGAGTACAAACATACGGGCTCATCACACAAATGAATGCCCCCAGCAGGACTCAAACCCGCGACCGCTGGCACAGCAAGTCAGATCACTATAAACTGAGCCAAACGTGTATTCAAAATAAATAAGTCGATAATCATTTCAGTGGCGAGTTGTCGTGGTCCCGCTGCGGCGCCCGGGGCTCGGGCGCGCACCGCCTGGCGCTGGCGGGCGTGCTCAGCGTGGCGCCCGTGGACTGCCCGCCCGCCGGCGCGCCGCTCGACGCCAACAATATCTTCCAGATAGGTAATTTTTTTTTTATGTTGGTACATTAACACACAGCACCATCTAGTTCCATGGTAAGCTGCGAGGCTTGTGTAATGGATACTAGATAGTCGATACACTACACATATATAACTTTAAATACATACATATTATTAATATAAATAAAAATCCATGACTGGAGTACAAGCATTCGTGCTCATCACACAATGAATGCCCCCAGCGGGACTCGAACCCGCGATCGCTGGCACAGCAAGTAAGGTCACTACACACAAAGCCAAACGTGTCGTCAAACGTTCAGTTAGATATTTTTATATAATCGAGGCAAAGAGCTAAAAGCATGACTTACTAGCAGTAACCGTAGTGTCTGTATTTTCTATGTTTGTAATATAAGGAATCACTCGCTCATGCGCCTGAGGAAGTCGGGAGGAACTATAAAACAATAGCTTTTTATCTAAGTGTTTTACAAGTGATATTTTTTCCATTACATTTTTTTAACTGGCTACAGATACATTTGTATGGTTCTTTATACCTAATGGCATACACAATTTGTTTTGTACTTTTAAACAGATCAAAATCGTAATTTTTATGGTATCTTATAAATTATAATGTGTATACATATAAAACATGCCGTGTGTCCGCAGTGCACCGCGAGCGCGTGCTGTTTGTGCAGGCCAGCAACTGCGTGGAGCGCGCGGAGTGGCTGCGCCTGCTGTCGGCGCTGTGCCGCCGCGCGCCCGCCGCGCCGCACGCCGGCTACTACGCGGACTCCAAGTGGACGTGGTGCGATATCCTATACTCTTATGCCAGCCTAGTACCGTAGTGTCAAAATTCATACAGTGATCGCCCATCGAATTATATGGAAGTACAGTGTCAAGTACTAGGTTGTGGACGTGTGATATGCTATATACTTAGTATCATCACGGTAATGTAATGCATACAGTATTCCAACTCGGGCCTGTCCTTGAAATAATTACCTACAGCCGAGCGGCACGTACCCACGCGACAGGGCTGCCCGCCGGCCAGTATTTTAATTTCATCTACCTACTTGAGTTTCTTTTTAATTTTGTGATTTCGAATATTATATTTTTTATTTAAAACTATTATTACTATTAAAAAATCACAAATTTATAAGGGTGGTATGTGACCCTTATAAATTTGAGATTTAAAAATATTTGCGTCTCGAGTGAGACGTACGAAAAGTTTATTGTTAAATTTAATAGTATAAAGAATCCACATTCGGATAAAAAGTTTAATTAAAAATACTTTAATTTTTAATTTAATTAATTAATTTTTATTTTTAAAACATACTATGTCTCGATACTATTTTGTTTGACATTAGCGAAGTTACGGGAGGAATAAAATTTTTATTTTTGTATCAAAATAAACCTTATACAATTTTCGTATCCAATTATACGACCTGGCAGCCCCGCACGGTTGTCTACCGAGTATAACTCGATTTTCGACCGTTTGTATAAAGATGGAATACTGTATGTAATATTACCGTGGTATCATAGTGTCAAAATCCATACGATGTTCTCGCATCCATTTGTATGAAAATATTGTCAAATGCAAGATTGTGCTCATATGTAATGTGCTATACGCTTATGTTAATCTTTTTTAACGTTGGGAAATGCCTTTACTCATACCACCTGTATACATATAGGTGGTTATATAGATGCACAGATTAGAAAAGCCAGTACTGTCCACTTCAACACAATGGAAACTTCCCTGCCCCGACGACGCCTCCTGAATGAAGCATATCACATTGTTGTGGTTGTTCCCATTGTCCACTCTGATATCAGAAAAGTACTAGAAGCAACCATCGTGGTAGATCGTCTACCTAGATGGGCCGCCAGCCACTGTATCACTCTTGGTTTTACGCCTGGCACGATTGCCGGTGGTTGTTGAACCATTACCATATAACCCTAATAAAACCCATTTTTTTATGCATACTCTCCGACTTACGTATTCGATTAAGAATTAATTGTCTATAATGAAAATTTTTCATTAGTCACACGGTTAATAAATGTAAAGATCGATTTATTCGACTAATCAAACATTTGTCCACAGTTGCGGGCGGTCGGAGGCGGACGCGGAGGGGTGCGGGGGCGGCGGCGCGGGGGGCGAGGCGGGCGAGGCGCAGGGCCCGCACGGCGCCGCCGCGCTCGCGCTGCGCCTGGACCCCGCGCGCGACCTGCAGCGCCTGCACGCGCTGCTCGTGGCGCACGTGCACCGCCTCGACGAGCGGCTGCATCGCCCGTCCGGTCAGTCTACGATTGTTACACTACCATTCTAACTTAATGACGAACGAATCGATCAAAAAAGCACTAACTAGATACAAAATCAGCGACAAAAATGTCCTCGCCGAATGAGCGCCCATTTGAACATTTTAGTGCGCTTTTTTTTGTGAAAACAATTTTAAGCATTGCTTTTAAAGTTCAATTTACATTGTTGTATATTAATTATTTTAACTAGAATAATTATCTAAACACAATCGGTGACACTTTTAAGAGAAATTTGGCATGGGATTGTGTATCTATTATTTTTTTATCGATGGTTCCCAGGCGCAGTATGCAATTTTAAGTATCAGCGGGGCGCAGACAGACGAGATGATGTGTGCACCTGCGTTCTATATTAGATAGGCGCGAGTATGAACTATTAAATACTTCATTTGTATATTAAATATCTATGTATATCGTAACGTACTACAAGGTGCACTTATGTATATATATATTGCATTATTTCTACGTTTTTTTGAGAAGCATACACCGAATTCAATTCAACCGTTTTACAAGGATATGTCTATCTTATTGTTTTTGTTTAAGACTTATACAATTTTTTTTATTATGATTTCATACCTATTTAGGTAGAGGTATATATTTAAGATAAGGAGATTATTATATTATGGTCTTATTTTGTTATGCTGGCGGTACTCACTTGCGAATTTATATACATATAATTATTTTTATGCTTGTTTTTAAACGTTATAGATGACATGAATCCAGAAGAAAGGGAAGCTGAAGCGATGACTTTACGGGAATTGCAAAAAATTATGTTTGACCTCGAGCATAGGCATTGTATATACAGAAGATCACTTGCAAGAGAGACAAAATATGGTAGCAAGTAAGTTTATTGGATTAAATTATTATCTTTATGTTTCATAGATTTTATTTATTTTTTTAGACTATGGTTATAACAAACGTATTTCCTTTATTTACAGACAGGCTCCGATCGGCGATGATAATTATTTGCATCTCGCTGGAGCCGCGACCAATAATGACAACGGCTCCTTTTTCTGGCGACCCTGGAGAGGCGACTCCTCACCTACCATCGACCTCGACGGCAAGTCGTTTCCACTTCAAACATCACATGATATTTGCTCCAGTACTGAATCCTTAAAGCTCGCCCGCCACGGGGACGAGCGTTCCTCCGGGAAGTCGAATAAATCCACCGGCAGCGGCTACCTCACCATGTCCTGCATCAAGCACGAGCCGTCCGAGGACAGCGACGCCTCCACAGAGAAACCCGCGCGGCCGCCCAAGCCTGCCCGCCTCTCGCCGTCCCGCGCGCCGCCTGCCCTGCCCGCGCCGCCCGCCGCACCCCTCTGCGAGTACGTTGACGTGGAGTTGAAGCCCCCCCTTCGCCGGCCGAAACACCCGGAACACGACATATCGAATCACTGCAAAGAATATGAACTCATGGCTAACTTCATGAGTCACGCGCAAACATCAGACGACGACGCGCCGCCGGCGGTGCCCCCGCGCGGCAACACGGCGAGAATGCGGCTACAACCGAAACCTGTGGAAATAGACGTCTCAAAATCCGACGAACACGCGTCTTTTAGGCCCGAAAACATCTGCGGATCCACCACGAGTCTGACCGAAGGCGCGCATCCCGACGATCGAGGGAGTACGTTGGGGAGTGACGCTCGACCCGCCAGCAAAATCGATACTGTATCGAATGATGATAGTCTTTTAGATGAGCTGCAGCGTGACACGTATTGTATTCTAAAAGTATGCGAGGATGAACCGCCCAATGTCGATGATGACGCAGTCAATGCAGAGGAAACGGATTCTAAAGAAAAGGAAGAATACGGGATGTTCTCAAGGATAAGTTTGCAGAGAAAATCGAATCCAATAAAAACACAATCTAGCTCTATAAAACCCCTCAAAACCTCAAACTCAACGTCAAACGTACACGATGCCGGATCTCATTCTTCGCGTCCCTTCACGGAGAGGCTCACGCCATTTTTTCTCAAGAAGAAACCGAAGCCGCCGGAGGAGATGCAAGCGTCGAGCAAGTGTACGCGCAAGGAAGACAACCTGATCGGGCGCCTGACGCCGCGCTTCGGGCAGTCGCGGCTGTACGGGCGCGGCCAGTCGCTGGAGCTTGCGCCCGCCGAGAGCCGCGCCAAGCGCATCGAGCGCTCCGCCACCACCGTCAACATCCCAACGAGACCCATCAACTCGTCTATAGTGGCCAACTTGAAGTTCCTCACGCTGCACCGGTACGGCGCGCAGGACGACGTGCAGTGCACGCGCGTGCACGCGGGTGAGGAGGCGGCGGGCGCGGAGGGCGAGGGCGAGTGGCGACGCCGCGGCGCACTGCTGGCCGCCACCAGCGACATCCGCCTCTAGCGCGGCCGTCGCCTCACTCTGATGTCTGCGCTCGCGTCGATGGTCATGGTGCGACTGTAAATTATTTGAACCTATGGGTTGTATTTATTGCTATATTTTTCGAACTTCTTTTCGTCGACCTGAATGAAGTATGTGCCTCTACTAGTTGTAGTATTTTTTGACCGAGTGTATCGATATGGTTAATTATGTATATGATAGCGTTAATACTCAAAAGGTGCCAAGTGTTGTGTGACCTCGCCCGTGGGCGGCTCTACTCTCGATTCTCTAGAACAATAATATTGCAGAGCTAGTTATAAAATATACTAAAGATTTAACTATTATATTATTTTCTGTGATTGGTGTTTAGTGCCCGTGAATGAATCTATCTACAAATATTATCGTACATATATTACATTATATTTTAGAAAAATTACAAAATAGATTATAGTATTAAACTTCAAATTTTAAATCCTTTTCAGCACTGATTATTGTAATATAACAAGTTAATGTTAATAAAACAAATTCTAATACATATATAGCTCTTGCATGCTCAGGAGGTAGTAAACAGTATCATTTTGTATATGTGATAAATCGTTCTCTCTTAATCTTAGTTTAAAACATTAATAGATTTGTAATATACAGCGAAAATTTATCATATTATAATATTGAGAAATGATTCATTGATTAAATGTTATTCTCTTGATTTAAGAAGTATTAATGACTCAGCTAAAAATTTGCATTTCTACCCAAATGTACTTAAAATGATATTGTAAACAGCAATTGTCAACATGTATTTTAAAGAAAGTGCATATTTTAAATGTTAAGATATATCATAACATTTAGAACATGCACGTCATTTATGACGGCCTTTTGTCGCGCCTACTTCGATGGCCTTCGGGAACACCACACTTTAAACTGTGATTCACTTTACAAACTCAGCCGATATTTTATAATTACGTTTTCTGTACAAAACTACTTTTTATTATAAAATAAGCATTTTTATGATAAATTTGTGAAATTTGTATTTGTTTTAAGCTTAAATTAATTACAACAAACTAAAAGTTGTTACAAAATTTAATTGTTGTCCTATGAATGAATATAAATTGATTAATTTTAAGAAAATTTATGTAATGTACAAATTAATATTTCTTTAAAATATATTATTATGTTATTTATTTCACCTATTTCTCTTTGTTAATAAAATACATATAAGTTCAAATTTGAATTGGTGTAATTATTTCTTTTTACTATTTGTAAGTATTTACGTAAACTATCTTCAAGTATAGTTGATAAAGTTTCATGCTGACATCTCAGTAGTGAGCATCTGCTCACTACTGAGTAGTCTTAGTCATCTAAGATTACTATAAAACCGAAAGAATTTGATTTGAATTTGATAATTCACACGAAAATTTTCGTCCGAACCAATCACAATATACTTAGATTACCAATTGGGGTATCAAAATATAGATTTTTAAGAGACGATTACAAAAATATACAAAACTTATACTTTTAAAAATAATTTAGGCTAAAAATTGGTAAAGAAAACTAAAAATTTCTAACTGACCAAAAATAAAAGGCTACAAATAAAAAAAAAATTTACAAAAATAAAAATTTAAAGAGTGCGTCTGTGAATGTGTACATGCGCATGAAGTAAAAGTTTGATTTTCTTCAAAATTCATCCCCTTAAGGAGTAAAAGATGCTAATAAAGTTTATACGGACAAAGGATTATTTATGATCAGAATAACTTGAAACTTAATATTAATGCTCTTCGATACAATTACATAAATATGTATTTTAGCATTTTTCGAAATTAAATCCCATAAGGGGGTGAAAGCTTGTATGAAACTCTATAATTAAAATGTAGAAAAGTACAAAAAATATAAAAAACACTCGCTTGTAGACAATTTAACTTTTTTAAAATCACTTTCTGTAGAATAATATCCACATAGACTTAAATATAAAGATTGTGATTTCACCAATTTTGGTCGTCTTATTGCTTTAGCCCTCAATTTCTTCAGATTTTGTCTTTTATGCACAGATGATGTCTATTTGTATCTTGGCACTGCACAATTTGTGATTTTAATTAAATTTTAAATAAAATGAATAAAATAATCCATCCACGCTATAGAGCTTTACAATATACTGAGGATCATAGTGGTAGCGACATCAGGCGGGAGAAAAGGACAAAATTCTTCCCCATTATAGCTAATGGCAACAATTTACATAAATCATAGTATCATCTATGATTTATGTTATATGTAAATAATTGTAAGTTGTAACAATAATTATCTGTGGTAGCCATATTTAGAATTTTCGGTGGTTATTTTAAGCGGAAAGAAGGAATTAACATTTATTAAGTATTCTTTACCTATTTAATAATTGAGTATTGGTAATTTAAGCATTGTTGCCTTTATTCATATGTGTCTCTGTAGAAATAAAAGTTACACCATTGCTTAATAATAAAAATGACTGACTCCGTGAATATGTCACTTGGTAAGCAAACAAACGCTTTTATATTATTATTATGTCTATATAATAAGCCTGAAAACGAGAAACTTTGAATGGTTTAAACTAAACATTATGTAAGATAGATATTTAATAGTAATATCTATTATATTATTAATTTTCCAGTTACTATTATAACATGCGCAGATGTTATTTGTTTAATGTTTTCTACAATTTTAGATGAGATCATCAAACAGAATCAACAAAATAGAACAAGTCGCGTTCGTGGTAGAGGTGGCGGTAACATTCGTGGACGCGGGGGCGGTCGTGGAGGCCGAAGAGGTCGTGGAGTACGTGGCCGAGGAGCTGTTCGAGGCCGTTCTCAATCAAGGTCGGATAGTAACAACAGACAGGGTCGATCACGTTCACGTTCCCGCGGTCCTAGAGGAAGATCTCAGTCACGTGGCCGATCTCAGTCCAGAAATAGGTCACGTTCACAACAGAGACGATTTTCTTATCCAAGAACGAGATCTAGGTCTAGGTCTCAATTAAGAAGTTTGACTCCTAAAGGGAGAGCAGGTCTCGAAAATAATGTGGCAGATATGCCACCTCTAGTTAGATCAAATAGAGGAAACAGAGGTAGATATTTAGTATAATATATTTAGTCTTCAAGATATACGATTTTCATTGATTACAATATTTTCTATATAAATGTCGTTTTCTCTTGTAGGTGGTGTACAAACAAGACTACGAAGAACCAATTCTAATCAGCAATTAAGGGGTGGTATACATAGTAGACTTGGAATAAATACAAGCAGAGGAGGAGCAAATAGTAACTTTAAACCATTAGCTGTAGCTAAAAGGGGTATATCAAAAAGAGGAAGAGGTCTTACTACCAGAAACAGATACAGTACAGTAGGTTTGAGATCGGATCAGATTTTAAAGGAGCAAAGACAAAATTTGCAGAACAATATTATAAAGTCTCAGACTTTTACCCGCTCCAGAAATAATTCACTAAATTCAGCTTCACAATTAACTGTCAGTGTTGCTAATGACTTTGCAAAGAGACGCAGAAATAGTGTTGGTAATGCAGGTTATTTAAATAAACAAACATTAGCCAAATTGAACAGAGACTTTGGTGGATATAACATAAGGAAAGGACCTGGGAGTGTTAAGTCTGCTGGGTCAAATAGATCTAACAGGTCCAATAAATCTAATAGATCTACTCAGTCTAATTCGAGCAGGAGGTCAAACCAATCAAGGGGCAGAGGTCGTGGGCGGGGAGGAAACAGAGGAATAGGTAGAAAGTTTGTAAACAAACAAATTCTTAATCCAAAACTGCAAAAAGAAATTGCTGTCATTCAGGGAAAAAATTATGGAGCAAATCAAGAAGCACCATCTGGTGTTAATTTTACTCCCACACCAGCTGCTACTAAACAAACCTTACATCAGCGTTTTGCTACTTCATAAGAAATTATTCCTGAATGTAAGCTACTTACATATAAAATATTAATTGTTCAAATATTATTATGACAAGAAATCTATTTGTGTGTGATTAACAGTTTATTACTTTTTAGGTGCAATCTCGTTACAAGAAGATTGGTAATTTAGAATGTTTTATTGGAATCATAACTACTGGTTTAATAAATATGCGACATGTTTGGTAAAATATTACTGGTTGTAATGTTTTATTTCATTTTGACTAACTAGATAGTTTAAGAATTACATTTGATTTTTTCTAAAGCTATTTTTGTTACTGCTACTTAGAATAAAAGGTCTTTATAAATAAATAATAATAAACAATAAAATGTATTTTTTATGCATCACTTGAATCACACTCATTTACAGCCTTGCAGTATCATGCAAGTGAAAATCACTGTCTTCTTGGTGGATGTTCTATTGTTTACATTTTATACATCTTGGGCATCATTATAAGTGAATCTGTAACTGGAATATATAAATTATTCATTATGAGAAATAAGGTTTAAAATATACTCTTTTAACATTTTTAAAGGAAATAAAAGAAATACAGTGAAACTATAAATAATAACATAAAGGACTGTCTGTATTCTATGTGTTGGGTTTAACTATAGACTAAAACTATATAATTTTGAACTTTAATTCATCATTTTATTTAAAATGTTATATTTCTAATTTTGAAAAAATACTGGAACTTAATATAAACATACTTGAAAAACTTCCTTTCAAAATATTTGAGTGAAAAAGATTTAACTTAAAAAAATGTGTCAAACATCCATAACAACCTCAAGATATGGAGCAATCAGAATTTGATATGAAGATGTATTTTTAAATTCTTGGTTGACCACCACAGCCGTACATAATATAATGACAGTTGATAATTATAATCATCAATGAGCACTGGACATCATAGAAAACATTTTTGAGCCAATCATTATTGCTAATTGCCTTCTAAGTAAAAATATATTGTATTTATATAAATGGTTTCGTTAGATAGAGTCTCAACTGTAGTTTGTTAATATCACTATACTTTCTTTCCAATAAATATAAGTTAAATATTGATAGACCAATATGCCAACTATTAAGTGAAAAATTTCATATAGTATTTTAAACTTACAATTTTCTCCAAGTATATTACTTAATATTAAGCCATGAAAAGAATCTATATCATCTTTTTCATTATCTGAAGACTTTGATCTAGTAGAACTACTTTGAAAAGTCCATCCTAAATGTTGCCCACAGTGAGGACATGTACATATACGCCAAGTGTAACCAGGAAACCACGAATCTGCTCCTTGACTCTGAAAGTATTGTTATTGTACTATTTATTTTATATTATATACTATTAAATGACGATGATGAGTTAATGATACATTTCACTTTTCCCTTTGTCTCTTTTCCCATTATGTTTTGAAGAAAAAAAAAGAACTTGATCTATTTGATATGTAAGTATGTGTTTATTGTTGTTGTTTTATTTGTTTACTTACAGGTCCAACATTTTCACATTTTGCTTTTTCAGTAGTAACTATTTCAAATTTTACACCAAAAGGATTAATTAAAGTTTGAACTGTTATATTTTGTCTGCCAAATAAATTTTGTTTTTCAGTTTTTCGAGCTCCCGGACTATTTTTACTAAAAATGTAATACGAATCAGCAACGTCTGCGCCACATTTTCTACACAGAAGTAATTCTGCAATGGAATGATATTCTCTTATCACCCAAAAGTTAACTACCACTTGTGTAGTTCAATATTATAGTACAAAATATACCTTGACCATTTTTTTTTATGTTATAAATATTATTATCAGCAATTGCAAGCCAATTTGTTGCATATAATAATAGTAAGTAAATTTTTAATAACATGCCTAATATTTAAGCAAAATAATGAAATGAAAAAAATTATAATATGCTATTCATATAAAATTTGTTGGGCTTTTAAATATTTTAAATATGTAGCGGCACCTTAGATATGTTTTTATGTAAAAATAAAATAGCTTTCTAATTTTGACATTTGTCACCCTTTTCTTGTAAAATTGTAAACAATTTATGGATGGTAGAGGTAAAGATGTGTCAACTCGAGTTAACTCGAGTTGAATTCTCTCTGACTCGAATTGGATTTGCGTGGGAAGTGAGCGAATCAAGCGAGTACGCGATTGACCTTACACAAACGTGGTAATTCGTTCGTTATGTTCATGTTTTGTACAGTCGTCAGCACTTCAGACCATACATTTATGTTGCAACATCGCTCCTTTTTTTTTTTAACGTGTGGAAATCGGTTTACGCACGAGGTGTGGGACTCACCGGCAAAGCCAGTACTACCCACTAAAACCCAACAAAGCCTTCCCCCGTCTTAATGGGGCGTCGCAGAATCGTTTACGCATTCAACTACGACGCCCCCACGGCAGGTCTGCCGAAGCAGACCACAACAACCACGGGGTTGCTCCAAGGTCCACTCTGCTATCAGAGAAGTACCAGGAGCAACCCGCATGGTACACCGCCCTTCGAAGAGGGCCGCCTCCCACCGCCCATCGAAGTGGGCCACCTCCCTGTGCGTTTCTTGGCTTCGCGCCCGGTTGGGTTGCCGGGCACTACTGAGCCCCCCCACCACGACAAGGTGAACGCACGTTGGGGGGGTGCAACATCGCTCCTATTACAACCGAACAAGATGCCACAGTATTTAACTTAATCGCTGTCGTCCGTACTCCCGTCATATCGTTTCAACCGAATGACAGCGTTATAATATCCATATTAATATTATAAATGTGAAAGTATGTTTGTTTGTTTGTCCTTCTTTCATGTCGAAACGGATAACGGACTGGGGTAATTTCTTGGGTGAAAATAGTTCATAGTTGGAGGGCTGGAGAGTGGTATAGACTACTTTTTACCGCGGAAGATTATCTCATTTCCACGGGAAAACACGTTATAATACTACCCAAAAAAATATTTATGATCAGAATTACTTGAAACTTGGTATTAACGCTCTTCAATACAATTAAATAAATATATGTTTTAGCATTCTTCAAAATTTATCCCGTAAGGGGGTAAAATAGCGGATGAAGATTTGCATTAAACCTACATTTTTTTTGAGTTTTAGCGCGAGCGAAGCCGCGGGTTCTGCTAGTAATAATATAAATAAATAAATATAAAAAATATAAATAATTATAATTGTCCTAATAAATATTTATTTAGAATCCGTACCATTTTTTTAATATTGTTGCGAAACCGAGTCATTAAATTGGTACAAGCAAAACAAATCATTCACTTCACTTTTCATCCAGTTAACTCGAGTTACGTAACTCGACTTACGTGAATTTCAACTCGAGTTATATTTTTCCGAGTTGGCACATCATTAGGTAGAGGTAAGGAAAACTATCTCTGTGTATGAAAAATGTTCGTTGAAATGCGTAAAATTAGGGAGGCGCCACAACAGTAGCAGGGTAAATTTTGAAAAAATCGCAAAAAATAATTAGGATTACATTATCTCACATATCGATTAAAAAAGTATTAGATACACAATCAGTTAATGTCCTCACCCAATGAGCACTTACTTGAACATTTGAGCACGCTTTCAATTTAGTAGAATTTGAACGCTCCGACGGTAAATATGCCTCGGTGCTTGTTTAAAAATTGCAAGAGGCACACCTCTAGGACACAAAAAAATTACAGTTTTATATTATCAGCAAGTATCAATATTATCATTTTATAATTGCTATTACTATATTGTAAATACTGATATTTTGTCAAGAAATCATCGTAAAAACAGTTTTTCATATGGCGTCGCGGCAGCGGCGGTGAGCGACGAGTTTCGGTCGTAAAAATATTTGTGAAAACAACTTTAAACATTGCATATAAGGAGTAATTTACATTGTTATAATATATATTGTATGTTTATTTCAACTTTCTAGTTGCAAGTAGTAATTACCTAAGTAGTAATTACCTAAACACAATTGATGACAGTTTTAAGAGAACTTTGCATGCGATTGTGTATTTACTTAGTACTTTTTTGATCGATAATCTTACACGAGTTTATTAGGTTAGCTGCCTCTGTGGTCTAGTAGCAAACATGTACAGCTGCAGATCCGGAGGTCCTGGGTTCGAGTCCCGGGTCGGGTTAAGTTTAATTACTGAGTTTTTCTTTTAAAATATTCTCAGTAGTAGCCCGGAGTTGGGAAGTTGGTGGTGTTGCATCTCCGTGCGTCGGAGAGCACGTAAAACCGTCGGTCTTACGCCTTATATCTCACCGGTCGTATTGGAATATCATCCGATAATATGTCCGATGGGATGATATTTGTCCGATGGGATTTTGAGAGTAAAAGGAATAGAGAGTGCACTTGTGTCTGTGCGTACAACTTGTGCTAGTGCACTATGATATTATATCCTATGCAGATGGCTAGTCTCAGTTACTAAGATTGGTTGCCGTGATCGGAATCAGTCTGGAGGATATTATTAAGTTATATTTAGTTACTTATTTTGGATTAAGTAAATAGATGGTGTTTAGCATAGGTACTGCCGTTTCATTAACATTAACAACTCTAGTCATTCAAAAAAATATCATAAATATCATTTTTCAACTTGGCACACTTTACTCGGTCTATAATTGCTAAATTCATATGCACTATTCTGAAAGGTTTTTAAACTTTCATTTATCACTTACAAGAGGACACTTCGTCATCTTGTTTCGCATATATAACATGGTTCTCCTTATTTCTAGGGTAGACAAAACGACAGTCTATTTCAATCATAGTTAAAGAAATCCCGATACTCATTGTTGATAAATGTATGTACATAGACATATTATAACTAGCGACTCACCCTTCGCTCGGGTTCGTCCCTAGGTTGATTCCCCATACAAACGTTCATCCCCATTTTCGCCTCCTTAAGGGATAATTTCCAGGATAAAAAGTATCCTATGTCCTTCCCAGGATCTCAAACTATCTTCTTACCAAATTTCATCTAAATAGGTTTAGTAGATCCAGAGATTACCCCCTACAACGTCACAAACTCACAATTCACAAACATTACTTCTTTATAATATTAGTATAGAATAAAAAAATGAAACAGAATTTATCAAATCGTGTACCTAAATTGTAGAAGCTCCATTTTTTTTATAAAAAACATCATTATTATTTAACAAGATAGAGATATTTCTTGGTCCAGTGCAGTTTATAATCAAAATAAAGAAACTTGGAGAATATTGTGCAATCACCATAGAGAAAGGAACTTTGAACTTGAAAACAATCATTAATAAATAGTGACACTGACATTTGTTGTTACTGATATTGTTTACTTTTTTAATATCATATAAATAATGATCTACTAAACTTTAGTTATACTGCGAAGTTATGAAGTGCATTGTACGTATATATGATATTTTTTTCATATGAGTAAGATTTTCGCGTAAACAGTTAAAATGTCGTTCTTTAAAAATGTTACATCAAGCTTTGCCTTACGTAGCCGCGACACAATTCTAAAGGAGTCCCTTATAAATAATTTATCTGAGTGCGTAAAAGATATTCAATACAATAGTCAGTTTGAAGAGAATTTTCATAGTGTACTTGGATCTACAGACTCAACTAATACTTTATGTATGGCCTTAGAAGCTGTCTTCCTGCATGGTCTAAAGGATACTTTTTTAAGAAAAGCTAAAAATGTCATATCCGGTGATCCCGATTACCGTCCTCAATCTAGTTTTTGGCCTCTCATACTTGTGTTATCTCATAGGCAAAACATAGATCAGATTTCTTCATTACCTCAAATAAACACTGAGATAGGTCAATGCAGAGCTTGGCTCAGAATAGCACTCAACGAATGTTTACTGTCTTCATATATGTCAACATTGGTAAAAAATATTTCAGCCGTAAAGCCTTTTTATAATAAAAGTGCTTTTGTTTGTGATTCTGAAATATTAGAAGTTGCCCAAAAATTAATTCAAGGCCTAGAAACCTGTGTCCAATTCAACTTACCAATAAACTCCAGTTTATTAAATAATTGGCCTGAGCAGGTTTTAATGCAAGCGGGTATTTGGGTTCCAACTATGAGGGTAGCACCAATATCTGCAGGGTTAGATGTCGCAAGCACTTTAACAGATGACACAAAGCCAAAATTGGCATCCACTCCAAAGCATGACTCTAAAATTACAGGATTAGGTAGAATGTTAGCATTAAATGAAGATGAAGCATTAAAATTCATACTTTCAAAGGACTCGGGTGATATAAAAACAAAAAATGATCAAAGCACTATGGCAAATGATAATGTTGAAAAAGAAAAAATTGCTGAAGATTCAACAAACACGACAAATCCATTTGATGAAGAACCAACAACAAGCCAAGAGCCACAAGATTCTGTTCAAGTTTATTCATCATCTGTAGATTCAGGAGACTTTATTGCACCTTCAGATATTACTGTCACTGGTAACTCACTCAGCGGAAAAGGCTGGTCTAATGACAGTCATGATGATCTTAATGAATCTCTTAACTCTAATTCATCTCATGGAAGTAGTATGATAAAGACTCCAGAAATAAAAAGTTTATCATCCCTTATTGATAATACCAACACATTTGGTGACACATGCAATAATACCCCCAATTTGAGAGATATTATGAAAGATATTCATAAAGAATTGAAATTAACATCTGATGATACTGAAATTCTTGAAATAAAAATTGACACTACTTTACCAGAAGACTCTTCTCTACAAGGTCTCGATTTTGAGGTAGTACCAAGCTCCACTACAGGTTCATTCACTCCCCAAGAATTGCAGAAAATGATTAAACAATTAGGATTATTATCAAGAGAAAAAGGGCTTGATTTCCAAAACTATCAATGCAAAGGTTGCCAAGATTTATTGGGTAGCACTGTTTCAAAGGCTAAAGTTTGTGCTTATACTGGTGAATATTATTGCTCTAATTGTATGGACCCAAATGTTTTTATTGTGCCAGCTAGGGTTATACACAATTGGGATTTCAAGAGATATCCAGTTTCAAAAAAATCTGCTTTATTTTTATTAGAAAATCAGCATTGTCCTTGGATAAACATGAAAAAACTTAATCCAAAAATTTATTCTGGTGTATCTGATATGGCTCAATTACAAGAATTTAGGATACAACTTAATTTTTTGAGAGCATATATATTTACGTGTCGAGAACCTGTTATAGAAGAATTACAAAAACGAGTTTGGCCAAGAGAGTACCTTTATGATCATGTACATTTATATACAATATCTGATCTTGCACAAATACCAAATGGGTCACTAGCCTTACAATTGGAAAAGGTAGTTAATTTTGCGAAGTCACATGTACTAGACTGTTGGCTTTGCAGTCAAAAAGGTTTTATTTGTGAAGTTTGTCGTGATTCAAAGATATTGTATCCATTTGAAACAAGTTCAACCTATAGATGTGATGAATGTTCTAGCGTTTTTCACGCTAAATGTCTCAATGAGAATATGCCCTGCCCTAAATGTAAAAGGAAACAAGAACGGACCAATGACACATCACTGGTTGATGCCCTACATAGTCATTTCATTAAATGAGTTGATGTTCATATTATTTAAGCAAAAATTTATATTGATTTTCTTGTCGGCGAACACATTGGGTATAAACTATTAACTACATAAGGTCATCAAACTAATAATGTAGTTCATAATAGATAAGAATAATGTGCAGAGATTAAAAAGTGCTTTTGCAATTAATATTATATTTCACAGTTAGATATTTTAGATAATACACTTGATATGTGGTAGAATGTTTAAAACTAGCAAGTAATATTTTTGTGCTATTATTAGTATAATTTTGCACAGTAGTTATTATCTATAATGAATTATCTAAAAAATATTATGTAATATAACACGAAAATGTAGGGTGAGGTGTACCTAATATTATTTTTAGTAGGTCTCTTTATGTAAAATAATACAATCTTGTATTAAGGTGGCTTTGGAATATTATCAGGATAATTATAGAGTAATATAAGTAATGCATAGCAACTATAAATATATAAATTAAATAAAAGAATATTTAATTTACTTAGCAGTTTTATTTAAATATATTCACAAATTAAATTGTATTTTTAGCACTAAAATTCATAGAAAAGTTTAATTTTATTTACTTAAAAAATATATCACATTATACACTAATATTATAATAGTATGTACTAGTGATAGTAGAGTTATTAAAATCGTTATAGTCCATAGGTGAAATCATACACACATAGGTGGACCAAATTTTATGCCGAATTTTTCTAAGCGTTGTAGTATGGGGACCGTGCGCAAAATTTAGAGGGCAGCACTATTGTCCTTTTAGTGTTTTATTCCTAAAGACAGTGGGATAAAAACATTCATTTGTAAACACAAAATATTTATAAAAATGGAAAAAGTAATAAAATATAGATTTTAACCAGTTATCAATAATATTGTACATGGTCAGAATAGTTAGAAAGGTAAAAAATTATTTAAGTCCAACCATGTTTATGGTGTAGAAAAAAAGTAATAAAATTGAAACTGCAAAAGTTCTATTACAAACTAGTGTGTTAAATGTTTATGATGAGAAAATTATGGTATGTATAAAAATTTACTTTAAAAATAATCAAATTGAAAAACAACAATTTTTTCTTGATGTTTGACATGATTGAAAATCCCCATTAAATTCAGGTTCATTGATCCCAATAAATTCAGGTTTTTGCCACTAGTTGGCGTAAAAGTCTAGACGCACGGTCCGTGTTACACTCGTCAACCCTAATGTCGCTTCCCAACTCTCATCTAAAATAAGGTATGAACGTTGGGTGCGTCTTACCCGCGTTTCCCCCTACACAATTTACTGTCTAGGTGACTTATGGACTGTATGTGTATGTGTAGACCAGCGCTGCCTATTGGCGGGTAAATTACCCGAAAAGCGGGTAACTTTAGGCGATTTTTGATAGCGGGTAATTTTGACAGGTATTTTAGTTTAGCTGATTACATGTATGATTTAATAATTTAAAGCTGTGTAATTGAGAACTGCTTATAATGATTTCTTTTTCTAACATTAGTACTTTCTTTTTTCTATATAAATAATGAATAAATTACTTGAAAAAAAAAACTATTATCGGGTATTCTGCTCATGATTGGTGCCGGCGGGATAAACCGGGTATTTTGAAGTTTATTGGTCGGGTAAATCAACGACTTTTATCTGGCAGCTCTGGTGTAGACTGTGGTAGTTTTGACAACTGATGTATCGGTGGTCACAAACTACATATATTTGCCTGGAGTCTGGACTATTGCAGTTAGACCTCCAAAGTAGTTAAACAATGCGAAAAAGAGTTGATATCATACTATCTTGTTCTGTTTAAATTCAAGATATCACTGAGAAAACTATCAGCGTCACTGTGTTTCTTACTTTTTTGATTTTTAGATGTTTTATTTGTATTATTGTCTAATGCATATTCTTCAAAACATTCATCCAAAACTTTGTCTGGTTCATCTTGCTTATTTTTTGTTTTCTTTTTAGATTGATAACTCAGACTATCCTTATCAAAGTCCAAGGGGACAATGCCGAGATCTCCACTATATCGATTTTTGGCAACTTGTAAATACTTCTTTCCACGAACAGCAGTCAGTCTTTTATCCTGAAAAATAAAATTTTATTAATAGAGGTTTACATTGTAAATAATATATTACAATATTAATGTATAGATATATAGACTATGTACTTGTATTATTAAAACGTTGTCAGCTTCTTGTGATGCTTTTGCACTCCCAAATATAGAACTTGTTGATAGATCTTCACTGTCACGTTCCTGGAATAGAAGTTTCATCACCTTTTTTTAGTTTCTTTTTATCTGTGTTACAGTATATAGTTTTATCACGGTTAAAAATTGTTAAAAATCTCAGATTTTTTTTTATTCGAATGCAGGATGAATTTTACAATATTTACCATACATTAGTTTGCACATGTTTATAATATAAAACAGTAACTGTTTGCGAATCCACGACATCTATTTTTTATTATAACAAACAAAAATAGCCCGAAGAATAGCCCGTATTAGCGCTGTCCAATTTCTTTGTATGAGATGAGGCATCTGTACTAGTATAGTATTATATGATTTGTGGCAACGCATAGTGCATACCTTCCTGGGGTGCATGACGAGCGTGACGTGGCAGTGGCGCGCGGTGGCGAAGGTGCGGAAAGCGGCGATGACGGCGTCCTGGCGCAGGTAGCGGTCGCCCTCGCGCTCCTCGCCCAGCCCCAGCATGAACTGCACGTTGTCCACCACCACGTGCGATATGTCGTGCATGTAACGCGCGTGCTCCACCGCCTGGAGATATATATATATATATATATATATATATATATATATATATATATATATATATATATATATAGATAAAAAAGAACCCATGCGGTAAAAAATAATTTAAATATTGACCTGAGTAATATATATATTACTAAGTAAGGTAGCAATACTGTAAGGTAGCAATACATAAAATTTAGTTAAAATCCGTTTAGTACTTTATGCATGTAAAGCTCACAAATATACAGACAAACAGACAAAAATATCAACAGCTATTGTTTTAGGGTCTATATTCTTTACACAATACGTAACAGTCATTGTTTTTAAAAAATATTTCATGTAGAGATTTTGCTTTGTTACTATTTTTTTACATGTATAGATTCATTGAGGAAGGTTCTTCTCACGTGACCCTTACTTGGTTTTAAAATACTTGTTCATTGTGATTAATACCGCTGTCCGTACATAATTGTGGGATAGGTACCTATTTCACAAATATAATTACACTGAGATTATATTTACTATTTACCTCCATTACAACTTTGATGGGTTGCTGTCCGTGAAAGGCGAGATAATAGATGGGTAGTTTTTGAAATTCATCTGCAAATTTTGGGAATTCCTGAAGATTTTGCTCGAGAGGTACACCAGCAAATTGTTGCAACATTGTTCGAGCCAATCGAGAGTTACGTATCTCAAAGCTTCCCCATAGCGTTGTTACCTAAAATCAGTAAATGTAAGCTTGTAACGGAAGCCTTTTTTTGATATTCAGAAATAAAATGCTCTTGAAATCTTTAAAAATGTAGCTTTTAAAAATTATTAAATTACGTGCATTATATATTCGATATAATTATAAAACATATATTGCACTGTACACAATATCTACACAAAAGTGTCGGTTCGTTGTGAATCTACTGTTGCGTCGCGCATATACTCCAGAACAGTACTATCTATTTTATTTAAGGGGCGGGCCTGGATCTATGCTTTCACGGTTCCCTTACGACATGCTTCGCATGGTAGTGTAGGCGCGGGCCTACCCTACTGTGTCCTTCAGAGACGGTAGGGTGGCGTTGGTCTTGGGGGAGAGTGACGCTTTTGTCGCAAAGATCCCCAAGGCAAGTTCGGTGTACTATCCTTCACGAGGTTGCCAGCCCTGTTATTGGTCTAGTTCACTAGGAAATAGACGCAACAGAAAACACCGAGCGCTTGCTTTCACTTTTATTTATATATGTATGTTTATGTAAGTGTATCTATGAAATATATATGTACGTATATGTATAGCTTTAGTTTAGAACCCAATCCAAGGTGTTATTCGTACCGTGCCGAGGGATGCGTGGCTGGGGGGGAGCTCAGTCGCTAACGGTGGCTATCCGACACCTGGACGAATCGGGTAGTATTTTAAGTCCTCCCATCGACATGCGGGGCTCTGTCGGTGGGCATTTTTATTTCCCTAACTACTCGTGGGACTTGAATGAGTATGGATCAAAAACATAAAAAAGTAAATGACGCTACCACGTCACAAACCCTGGACGAATTGTGCCAGGACCTCATGCCGCTGACAGTGGGTGCGGATGAAACCGCCCAAATGTCAGCGCAACCAATGGAGGTGACTGCAGGCACCGAAATGGCGAAAGGGGCTTCTACAAGCCCTGAATCACCTACTGGTAACCCTGCTGCCACCTCCTCTGATGCTGCCCGACCCAAGCGCAAAAGATTGAGTGGGGCAGCCTTAATCCGACTTAAGGCTCTTAGGGGACAGGGAGTGGAGGCTGCAAAAGCCTACGAACTGTCCGCTAAAACCTTTGCGGAACTCAGGGCTATGGGGTATCGTTTCGATGCTTCGAAACCCGAATCCGAGCGCTCCATCAAAAGGACTCGCTCGGAGGAGGAATCACCACAGGGACAACCAGCGAGGAAGTCCCAAAGGTCGAGCGAAGCACCGTCGGCCCCACCACCTCCAGCTGCCTATAGTGCGGCCTGATCTTCCTCCAAAGTTGGCGTGAGGGACTCCACTCTTATGACTGACGCACAGCTGCAGTCACTCTACAACGCAATTGTGGCCCAAATCACCACTTTGGAGAAGGGTAAGGGACCTGCCTTTGGCGGACTATCATTCAAGCCAGGTTGGCTACTCATTACCTGTGCTAACCAGCATGCCAGGGAATGGCTTGAGAAATGTATACCTTCCTTACAGCCGTGGCCAGGAGCTAAGCTCGCTCTCATTAATGAGAGCGACTTGCCCAAACCAAAGGTTGGGGTGGTATACATTCCCGATCCGGAGTCCAAAGACGTTGATAAGGCGCTCTCCTGTCTCCGGATACAAAATGATGGCCTTAATACGGAGCTGTGGAAGGTTCTCAATAGGAAGGCGGAGAAGGGCGGAATCACACTCACCCTCTCCATCGACGACCAATCTGTTGAGACCCTTCAAAAAACCGGCATGAAGGCCTACTTGGCTTTCAAATCGGTCCAGTTCCGTATTAAGGGCATCAACCAGACGCCAACGAATCCTGGGACACTTCCCTCTGAACCTGTGCCGTCTACCTCTCGTTCTGGGGCCGCGGCTGCTGGAGCAAACGCCAGCGTTGCTGCGCCTTTACCATCTGCTGCACCTGGCGTGGCTCCTGTGGCCGGGACCAGCGGAGCGACTGGTACTCCGCACAGGTTTCCTCGTACAGGGGGGCACACCAGGGGTGGACAAACCCCCAGAGGCAAGAGCCAGCGCCCCCGCAAACAAAAGGGACCCAGACCCAGCAAGGGCAGTGACAAGCGCAATGGGGCCCGTCCCCAGTAGCGCTTCACACCCAACTGGCGACGCCCCCACTAAAATACTCCAAGCCAATCTACACCACGCTATCGCTGCCACAGCCGTGGCAGAAAACACTTTTAGGGCAAATGGCATGGATATAGCGCTGGTCCAGGAACCATGGCTTAACGCCAAGTCCAAGATTTCGGGCTTAAATGGAGTAGGTAAGATCCTAGCAAACGAAAATGGCACCAAGCCTAGGGCCTGTATCGTTTTTAAGAAAGGTATTAATTTCTTGCCTGTTACAGAACTTTGCAGTGATGACACCGTTGCTGCAATCACCGTTCTCAGAGGGCGTGGTCAAACTAGAGCACTTGTGTGCTCGGCCTACCTGCCCGGAGAGAAAGCCAACCCCACCGAAGAACTGTCTAAAGTCGTCGACTACGCTCGAAAACACAAGACAGAACTAATTGTTGGCTGCGATGCAAACGCCCATCACACAATCTGGGGAAGTACTGATACCAACAAAAGAGGTGAGTTACTTTTAGAATTTCTCCTAGCTAACGACCTTCAAATACTTAATAAAGGCTGTAATCCAACCTTCGCTACTAGAGCTAGGCAGGAAGTTCTGGATATCACTTTTGCTACTGAACAAATCGCTAAACACATAAGTAAATGGCATGTCAGTAATGAAAACTCTTTGTCCGATCACAAACATATTGTCTTTACCATACAAGGCTCAATAACTACTGAGCCTAAAAGGCTTAGAAATCCCAAAGCCACCTCGTGGGTAGATTTTAAAAACCTGCTCGCTGAGGCAGCTAAGGATTTTCCAAAATCAATCAAGACACCCGACTCCCTTAACATTTTAAACAACTTATTAACGGATGGCATCTTAAATGCCTATGAAAATAGCTGTCCTGTCAGGGAACTTAAGGTTAACAACAATACTCCGTGGTGGAACAAAAAGCTAGAACGACTTAGAGTTTCCACACGTCGCTTATTTAATCAGGCCACTACACCGTATGGGTGGGAACGGTATAAGAAGGCTCTGACTAAATACCACAAAGAGATCAGAAAAGCTAAAAGAGCATCTTGGAAACGATTCTGTGAGAATATCGCCCAAACACATAAAGGAGCGAGAATCCACAAGGTCCTTGCCAAGACACCAAACATCTTTCTCGGCTTTTTAAAAAAGCGAGACAATTCCTTCACGACCACAGAGATGGAGACGCTGGAACTTTTAAGAGCAACCCATTTCCCAGGATCGTACCCTGTCACCGGCAGTGAATCAAACCCAAAGGAAAACTACATCCACAGGGCAAATAGTTGCGACTGGAAGATGGCCAACACCATTTTTAGGCCTAACCAGATTAGATGGGCTTTGAAAAAATTCAAACCATTTAAATCAGCAGGGGAAGACGGAATTTTTCCAGCTCTGCTTCAACAGGGCATGGAACTCCTTATCCCGCATCTGGTAAAATTATTTAGAGCAAGCTTTGCTTTGGGCATTATACCAGAACAATGGACTAAGGTCAAGGTTATCTTTATACCGAAGATCGGTAAAAACGACTACTCTCAGCCCAAATCCTTTAGACCTATTAGTCTTACTTCTTTCCTATTAAAAACAATGGAAAAAGTAATCGATCAGCACATTAGAACAAGGTATCTTGTGGCTAGACCACTTTCCTGCAACCAACATGCTTACCAAAAGGGTAAATCCACAGAATCTGCCTTAGTAGCTCTGATCGACAAGGCAGAAAGGTCCCTAGAGGATAAGCAGACAGCTCTATGTGCATTTTTGGACATTGAGGGGGCCTTTGATAACACACCTACGGCAACCATCCTGAAAGGATTAAATGCAAAAGGTGTTGATATCACAACCACCAGATGGGTGGAATATATGCTCTCCAACCGGTGTGCGAAAGTTACGTTAAACGAACACTCGCACAACTTCTACACTACAAGAGGCTGTCCGCAAGGAGGAGTGCTTTCACCCCTATTATGGACACTAGCTGTAGACCTACTACTTGTAATCATGGCAGATCTCGACTACGATACACAGGGCTATGCAGATGACCTTGTTGTAGTAGTAAGAGGTCCCTGCCTGAACACAATTTCCACCAGGTTACAAGGAGCTCTCAATACCATCACAAGATGGTGCAGAGAAAATGAGTTATCAATAAACGCTGATAAAACAGTTATTGTACCATTTACCAGGAAAAGGAAGCTTGAAAGGCTGACCGAACTCAGACTCAATGGCAAAACCCTTAACCTATCAAATGAGGTAAAGTACCTTGGAGTCACTATTGATCAAAAGTTGACCTGGAACTCTCACCTCAACAACATTATACAAAAAGCCAAAATGGCCCTCTGGATATGTTGTCGAATGGCTGGAGCCAAGTGGGGCCTCAAGCCCAAAATGGCTCTCTGGATGTACACCGCCGTGGTAAGGGCGATCATAACATACGCCTCAGTCGTATGGTGTAACAAAACCAAACAAAAGACAACTATGAGTAAACTAGACAGCATACAACGGATGGCATGTCTAATCATCACGGGAGCCTTCCACTCGGCACCAGGCGACGCTCTAAATGCATTGTTGGACATAGCTCCGCTATATCTCCACGTGCAAAAAGAAGCTAAATCTTGCCTCTACAGGCTCTGTACACAATCGAATGTAAAGTTGCAATCGCAATATATGAACAAACTCAAGGAGTTGACATTCGAACACAAAACTCTGAAAATGCCAGTCGATGGCATGAGTACAGAGTTTAACTTCGCAAAACAGTACCAAATAGATCTTCCCAACCGGGACATGTGGCTAAAAAACCAAGAGTCTCACAAAAAGGGCAGTCATGTTTGGTTTACGGATGGATCCAAGAAAGGATCTGATGTAGGGTGCGGCATCTATGGCCTTAAGCCTAGATTTGACATGAGTGTCAATCTGGGCAAGGAGGCCACCATCTTCCAAGCCGAGGTCTTCGCCATCAACAAATGTGCTGAAGTCATCCTGGAGAGGAAGCTTAGAAACCAAAATATCTACATCAACTCAGATAGCCAATCAGCACTTCTGGCTATAGATTCTCTTCAGACCAACTCTAAGTTGGTCAAAGACTGTATGGATAATCTGAATGTCCTGGGCACATCCAACAGAGTTACCCTCAGATGGGTCCCGGGTCACTCAGGCATAGATGGGAATGAAAAGGCTGATGCATTGGCAAGAAGGGGCGCTGAAACCCCAGTTTGTGGCCCAGAACCATTCTGTGGCATTGCAAAACAACATGCCTATTCAATTCTCAAAATTCACTGCAATCGCCAAGCACTTCAAGAGTGGCAATCCACTTCTGGACAAATACACTCTAAAGCGCTAATTAAGGGATATCGCAAAAAGTTTACAAAAGAGTTGCTTCAACTCAACAAGTATAAAAACAGTGCAGTAACCAGAATACTTACTGGTCACTGCAAACTCAATAAACATATGTTTACCCTCGGCCTCAGTCAGACCGCAATGTGCAGACTATGCCATGAGACAGAGGAAACTGCTATGCATATCCTCTGCTCGTGCGGTCCACTCATGCACCGCAGAAGTATCTATCTAGGGCAGCATATTATGCAACCGGAAGAGATACAGATGCTCCCCGCTCAGAAAATCTGGAAGTTCCTGGAGTCAACAGGACTAAGCGGAGAACTTTGAACTCAGTATAAAGGGAGCTACAATGGACCAAAACTGGTCGACGTAGCTAGGGCCGACCTCGGCACCACACCCAACATTAATAATATAATATATCTATTTTAGATATTACAAACCCCTTGTTGAGCTAGATCGAGAGACATCTCCGCGCAAAGGGTGGTCTTGCCGCATCCTGTAGGGCCAGTGAGCACAGTGAGCTCCCCGCGCCGGTGCCCGCCCAAGAGTCGTGTGAGGGCTGGGAAGCGACGCCATTTCACCCCTCTAACCTGGGATATGAGGCAAGTCGAAGAAATCATACAAACTGTAGAGAAAGTAATATATAGAATGAGAAATGAAAACTTCTGAGTAGATCTTGCTGGTAGTAAAATTATTCTGATAAGAAATTTACGAAAGAATTCAAAGCAGGTTCGATGAAAAGATTAAATTTACTTATTGTAAATTATGCCTACTTAACAACTCATGCTCATGACTGTCTGTCATGAGCTTAATTCTTATTCATTGCAACTACCTACTTACATCTTGCCTTGTCTATGAGTATTTAATTATTATATATTTGGACAAGTTTTAGGCTTTATTCCTATTTCAAGTATTTTTATTATACAAGGTAATAAGATAATTGACTTGTACATACGGACTTCTATCATTACATCGTCATCAATTACAGGGGCGGCTATTATTTTTATTTCGTTTGTCTAGTTATTTGTGTTTAGATCTAAAGGTTATGGGTTCGAGTCCACAGTGGGAATTTGAGTACAGTTATTTGGTTTTCTATGTAGAAATACTTATTTAAGAAACCAGAGTTCAGAAGTTGATGAAGCTACAACTCTGAGCTGAGGCAAATCTGCATCTTATGACTGATCTCTCATTGGTCATGTCATCCCACCTGACTTTAAGAGTGAATGGAATAGAGTGTTCTCTTCTACATGACAGTATTATTATTATTTAGGTTTTGAGTAACAGACACTTTAAAGATTTATATGTATGGGTAGTGTAAAAGTTCCGAAACAAAATGTTTATTTAGAAATAAATAAATTTTAAAACATACTTTATCTATATTGGTTATTTCAGCATACACATCATCTCTAAGTGCAGCAAAAGTTGTAATGGAGCGGTGAGCTGCTGGCTTTGCTTCTGACACAAGATTTTTCAAAGATAAATTAGCTGATGCTGCTTCAGTCGCTGTTACTAATCCATCTGTAGGTCTAAATAAAATAAAGTGTCATATAGTTTTATATTAAAGACAGGAATGATATTATACATATGATGTTTGATTTCTATTTTACCTTACAAAACGACACCTCTCTTCCCCGAGCTTTTCAGCCACAGCTCTCATGTTATCCCAGTCCCCCCACAAACATAATTTTTGATAGTTTTCAAGGGCAGGCAACAAAACAGGGGGTAAGTTGCAGTTACTAAGCCAAATAAATGTACCTAAAATCACATTAATATTAGAATAAAATAGTGTATATATGTGTGTATATGTAGTATATGTGATTGAGAGAGTGTACTATTATAGTTACAATACTGTAATGAATTAGCAGAATTGATGTTTTAATTTGGAGATAATTTATATTTTGGAACAAAAAATATACTCCTTTTATGACATACTTATGATGAAGTAGGTGGCTAAAAGCCATATGTTTTATTCATGGACGAATTGTGGCTAATTCGTTCATGGTTTTATCATGTGTAGACATATATTTAAATTATAAAAACTGTTTTTTACATTACATGAATAAGCACATTTAAATAATTAGGGATATATCTGTATATCGTTTTAATATTATAATATTTATTATATAAACCTGTAACTTTGTGAGCAGCTAAATGGAGAATATCTTGCATACTAGGCACAAGAATAGCTTGGTCATTACGATTAACTTTTGCAGCTTTACAGTAAAATACACCAGCTGTATGTAAACCAAAGCTTTCAATTTCTTCTTCTTTTCCTGCTTGTACTTTTCGAAATCCCACTACTTGGTCCAAAGAATTTTTTAAAGGAAAATATAATACTGTATGGTCTGCTGATACTCTTACTTCTGACAATACTTTATTAGATTCATGATGAAACTAAAATAAAAAAATATATAGGCATGAAGTCTATTATAGAAACATTATTTTTTTTAAAAGATTGATCTTACACTTACTGGATATTCAAATAAACGAAAAAGTTCTAATAGTTCTGTTTCACTTAAATCTAAAATTGAGGTAGATTCTTTTATAAGATTTTCCCATTTATTTTTAAAATCTTCTACTTTTTTGTGTAGACACTCAATGTAATCTTTAATTGATCCTTCCATTTTAGATTTTTTTATTACTCTTTCAAGTATGTTCCAATCTCCGTGTGTATTACATTTGGGACATAAGAAATAACCTGTAATAAAAGTTATATATAATGTTGCAACCTTAAATTCGTCACATAATTAAAACTAGCAGCTCACCCTCGCTTCTCTCGGGGGCGCCTCTATACCAACAAAAACTATCTCACGGGTATCGTATATTTTTCCGGGATAAAAAGTAGTCTATTTGTTATTCTGATGTATGAACTATATTATTGTAAAGTTTTATTAAAATCCAACCAGTAGTTTTTGTGTACTAAGCTGTATAAGTTACTATAGTTTTTAACTATCCCACAGGAACTTTTAAATTTTCCAAAATGAAAAGTATCTAAAATGTTGACCGGGGATATAAGGTATCACCATGAAAAATTTCATTTAAATCATTCCAACAGTTTCGGAGATTAGCCCGTACAAACAGACAGAGATACAAAAAATTTGAAATAAAACTGGATTTGATCTATTTCTCTTATTACATTCCCTGAGTCCTGACACGGTTTTTAGTATATTTTTTATGTACGGATACTTGATCTACAGTTTTATTATATGTATAGATGTTGCTGATATATTCACCTGTCGTCTTATTGACATACAATCTATTTTCACCCTTCTTGTGCTCCGATTTTTCCTCTGAACAGAGCATGCACTTTGTCGTAATAGATGTAAATCCATCTTGAACAGCAAATCCTTTTTGTCTCAACAGTTTTCGAATATCAGTTACTGTTATCTTGGGTATATCACTTAAGTCTACATTGTGAACGTTTTTTATAGTACTTATTACATTAAAAGGGAGTTTAATTCTATTTAATTTATTTATCTTGACAATATGATACATAACACTTTGTTATAAAAGCAATGAATATGGACTTTTACTTATGATAAACAAAAATGTAAATATAACCTCAAAAACTCATTGTTTATGTCGTATTTGTAATTTGACATTTATCTTGTCTCATAACTCATTAGTCATGTCACATGCGTGACAAATAAGAATTTGCAAATTATGAATACAGATAAATAACGAAACGTCTAGCGCGGGATACCGATTTCAAGGTTCTAGTTCTAATACATTTTATTTTATATCAAAAATTGTTAATTTTTATTTGTTATTGTTTACAAAATAAAATTGTAAACTTAAAAGATCAGATTTAGCAAATGTAAGAAATTATTAATTATACTATATAGTTCTTGACTATGCTACTTAAAAAAAGACAAATTTCGTACTACAATAAACTTTATTTTTACAATTATATTTACACTTACTCGTGCAAAGATACAAAATAGTTCTATGTTTATAAATAAAATAAAATTACAAATTTTCTTATTATTATTGATATATCACTATTACTAAGACAATACTGTTATATTATATTGTTCTACAATTTATTTTTTCACCTGCAACCTTTTATAAAAGCAACATCTGGAAATTATTGTCGTATACTAATAAGGTGTGCCAAAAAATGACGATATTTTTTTTCTTCGCTCTTACCACAAAATATCTCAGAAAATGTCCCAATAAAGCTCCTGTTAAAAGCGGAGCTCAAAATTTCAATTCTAAGAGATTCTCCATCGAACTTTTAAGTTTTCCCATATAAAATGTATGGAAAATATGATTTGTAACACTTTTTTGTCCTGCAAACTGTGACGAAAATATTAAAAAAAAATGAATGAATGGACCGTTTTAAGTATTAAATTTACTACAAAAAGTTCCATTGCGTCGAATTTCTATCTTCAATATTTGATTTGTTACATGGCTTTGAAGTTCAAATTTACGGTTTTTTGCAATTTTTAGCTAAACTGTAAGAGTTAGAGAAAAATGTTAAATGGCAAATTTGTAGTACGTTTAAAATCCTATAAAAAAAGTATTTGTCAACTTTTTCATAACATCAATAACAACAAAATTTACAATTTGTATGGGAAAACATAAAGTTCGATGGAGAATCTCTTAGAATTGGAATTTTGAGCTCCGCTTTTAACAGGAGCTTTGTTGGGACATTTTCTGAGATATTTTGCGGCGAGAGCGAAGAAAAAAAAATATCGTCATATTTGGCACACCCTAATGTATACAATTATCTTTATATTAATTTCTTGTTAAACATTAATAAAGAAACATTCAACATTGGAAAATGTTTATAGTAATTATATAATTACTAACAAATAAAGTGGCCACCAATTAACTTATTATTAAAATTTATAGACATATATTTTTAATAAGAATAGTCAAAGTTAATGCTTATTAGCATAATCAGCTAACAATATTAAAACGAAAATAATAATTAATTTTAAAAGCTATATTATGTATGTATTACAATGTTAACATAATGGAATATATCATTAAGTAACTATAAAATATACATTAATAAATTAATCTTCTACATTTGGCAATAAAGTTATACTTTGAATGTTCCAGTCGTGAAAACAAAATATTTTCTTAAAAAATTCAGTCATAGATATAATATAGTTAATTACATCAGATCTGTTGAGAGTAGTACTTACTACTTAGGCTTAGGAACGTTCTAAGGTACTACGTTAATGCCTTACTTATATAAAAGTACACTTTTTTGCCTTAAGATATTGAAAAAAATTGTCAATCTATCGTATCTTTGTCATTATTGGTAATTGTACTATTACATTTAAAAATAATAATCATGAGATAAAATAAAAAACCTATATAAAAACAAAAACGTAAAAACGTTCACTGACGTCAGAACTAATGAAAACACAGGATAATCAAAACATCAACAGCAATAAATGCCAGACTGGTCACTATATCACTAGTGTTCATTCGTCTAACATTTATTCGTACGAATGTTAGTAGGGTGTTTGGTACTGCTGCCGCTGCAAATGCTGCACAAGTGGCTGCTGCTGTTGCTGCTGCTGCATGGCGAGCATCTGTTGGCGCATGCGCTGCATCTGCGGGTACTGGCCGCCCTGTGCCGGCTGCATGGCGCGCGGGTAGGGCGGCGCGGGACCGCCCATGCCGCCCATCGTCACGTTCGGTGCTTGCTGTTAGGGTTTGATATAATATATATATATATATATATATATATATATATATATGTACATATTTATGTCTTTTTTGTGCTCAACAGATAATAACTATTTTTATATGATATGGCTGATCCGATTTTCGGCCAAAGTGAAAATTTATACTGAATGTATTGATTGATTAGCATTGTCTCGAAAGACAAGTGCGGAAGCGGCACTATGGTCTGCTTATAAAACTTGCATGAAAATTAACAGAACATATGATTATATAACCCTATAATATGATATAGTAACTGTTTAAAATATCTGTAAGAATATTTTTGTTGGTACATTGAATAGTGAGTTATAAGATGTTTACCTGCATATATTGTGGTCGAGCATTTTGCCTTTGTTGCGCTAAGTAAGCCTCTTGACTTGCACGACCACTCAGCATGTTCTAAAATTCAAAAATAAAGTAAAACATAGGCAACTCTAAAGAATTTTAAATTTTAATGCACACAGGAATTTTTAGTTACCTGTTGGAATGATTGTTGTCCTGGGAATCCCCCCATTGCATTACCCCCCTGCGGCCCCATCGGCGCCGACTGGCTGTTCATACCGCCGATACCGCCTCCCTGGCTCATCTGGCCCATTTGACCCATAGCCTGTCCCATTTGCCCCATGCCCTGGCCCATCTGTCCCATACCCTGTGGCATCTGCGCAGACTGTCCCACCCCCTGGTTCATTTGGCCGACATTCTGCCCAATAGAGTTTACGCCTTGCCCCATTGGGTTTACCTGTTGGCCCATCTGTGCCATTTGCCCGCTTTGGCCCATACCCTGCAAAGAAAAAATATATTATATAACAACAGTTTTTAGCAGCAAGTTACGTTATAATTATTATTGATATTATAGTTACCTGATTCATCATTTGTTGCTGGCCACCTTGCATCATCTGCTGGCTGTAGCCATATCCCTGTTGCATTCCGCCATATTGATTGCCGAACATTTGTCCGCTCATACCGCCCATTTGGGCTCCTCCCATCTGGCCACCGCCCATCTGTGCGCCTCCCATCTGACCGCCCCCCATTTGCCCTCCACCCATTTGATTGGCGCCCATCTGAGCGCCCATTTGTCCCGGCCCCATTTGGACGCCACCCATCTGACTCATTGGACCCATTCCACCCATTCCCCCCATTGGATTCATTTGGCTGTAACAATCGTTTTGTAAGTTAGAAATAAAAATAAATTAGTACAGAGGTTGATTATCAATTAAAACTTTATTTATACTTATTATTATTTAAAGCATTATTGATTGTTTTATTCATTATATTCACAGTTCTAAATTATTAATTTCTGCCTGCTGTTTAGTCATGAGCACGTGAGTACTAATTAGTCCACTATCAAAACAAAATTTGCTTATAATCTTTTCTTACATATGTCGTGTCGTGATTATAATACTCACTTTAACCATATAGATATAATGAACTGTTCTGTTATAAATTTCAAGAAATTATTTAATAACATAATTTAATGAGTTTCATATTTTCATGTACTTTAAATCATAGTATATTTATATGTATTTATAGTATAATTATGTGTTTATGTATGTGTCAAACTTTTGCTTAATTTAGCCTAATGTGTGTAAGATAATTAATTGTTAATTTTCTTATTTGTGGAAATTTAATTGGTAAATGTGTGTATTTTATTGTAAGATATATGTCCTGTAATACTGTTTGTTTCATTAAAATAAATAAAATAAAATAAATCACTATATTGATTCATACATTCATTTCATCCCACTTTCTACAGACTCTAGACTCTAGAGCTACTGGAACGATTTAAAAGAAATTTAGCTACTTTTTTAAATATAAAAACAAACAAATAAGTCATCATTAGATATTAAATAAAAACAAAATGACTAACTTGGGCTGCATTTGTCCCATCTGGTTGGGTTGCATCTGTCTTATGCCTTGGCGCGGGAAAGGGCCTCGCGGGTGCGGCGCTCCAGGGTAACCACCACTCTGCTGAATTTTTAAAGGGTTGTTAGTTGTAAATGATGTATACTCTCTATAGTCTATATAATTTAAAATGACATGCTAGTTGTAAAGATATAAAATAAAAAGTGTTTTTTATAGCGTATATGAATGAGGCTAACTTCTATATTTTTCAATATGTTAAAAAAATTTTTTATATAAAGACAGAACGAAAATGACAAACACTGTGCTAGTATACAAAATAAACGTCAAAACGCTATCAAATTTCAATTATCAATTTCGATCCCAGTGCAGAGTTCTGGTTTTTGATAGCTCATAGTTTTTAAATTAGTGAGGAAAAATTACATAATTCATGGTAGAGTATTAAATAATATTGTCATTATTTTTAAGTATTATTTTACCTGCATCTGTGATATTTGTGTATATGGCAATCGCTGTCGCAGCATATTGCTGAGGGCTTGTTTGGACTGCGTGTTGGACGGTGGCGCCACACCACGTTGAGCGACGCCGGCTGATTGTGTTATAGATAATACAGGAATTAGTTATTAATGTAAATAATTAATTAGTCCTTTCTTTGTAATATACTGAGTGCAGACGATCAAATTTCTTAGACTATGATAATGTTTAAATTTTAAATTTCACGTTTCATAATTATTAATTATATAATAATTACACTATGGCACTTAAACGGGCAGACACAGGTCAGTCTGCCGTGGGCCGTGACCACGGCTGGTGCAACCCAGTCGAAATGTCGGGAATAAGGCCAGTAACAAATTCACGCGTCTAAGTACTGTGGTGTAATTATTATTATATAATTATGATCATGTTCATCATATGAATATGTATGTAGTTCTGTTTAAGCATTCTAAGTTTAAGATGTTATGGATTGATGTAACAGTAAAAAAATTACAAGCATTTTAACTTATAATAATTTTTAAATTCGTTCGTAAAGAAAGTAATGTCCTTATATTTCATGAGAACCATCATAATTAGTCATTATTATACATAAACTAGCACTATAAATGCGAAAGTGCTTTGTTTTACCTTTTATGCAACTGTAAAATATGAAATAATTTTCCATAGAAATAGTTCATAGTCCAATATATCCCATCACATGTAAGTCTTATACAAAAACTAGCATTGCATGCGGCTCAGCCCGCGTTCAGATGACCAAAAACCAAATTCTTAAGTTTTACATATTAGTGTACTCTTACATTGCGGTTTTTGTATTTTTTCTCAGAAATGAGATATTTTCCTGCAGTAAAAAGTATCTTATAAGTTGATCATCTTACCAAATTTCATCAAAATCTCTCCAGTGGTTTTTCCGTGATGCGGTAACAGACAGACAGACGAAAATTCTAAAAACTATAGATTCGGCCTCTGTATCGATAATAATATCTATTGCAATAAGATTTTCCAAAAAATATTTAATGTACAGATTTGGATTAGTTAGAATTTTATTATATGTATAGATAATAAAGAAACGCTATCAAAATGTTAGAAATAAGTGGTTCACTCAGTACTGACCTGGCGGGTTGTAGTAGCCCTGCCCGGGCGGCGGGAACCACTGCTGCTGCTGCATGAACTGCGGCTGCTGCGGGTTGGCCGCGCTCGTGGCCGTACCGCCGGGGGTCGTCGACCCGTTCGTCTTGGAATTGTACGACATATATTATTTTTCACATTATACATGCTATAGGTTGTATGTATAATATTACTTGTACCCAAAACCTATAGGGTACTTCTGGTTGACCTAGAATTGTCAATTTTGGTTAAAAGCAAGGTCTTACAGGACAACTAAAGGGAAAATTCCGAAAAATAAAAAAAGTTGAAAATTAAGGTAAATTTTGGTACTTACAAGTTTTAAGTGGTACCATTCAGTTATTTTTATATTCAAAATTATTTATATATCATATTGTAGTGGCAAGCTTTTACTATGTATTAGATATCTGTGGAAACTTGGTTGGTTGTAGGATTACTTTTGTATGTTTTATAATGTAATTATTTATTGTATTGTTTGTTTCCCTCAAAAGCTAATAAATAAATAAAAATATTGTATATATTATAATTTATTATATATATGGACCTATGTATTAAAATCCGAATTATTATATTATTGATGTATATTAATATGCAATAGTTATAATTTGTTTTGGACAAGGACCAATTTGGTTATCCTTTAAGGGGTGTATAACCTGATTTATTGTAGTGTTTTAACAAAACCCTTTTAATAAGGTTACCCACTCAACAGATTTTATGAAATCATTTCTATCAAGGTTATCCCTTTTTATTAGGGTTAACCACTAAGTTACCCAATAACTAATGGTTATTTATAATTTGTTACCTAATAAAAATGTGATACAATATTAGACTTTTAAATTATTTAGAAAAAATACACATTAAAAAGAAGTAAAGAGAACCTCAAAACGCGGCCACAGACATGTACTTATAAATGTGGCAACCCTTTCAACAGGGTTAGTTGTATAAAAGGGTTATCATTACAAATGATTAACACATTCCATTTGCTAAAATGTTGGTTACATATAATAAATAACAAACAATAATAAATAACAAGGTTTTTCTTAAATCAATTTGAATGGTAACCATTTTATTAGGCTTAATTTTTAACCCGAATTTTACGGTCTCTGAACTTGTAGGAAATATATAATTTTTTTTGTATATAAATATAAAATTGATATGTATTTTTTTGGTACATAAATAAATAATTATAAATATATAAATTTTGAAAGATTGTAGCTACCGGCGTCGTTGGTTTCGGCTTTTTACTAATTTTGTTATTCATTTTGCAAGACATTTTGCGACCTTTGCCCGATCCAGTCGGACTTGAATCCAAACTTCCATTATCCTGAAATATAAATATAATTTTCAATGTAATATTTTTAATTTTAATATCATTGACTCGATATTTTCAAATGTAGAGGTTACAAATACCTGTTTACTGTCATTTGTGTCCAGATCTTCGGGCGGTAGAGGCAATGGCTCTAAATAATAACTCAACGGCTTAACGAGACTATGCTTGTGATATTTCAACAATCTAAAACATAAAAAACATAACCTAAAATAAAAATGGGTAGATTTGTCTACCTACACACAAACCACAGTTCATGGTTTCGGGAGTGTAATAGTCTCACTCCAGGTACATCAGTGATTTTGTGCACTATATCCTAGAAACTTAAGTATACCTGCGCCGGCTTCGAAATTACCCCTTTAATTTATGTATTTTAACTTTTTTTATATAAATTATTTTTTTTAATCTTCAAATTAATACAATCAATGTATAATTACTTTAAAAAAATTAAATGTCAAAATTTTAATTTCAAACAAAATTAGCTCCGTGACTCTCTTTAGTATATTGCTTTATTCCCTATAGTTTCGAATTCGAAAATAACTAAAATCCCAATAAAAAAACAGCTAATGACATACAAATAATACATTACCTATGCGCATTCTCATAAGTAAGAGGTTTCCTCTCAATCTTGGTGGCTGCGAACCACGCCCACGAGAGCGGCGCGGGGTTGCGCCCGCCCTCCACCAACTCCCAGCTCGACACGCGCTGCTTGTCTGTGAGGCGCAGGCCCTGGGGAATGCGACGATATGAAAATATTATAAATATATTATAATTTAATATTTTATCACCAAGTGGCAGTGGTAGCCCAGTGGTAACGCGCTTGCTTAGGAAACCCAGTGAAGCGGGTTCGAATGCCGGGTCTCCCATCTCTGATATTTAAATGTGCCAATCATTTTAGCCTTGTTATCTCTTGCTTTACGGTGTAGGAAAACATCGTGAAGAAACCTGAATGTCTGAGAGAACCTAGCAAGTTTTCGAAAGATAAATGAAATCCGCCAAGCCGCACTTGACCAGATGCCCATACCCAGCAGTGGGACGTTAAAATGGGCTGAATACACGCACCCCACATACATATATTTTATCATCATTACCATCATCACAGTCAATCTGGTTTCATTTACTGCCGGACATAGTCTTCTCCTATGAAAACGGATATTAATATTTAACAAATACAAATGATGTTTATAGCATACCACAAAGTCACGTTAAAGGGAAAAATAAATTAAATAAGGACTTTACAATAATGAACAGACGCACTTATTGCTGATTTTCAAGACTACGTTTAGACAGAAGGAAATAATTGGGGGACAGGGATTTTAATATTTACCATTTAATATTTTATGTTAATTATGAAAATTGGAAGTTAGTGAAATTTACCTGTTTCTTATCGCTATCAAATCCAGTAATCTTGTTTCCTTTTTGATCCACGAGACAACCTAGAGGCTCACAAGCGATGACCTGAAAGGATACAAATAAAGTAAAAAATATATAACTCATTAATGTGACACATCTATTATAGTTGCGAAAGTTTTTATGTGTACGTGTGATTATAACTTCTTCACGTTGATTCGGATAATATTTAGTACACTAATGGACAGTGAACAGACTTCTGTATTTGTCAAACGCCAAAAGAATAAATAAGAAAAAAACCCGCTAAAACATACATATCTATACATATAATAAAATTGTAACTAAGCCGAATGTGTACATTAAATATTTTTGTTTTTTTTTTTAATTAAAATAGACATTATTATCGATACCGAGGCCGAATCTATAGTTTTAAAAAAATTTGTGTATCTGTCTGGAAAACCGCTGGAAGGATTTTGATGAAATTTGGTACGATGATAGCTGGTTATCTTGGTCAACATATAGGATACTTTTTACTGCGGAAAAATATCTCCTCTCTGAGAAATCTATACTAGACGTTAAAACGTAACTAGGGAGGAAACTGAGTGGCTAGTCACATTATCATATTATAAATATAAAAATAGTTGTTGTTGTATCAAGTCGCAAAAGGCACCTACAGATGCTTTTAAGTCAGTAGTAATATATATGCATTGACACAGTCATAGTTTTTTAACATCATAACTAATTACCGACCAATCTCCTTCGTATCTTTTCTGTTCTATATGACATTGGCGAAGTAATCTGTGCTCAACTGGCATGCTTTGAAGTCATTAACAAGAAAATTGAATTGAATATATTTACTATTTTTTTTAATACTTCCTTAGATTTACGTGAATATTTAACATTTTATATAAAACTATTTTTTGAATTATTACACGGATTTATTTTCATTTTTGGTTCCCGACGTTTTTACTGCTTTACAGCAATCATGGTCACGGAAGAGACTAAGATTTTAGACGTCTCAAAGGCGTTCTATATTTGTTGCAGACAATGCCTACCCACAATTTTCCAAAACGATTTCATAAATTCCATTCCATCGCCATTTTTCAAATCATTTTGGAAACAAGCCGAAAAGATATTATTATTTAAAAAAATCAATAATAAAACATTATATCATACCTCAATAATGGTGTTCTTAGAGAGCGGCAGCAGCTGTCGCACCGCCTGCACGCTCGGCCCGTGTCGCTCACCGATCTCCTTCTTCAGCTTCTTCATGAGATTCTGGTAGTGTTTCCTGTTGTTGTCGTCGCCGCCCTCCGCCAGCGTGGAGTGTATGAGAGTCGCGAGCATGTCGATCAATGTCGTGAACAAGTTGCTGTGACACAAACTACAATAAATTTACTGTAGATGGACCAGCCATTGAGCCACTCTACGCAGCAAGTCATGTGTGACATAAGCTATATGAAAATTCTTATTTACACTTGTTAGAATTAATGAAGTTTTTGTGTTATAGTTAAGCGTTTCCAATGGGTCGACTTGCTGCGTAGTTACAAATATTGATTCATTACATATGAATACCACTCCACCGTGATGTTAACGTGATAGACGTGTCGATGATATAGTATGCTTAGATTGCCACAGCACACTTTTAAGCATTATCAAGGTACCATAAGAAGGCTTCGAATATAATGGCGTGAAAGAGTATTATGAACTGCATATTTAGAAACGATTGATTCTTACCACAATACAAATGTTAAATTTAAAAGCGAAGATACCACCTAAGTTTTGAGAATCATAAACAATTTTTTAACTTGTTTTCAACTACATTTCATGTAATCGAATTATTAGCATTTTAGCATATTCAATTTATTTTGTTCTAGTGTCATATTTTCGATGATATAATCATATTATGTAATTTCCATAAGTTTTCTTAATCCCTCCACGAACGCGGACACGCCGACGTATCAGTTTACAATAGATTTCTTAGAATTTTAATTAAATTCTTAGAAATTTACCTGGAGGTGTTAAATAAGTATTTTGTACATTATTATTTATTTTAGTCGGATTCGCACACGAGAGGATCCGTAAAATTGTAAAAGATATAACTGTGTAGTGTGTACTAATCGATTTTTTAATTTGCATGCGTCCATTTTGAAGTACGCTATCTTGGTTTTATATTATTTGCTTTTACAGCAGCACTTGAAATATACACTCTGCAGAAATTTCAACTCTCTACCTATTACGGTTCATGAGATACAGCCTGCTGACAGACAGACGGACGGACGGACATCGGAGGCATGACAGGATTTTCCGTTGGCAACCCAAAAAACAATATAAAACAACATCTACCTATTGCTATACGCATCTATCAGCTGGTGCGCGACGAGCTGAGTGAGCAGCAACGCCCAGTCGGCAGTGAGCTGGTAGGAGCGGCGGATGGCGTCGAACATGCCGCCGGCGAGCGAGAAGCGCAGCTGCAGCGCGTCGGGCGCCGCCTCGTCGTGCCACGCGTCGGCCGCGCCCGCGCCGCACGCGCTGCGCTCGTGGTCGCGCGCGTGCGTCAGGTAGTGCGACAGCTGCGCGTGGATAGAGCTTAGCAAGCTCTCCTGGGACGAGATGTATATTTAAAAAAGAAACTGTTTTATAGACTTATAGTTTGTCCATTTTATAAATGGTTTTTTGACAGCTTACGCCCATGAAGTTTCGTATTTAATGGTTAACCGGTAAGTTAAAATTTCATACAAATAATATTGTACTTCATGGACGGGTACCGCCCCCTTATTGATGTGCCACACATAACGATTACTACGATTCTGCCACAGATTACAAATAATCGATAGAAATAAATGCTAATATGTAAATAAGGTGTAATATGTTATTTAATCAGGAAGACAGCAAAATTTTAAGGTTGAAATCAATAAATTAAAATATTAACATTATGTAAAGTTTTACTTTCTTCTTAGCATAAGGCATACAAATAAAATAACTAAAATAGTTTAATTCCTTTTATTAACATGTTTCGTCAGGATCATCATTTATATTAGATTCGTCCGATGAGGAGTCTTCAGTTATATTAATTATTAACTCTTGTGTGCTTAAATTATCAAATGCTATGTCACGGTCCCAATCAGACATTATGACTCTTTTAGTTCTCTCCACCACACTTGCCCAGTTCTCGGCCGTCACGTGGGTGCAAGCGTTTTTGAGTAATTGCAACATTTTATTCGCTGTGAATGGGGGCCTTGTATTGTTTCTTGCAGCATGCCCTTTTACTTGTGCCCATATAAGTCCTATGGCATTGTATTGGCAGTGATATGGAGGAATCCTAAGGACGTTATGACCATATTCTGCTGCCATTTCATCACATATCGTTTTGGTTTCTTTTTGGTTTTTAATATTTTTACCAATTCTATTTTTAACATAGAATCATCCACATTTTCTCCATTTTCGCGTAGCCAATTAATAATTTCATGTTTTTTATTGGCTTGCGTTGGCATTTTGTCAATTTGGCGAGAGTGGTAGGGCGCGTTATCAATAAAAATTATTGATGGTTCTTCCAATGATAAAAGCATATTCTTGAACCACTCTTCATACACCTCCGCATTCATTTCTGCGTGGTAATCGCCAGATCCCTTTGATTTAAATGCCAGCAGTGCGTCTTGTACAAAACCTTTTGCTGTACCTGCGTGGCAAATGATGAGGCGTTCGCCTTTCCAATTGGTACTGCGGAGGTGGAAGCAGCAGTGTCGTCAGTCCAGGATCGGGATACAGTGTGGTTAGCGTTGAGCCATGTTTCATCCGCAAAGACAATATTTGGCCAATCTTGAATTATTTTGCCTCTCTTAATAAGTCACATCGTGCCAAAGCAATATCAGTGCGTTCCATTAATATTTTTCTTTTATCTGATTTTTTATACGAAAAGCCAATTCTTTTTAAAACTTTGGCCACAGAAGACTTTTGACCACAAAATAGACCACTTCTTTTCAAAGAAACAACAAGTTTTCTTATAGTTGGAATTTCTTTTTTTAGATAATAGTCATATACATGACGACGAATGGCGTCAGCGTCAAAATCGTCAACTGCTGTCACATCACGAGGCCGGCGTTTTCTTTTTGGTGTAACAGGCTTGTTTTGTTCTAAGTCGCTCCTGCTTCGTAGGCTTTGTCAGTGATTTTAGTCACAGTTGTAAGACTGATACCCAATGCGGCCGCAACACGGTTTCGCTCTTGCGAGATAGGTATAAGCGGACCGTCATTTTGATTTTCTTGTTCAAAGTAACCATGAAGTTGTAGCACTAATTGTCTCGATTGTCCTTTCAACACACTTCCTTTCGGCATTTTCACGATTAATGTACTCTGCTAACTGCTTAATCTAAGCACTCCCAAAAGTTGCACCGAGGAATAAAACAACTCAACTCGAGGTCTAACAAATGCGAGAGAACACTCAGCGAACGTAAATGCGTGTGACTAGCACGGGCGTTTGTTGCGAGTGACAGACTATATATATATATAGTTTTACGATTATAATATTTATTTTCAAATTAATAAATATAAAAATAAATATTATTTTATATTTAAAAAATAAGGGATATCGATTATTACGTCCTTTAGGACATCATTATTACTTGTCAGTCGTCGAGCTGTCAAAAAACCATTAATAAAATGGACAAACTATAGCAGGGTTGTTAAACGAAAAATGTCAGAGTGTAGCGATTTTAGAAGAATAGGAAGTGTTGAATTTGATTTGAACTCATTAAAAGATTTTTTTGTCCTGAATTTAAATGTCTTCGTAAATTATCAACCAATTTTCATGATTCCCGTTAATTAACATTTCAAAGGTCACATATAAATTTTATGAAAAAAAAGAAATTAAAAATCCTAAGATTGCAATAATAATTAATTACATTTCAAGTGTTTTTGAAGTCGAATGTATTTTTTTTAATAAAAAAATATATTAGTACATATTTCGTTAATAGACCTATATATTTATTTTTATAAAATTTGAATTATATTATTAACTTGAATACCTTCTGATCGTCCTGGTTGCGCAGACACGTGAGCACGAGCGACAGCAGCGGCTCGTTGGCGAGGCGCAGGGCGGACGCGCCGCACGAACAGCTCACGCCGCCGCCCACGCCGCGCTTGCCGCCGCCGCCCGCACCCGCTGACCTGTGGTGTCCATTATTTGTTTTTTTTTATTATATTTATTAATTTGTTATGTTTAAGTAGGCTATCGCTGTTTCATTGCAGAGATAGGAACATGGAGTAGTGCTCAGTAGCGACGACCGATAGTGTCTAAAAGAATCTCCGTTATCGAAACTACAAATTTTATGTAAAAAACATCGAATCGTTTGTGCAATCCAGTGTCATTACATTCATCACAATAAAAAAAATAAAAAAAGGGTAATTCCCAAATAGATGGAACCCATAAGACAAAAAGATTCTGGTTTTGACTTTTAGTTTTTTTTACCTAATTTGCGCAATTAAGTTAAAAACGTAAGGAAAGCTTATTTATTAATCTTATACATATAGATCAGTGATTTCTTATTTGTAGATATTTACAAATTCTTCATGTTATAATAATAATATTACAATTGAAAATACCAATTCCGTACCCTTTATAACTAGGACTCTGATGGCTTTTGCAGTCCCGATGCGAGCCGCCGCCGCCCCCGCCGCCGCTCGAGCAGTTGCCGCTACAGCCAGCACCCCAACCACTTTCCAATATCTAAAAACCATTCTTTATTAATTATTTTACTTTGAACAAGAGAGTCATTATATGAATCTGCCCTAGGAGTAATTTAACTCAACATATGTGTTTTGTATTTGCTATGGTCTGTGTTACTTGTCTTATTTTTATTTAATCTAGATTCGTTGACTCTTATGCGCATTGCTCTGTTCCTTAATTTCTATGGATATTATATTATTATATAAGCTTCGTCAATAAACCGATTACCGGAAGAACAAATAACTTTTAAATCATATTTATACTTTTTGATATTAAAGCGCCATAGATCGAACTTTCTATCTTTCTATCGAGTAAAGTAATTCAAATCATAATTTGATTTTACGATTCTATTAAATTACAAGACACAAGAATAATACATAATATAAAGATTTTTAGTTAGTTCGAAAAGTTATTTTGCGAAGAAAAAATCAAACATTCAGTATTCAGTGATATCAGAGCATTATATAGAATACCTGTCCGGCCTGCTTGAGCACGCGGCCCTGCACGGCGGGCGGCAGCTTGGCCACCAGCGGCGCCACCAGCCACACCGACTCCGACCACTTGCTCGTGCTCACCACGCCGCGCTCCGTGCCCATCCTGTGCCACACAGTAAATCACATTACATCGGATATAAGAAATCATCAAGTTCATAGCACTATTTTACATTACTCATTTGTTTCCATAAAATTAAATTATCTATGGCTGAACGCCCCTATCAATGATTCACCCAAAGTGAAGTACTAGATAAAATACATAAAGACAGCATCACACTACACACCTGTCCTTGTCCGGGGGCGGCGGCGCGGGCTGCTGGAACACGTTGATGACGGCGCGCGCGACAGTGTCCAGCCACGCGCTCAGCTCCGACGAGCCGTGCGGGAACTGCTTGAACATCAGCTGCAGGTCCAGCCACGACATGCGCAGGGACCACTGCTCCAAGTTCTGCAACCATTCAGGGCTTAATCATTTTATTCTGTTAAATATATATTTGCTTTTAGACTAGAAAATCATTAAATATTAACAAAAAAATATGTATTTAAATAAAATAATGATTTGACTTGGTCTACATTATAATGAGATGTAAACAAAATATATAAGTGTAATAAAACGCAAGTTGAATGGTAAGTATAATAGTATTTACCTCAAGTAAACGAGTGATCATTGTTTTTTGATCAAGATCTGGATGAGTATGGCTGGCTGAGTCGGGGTAGCATATCATATGGAGTAATCTGTAAACAGTATATACTTTGACTTATGTAGAGTAGCCATAGTATATATTATTATTACATTTGTTAAGATTGAAGCATTCACCTATGACGTTATATTATATATAGTATATAAAAATAGGTGTGACTTAAGTGGTCCATTATTGCACAGTTTGTGTCAATAAAACTGCATACTTGTTTAAGTCACGAGTTTTATATACTATTATATCTTTATATAAAAATATTATACAATATATATAAATAATTTGTATTAAATGTATATAATTAAATTTTATGTCACCTTTGAGCTTGTCTCGGTGTAAGCATAGAGTCCAGCAACATATCTGGCTGGTACAACTCATCAGGGTTCTGCAAGCACTTCTGTAACACCCACTCTTCTGAGCATATTTCGGCTAGAACACGTCTTGCTAGAGAAGATAGAGATTGAGAGGAGTCGAGAAGAGTTGATCCGACTCCACCACTGCCTCTGTAGAATAATTTTAATTTATGATTAACAATATATAATACGCGTAAAAATGAGAAACATCCAACAGAGTAAACAATAAGCTTTCACTTGTGTATATATAGATGAATTTATTACGTGGGTGTGAATAGCGAAATTCAATATTACACGGAATAACAAAAGATAAAAGCTAAAATTGTGTCTCTCAGACATCAATTATCTATTTAAAAAAAAATCTTTTCGGCTAGGTTATCAAACCATTTTTATAACCTTCTTAAATTTTCATGCATTACATACCACAACTTTATCAATTTTTCGCAGCAGAGACAATAAGAAAAGAGAGAAAGAACAAAGAATATCTGGAAGTTTCATTAATTGTAATAGTTAATCATCATGATAAAATAAATATATTTTACTGAAAAGCATTTTTTCTTTTAGTTCTCGGCAAGTCAGGATTTTTCATAAATATCCTATATCTCTTATTGATCGAACAAGTCTAAGTTTATTAGAATCAATTACATAGGCGTGTCCTTTGTCAAGAAAAAACTCTTTGATTTTTGAAAATATGGTTAATTATTTAAAAATATAACATATTAATTTATAATTAATATCACTCTCGTTATTCTCAAACATATTTTTAGCTATTGCTTAAAGTTTAAATTTTACCATTTACACCCACTAAAAGAATTCACCCGAATAAAGTTAACAAAACATTTAGGTATTAGATATCATTAGTTCGATAAAATAAACAAGTTACAACAAATTAAAATGGTTATTCACATATATTTCTTTTAAGTTCGTGTTTCATAAAAGTACATTGAAATACATACTCATGACATGGAAATGGTAATCAAATATCTGTTTTATAGGATTACCTTATTTTATAATATCGCAATAAGAAAATACATATAAACTTGACTCTTTATAAAAGCGATATTTTATTTTACAATAATTTTAACAAAAATTTGACACGCATTTTTTTTTATTATACGTTATAGTTTCGATGTTGATTAAGTATATACATTTTAAACTTAAATGAAAATGAATACCAGCAAACAAAGAAAAGCAAGGCTAAAATATAATTATCAGTTAGATATTTTATTCACAGAAATGTAGGTCCCAACAACAGCCAAATATTTAATATAGTTCAGTTTTATTTTGCTCATCATTAAATTAAATAAATTACAATTATTTAGATATTTTTAATTAAAAATAATGTAAAGAAATTTAACCTTTTATATGATTAAAAATGTTTTAAACTTTTTTCCTTAATATTTTAATGATTCGCAAAATCAAACAAACATATTCCACATCAATTATTTTATAATTAGTTTTGAAGTTAGGCGAGAGGACCGAGCGAGGAATGAGGTGACAACCACACAGTAATGTGAAGCCATGAAGGTACGTGAATGTGCTCATAACTCATAAAATGAAAACAAACCTAGGAGTTCTATGGCCCCCACTCATCTCTGTATCTACCATCCTAAGAATAAAAAACATTATATAAAATCTTATTAAACGACACAGTACGCTCGTGTTTAACTATATATATTTATAAAATCAAATTATAATGTAAATGTAAGCGTAAGGCAAAATTAAAATTTGCTAATTTGTAATATATAAATTGAACCTTATTTATGAGGACTTAGGGTGACATGTTGTTTGTACTTACGACATGAGGTCTAATTGCGCGTCGGTGGGCACAGTGTCGCTCGTCCCTAATATGTGCGAAAGCTCACTAGATTTTTTCCCTCCAGGTTTGCCTCCGTCTCGGGCAGTCGAATCTCCCACCACTGATCAGAAGTTGGACCAATTGTTGAATATATATTGGATACTTATACATATGAAACTTTAAAAATATGATACAGATCGCGACTAACCTCATTATAAATATAAATCTGAGCTGTTTTTTTAGCGACAATTTTTATTATGCTACTAATCTTTATACTGTAACCGTTGGACGGGTTTGGATAAATTTTAGTAGTGTTAGGCACCTAGGGAGGGGATGCACCCAAGCGAGGCGAGGGTGAGTCGCTTGTATATCATAAAACATTTTTTAAATCATTACATAATAGAAAAATATATGATGAAGACTCACTTAAGATGGCCTTCAGCGTGGCGAGCACGGGCCCCACGCCAATGTTCTTGTGCGCGGCGGCCAGCAGGTGGCGGTCGCAGGAGAGGCGCACGCCCGCGCCCGCGCCGCCCGGCCCCGGGGACGTCGACACGCTGTACAGACCTGGAGGATGTGTGATGCTTATGAAAGTTATACTTCTTTTGGCAAGTTTGGAAAAAAAATATGAGAGTAAAATTTACGATGCGCGCGCACACCGACAGCCAAAAAGCGACGTGATGAAGTTAGCCGCATTCTTTATACAAACAGAGAGTTGTGACATACGGTACGAAATCTTTAGAAATTTTTGTTCTGTTACACCAAAGAAGTATAACTTATTACGTGCGTACATAAGTTCACACACACACACGTTTTTATTTATCTTATTGCAATTATTTAAATAAATTATAGTATACTTTATTCAAATAAACTATCATAAGCATTTTTGAATCGCTATTTTTTATATTTAATTAAATGTCACTCCGTACCGGCCAGACAGCGAAAATCTTACAGTTGTTCCTTTAAAAATAATATTAGACTACGTAAGTAATATAAGATAGTGGTAGCCCAGTGGAAACGCACTTGCATGGGAAACAAGTGGAGTGGGTTCAAATCTTGTTTGAGAGAACCTAGTACATTTTTGAAAGACACCTGAAATCAGCCAATGCGCAGTTGGGCAGCGTGGTGGATTATAAGCTGATCTCTTTTCGTATTGAAAGAAGGCCCACACACAGGGACAGAGCAGTGGGACGTAAAAAAAGGGTTTGGGCAAATTTTTGTATATAGATAAACTATGAATTGTAGTAACACATGCTACTTTTAGGCAGCTACCAGAGCTCTGCCAGGGTAAGTCGTTACTAAGTGTATATATGATATGAACCAGGTTGTGGCGTATCCACAGTCTTGAAGAGCCGCAGCAGCAGGTGGCAGGTGAGGCGCGCGCCGGCGTCGGGCGAGGGCGCGTTGGGCGGCAGCGGGCCGCCGCCGCCGCACGCCTTCACCAGCGACGGGAGCGCCGCGTGCCGCACGAAGTCCTCCAACGAAAAGCAGTGACGCGCTGCGTGAGAATTGTTATACATGTTATATATAAAGGTTTTAAAATATAGATTAAACATAAAATACGTAACAGATTACATATATTAATTCTTAAAGATCAATTTGTTACATTTTAATATATTCTTTATTGCACTTAAAATATGATACAGAAAAAAAATAACAAAGTAAACATAGTTCACAAAGGTGGTTTTAATATTATTTTAAAATATTTTACTGTCATATAAGCTGCTGGAACTCTGTACAGTAACTTTTGAGTTTAGCCAGAACAAATAGAAACTTAGCGACGTGGGGAACTTCAATTTCTAATATGTAGTGATTGTTATAATATAATATCTTATGCACATTTAGTATTCTATAACAGAACCATATAAATAGGAAGTACCTTGGTCTACGAGGTGCAATTTAAGTACCATAAAAATACCGAGATGACGCTATATGACATTGTGAGAGCAAATTAATATTTTTTTAGTGAAAAAACCTTTTTAGAAAAAACACCTATATAGAGAAAATTAAAAAAACAAGACCTTATTTAAATACAACCCGTAAATTTTATCCAAATCATTAGAGCCGTTTCCGAGATACACGAAATAAATTCATTTACATACATACATATATTACAATAGTTGGTTGTTTAATATTATAAGATAGTATATAGCGGGTGCATTACCAACGAGTATGCAGGTGAACACGGCGAGCGCGTCGTGCGCGGCGGCGTCGTGCAGGTCGCGGTGGTGCAGCAGGTCGGGGTAGAGCGCGGGCGAGTGCTGCGCGTGCGGCGGGTAGTGCTGCGCGCCGCACAGCGCCACCAGCGCGCCCAGCCACTCCGCCGCCAGGCTGCTGCACCACGCCGTCATCTCCGCGCACGCCACGCCCACCTCGTTCACGCTGCCCGTGCAATGCAACACAACACACGAATATGACATGTCCAATATTTTAATGTATGATTTGATGAACAGTATTCAGAATAGCCATAATGTAGAATAGAGATTAGATATTATACACTGTTAGATTTGCGATTTTAGGTTACCTCTGCTTACCGCCATTAATCGTTATTTGTCATTAGTCAGGTGATTAACGAATTCATAGATTCGACTAAAAATAGATTCTCGGTATTCCTATCAATTCTTCACTTGCAGTTTAAAGTTGAGTTAACGGTAGCCACCATTCTTGCATCTTATTCAAAATGCAATATTTATCTACGTAATATTTTAAACATTCTACCGAAAACTAATTTGAAACGCTAAATATGCTTCAAGCCGACTCACCGATCATTATCCACCTCGCGGCAAACAGCTAACATGGCGGAGCATACAAAACTGTATCTATTCGCTGGGGACTCTGCCACCTGACGTGCCCACGAAATTTCGATTTTTCCTGTTAACCCAGGAAATAAATCATGAAAAATCAAATAATTTTAGGAAAAAAAAACTAAAACTGAACAAAATTCCTTTTAATACCTTTACGAGGATTAGTGAAAAATTCGCTCAAGAACTGTGGATTGTACTGGTAATTAGATGGAGTTGGTGTCAACGGCGAGTAAAGCGCTTGTCTGTAAAGTAAAAATATACAATTTATTAAAACTTAACACTAAAATATAGCATACAAATTTTAAATTTGAAAAAAGTTAGATTAGAATTATATATTTGGAGGAAATAATTAGGTTAAAATGAATAACTGTCATAAATACGGACAACGTCGCGAGAGACGGCTACTATATTTATAATTGCTAATAATTTAATTCTAGTTTTTAGTATGTAATTTTTATTCATAAACGTGTTTTAATAATAATCACTGCTAAACGTGTTTTAAATGCGTGTATGTATGTCTGTTCTTCACGCTAAAACGGTTGAACGGTTTAGATGAAATTTAGTACATACATAAACTGTGACTGAAAGATCATAGATAGCAATAAAATTTATCAAAAAATCACGCTACCTACAATATATACGACAAAATTACTACAAAAACGCATCTATTAACGCATTCGAACAGAAGAAGGGTACTTACCCCTACGCTAATAAAAATATAAAAAAAAACTTGTGTGTGTACTTATTTATGTACGCACGTAAGAAGTTATACTTCTTTGGCGTACTTTGCAGAACAAAAATAGCTAAAGATTTCATCCCGTATGTCACAACTCTCTGTTTGTAAAAAGAATGCAGCTAACTTCAACATGTCGCTTTCAGCTAACTTCATCATGTCGCTTTTTAGCTGTCGGTGTGCGCATCGTAAAATTTAGTCTCTATTTTTTTCCAAACGTGCCAAAAGAAGTATAACTTCAAAAAACAATTAAAAAGCAAATAAAAAATAACTACTTAATCTTAGGATAGGCATTGGCGAATGTGTCCGCCTGCGGCGCGTGGAACAGATGCGCGGCCGCCTTGTACAGGTCGTGCAGCTGCGCCAGCACGCAGCGCTCCGCCGAGCTGCAGTCGCCCGGGTTCACCACGCACTTCACCAGCCGGCACAGCTGCTCGAACACCGCCGACGTCTGCTCTACGCACACTGCGAACGAGGCGGTCGTCGAACATGGCGGCTTTCATAATACTTCATAGATTTACGCGAATATTTGACATTTTAAATAAAACTATCTTTTTGGATTTTTTCGCGGATTTATTTTGGATTATGAATAGCGGTTTTCTTAAATCGTACTAATGTAATCTGAAACTAGAGTATAAAAATCTATACTTAACGGTAACGGAGAGAAAGTATCAATTTTTATGGCGAACGGTTTCGAAGTAAAGCACTGTTGTGCCATCTTGTGGTAAAGTACGTATTAAAAATAATGTAACACTAATTTGGCATGAAAGTTTTATTGTAATACTAGCGATTATCACACTACTACTAGAGATTACTCCCTGCAAACTCACAAACTTTACCTCTTTATAAAATTAGTATAGACAGAACATATTAAAATAATGATCTTTGATTATTTCCCCATATCAGTATACACATTTCCATAATCTATTTACATGAAATTATTTATCATCAAATTATTCATTTAATTAGTCAATTAATTAGTCATTGAATTGTTATGTAACATATAAATATTCAACTATCTAATCAAATCAAAACCTAATAATGTTAAACCAATTGTGAATTTAAATTAAGGAAATAAATAAGGCTTATTATTATTATTATTATTATTATTATTATTTATCATCAACACTCACATCAAGTACAACTTAAAACACTGAAGTACATTAATTGCCTAAATAAAATACGCATTAAGCTCAAACATTTTAATATAAAAGACTAATACTGTGTACTTGTATGTGTCTTAGCTTTATCATATTTAATAGAATACTAAGTAAAAAAACATTTCCTTCACCGGTAAAGTGTAATCAACAACTCACACAACAAGCAGAAGTGGTATCTGCGCAGCGCGCCGACGGTGTAGAGCGCGAGCGCGGAGGAGTAGGCGCGCGGCGCCGCTAGCCCGCTGCTGGGGGCACCGCGCGTGATCAGCGCCCCCTCCACTTCCGATAGCTCTTTTAGTATCTGTATATCAGTGAAATTCACTTACTATTGGGGCATTCCACGCCAAATCGATTTTCTTAATATTTTGGTATTTTTAGTACCTCTCAAAAGAGGCTTCCTGGTAAATTTTGAGATTTTTTGATCACTACCTATATTACCACCGACTTACCCTCGTTGCCTAAGTACGCGAATTTTGTTCACAATTTCATGGCTTTTAATTTATTTGCGTGAAACTCTATTTTTTTTCTAAAATAAAAGTAAGCTCGTCAAAACCGGTCCAGTTATTTCAGAGATTTTCCGAAAAATACAAACACAAACAGACAGCCAAAAATTTTAATAATAGTTTTTTCTTATAAATACCGTATATGACTACTTTGAATCGATAACACAAAACATTAAGCCACACAAATGTAAAAAATAAAAAAAAACATACAAAAATTAACAAGCAAATATATGGACCTGTATGCACGTTTCAATGAGGCCGTGCACGTTGAGCGCGATCTCCATGAGGTCGAGCGCGAAGGCGACGTGCTCGGGCTGCGGCAGGTAGGTGGTGGCGCCCGCGGCGTACGCGGCCAGCGCCTCGCACACGGCGCCGCCCACCGCCCACGACACCGCGCCTTGCTCGTACATCGACATCGCCTACGTCGATACACAATATACATTCATTCAAAATATTTAATACTAGCGACTCACCTTCTTCCCTAGCTTGCTTAAGGAACGATTACCAGGATAAAAAGTATCCTATGTCCTGCCCAGGGTCTCAAATTATCTTCTTACCAAATTTCATCTAAATCAGTTTAGTAGATCCAGAGATTACCCTTTACTTACTTACCCTACAACCTCACAAACCCACAATCTCACAAACTTTACCTTTATGTTAAAACTGCTAGAAGAATTTGAATGAAAGTACATAAATAGACTATGATCTAGAATGATAGACTACTATTGGTAATAAAATTGTCTCTTAAGTTTTTCTTGTATTATTTTTCATGATGTTTTCAAGTTTTTGAATCTTATGTGAATTTTGTTTGTATATAGTGTGTGCCAATAGAATATTTATATAATCTAAATAAATAAAATTTCTATATTAATTTTTATCAAATTTCTATAAAACGAGAATGAGATACATAAAGGCAGTTCACAATATTTGCCTCTTAGTAAAATCTTATTTCATCAATACGAGAATCGAACTCGTCACCATTAGTGCAATATGCAGTTAAGAACATGCATTATTCGTAATAAATACAAATTTAAAAAAAATATAAAAATCATATAACCAAATTATTTTACCTGAAACTTATGTGTGACAGCTTCGAAATTAAATTCACTACGGGAATGCTTTTTAATTTTGCCACCCTCCGCTACATCAATTGAGAATTTCTTCGAAAACAATTTGCATATTTCTGTCAAACATGAGAAACGAAAAAGTTAGATGTATGTTTGTTTGCTTAGAACATCGCTTTACTAAAGAAGTTTAAGCTTAAGATGAATGTTTGTATGATCTGAAACACCACTATAGAGTAATAATAATTCTTTAACTGTGTTTTTATCAATAATTATATACCATACTCTTTAAAAATGTATGACAGTAACTATGAATATACGGGTACGAGTATATAATAGTATGAATTTTAGTTTAAAATTTCATACAGTAGGCCACCGCCTCTGATTTTAACTGAAATTATGTCAAAGATTGTTAAAAGAAATATCAAATATCACGGCGACAGGTTTCAAAGTTAAGGCACGTAGCAAGTGCCATCTCTTGGCACTACATTCATACATACCCGTCGACCCTAAAGTGATTTCCTGACTGTCATATAAAAAGCATGACAGTCGGGTACACCTCAACTCTCACAATTGTCTTGTCTAGACTACCTTAGTTAGACGACTGCCTCGGTGGTGTAGTGGTTAGCATGTACGGCTGCACACCCGGAGGTCCTGGGTTCGAGTCCCGGGTCGGGCCAAGTTTAGTTATTGAGTCTTCCTGTATAGTAAGTCTCAGTAACAGCCCGGAGTTGGGAAGTTGGCGGTGTTTCACCCCCGTGCCTCGGAGAGCACGTAAAGGCGTCGGTCCTGCGCCTTAACTCTCACCGGTCGTGTCGAGTGGTCGTCCCACCGGAGTATGAGAGTGATAGGAATAGAGAGTGCACGGTGTGTCTGCGCGTACACTTGAGCACTATAATATCTCCTGCGCAGTTTGCTAATCTCATTGAGATTGGCCGCCGTGGCCGGAATCGGCTAGGAGAACATCATCATCATCAGTTAGACGACCGAATGAGTGAGTTAGTTGAGTGTGGTGCCTGTGGTTTTACCTTTAGTCATCTTCTTGACGGCGTGCTTGGCGTCGTCGCGCTGGCGGCCCACGCCGTAGAGCAGGATGTGCCGCTGGTTGGCGTCGTGCGGCGTGTGCTCGGGCTCGGCCGGCGGCAGCGGGAAATGCATCGTGTAGTGGTAGTGGCGCGACGCCGCGCCCGCGCAGCCCGCCGCGCTCGACGACCGCATGCCTGTACATGTACACACACACAAACGACACCTACACTACCATACAAGTTATCTAACGCCCTGTTTGCATTGCGATATATCACCGCCCGTTTTTTAATCTCGCAATCCTGTAAAACATTAAATCTTATAGGAGTAGACGCACTGGCGGTTAAAAATTCATTTGTTTTGATGCAAATTGAACGCGATTCGGTGTAGATTTCTCAAGGCCGTAAATGAATGAATCCAATGTTCATGACATCTTTCGATAGATCTGTCAAGCCGCCGCCGTAATATTCAGGTAAATTAAAGTTTTATTGTTATTCATTTTAGACGTTCGTCTCAGCCGGGAACTGCATCGAACTGATAAAAAACGTACGAAATTTTATTCGTAGTGCGTAATAAGTGGAATTCGGATCACGGAATATAATACGCGAGAATAAAAATCGCACAGTGAAATATCGCAGTGTGGACAGGGCCTAACTGCCTCGGTGGTCTAGTGACGAGTCCACAGTCGGGCCAAGATTAATGAATGAGTTTTTCTGTTAAGATATTAGATTATAAGGCTACTATTGATAGTAGCCCGGAGTTGAGTTGTATGTGGGAGTGTTTCACCCCCGTGCCTCGGAGAACACGTAAAGCCGTCGGTCCTGCGCCTTAACTCTCACCGCGAGTGTCGAAGTATCGTCCAATCGGACTTTAGGAGTAAATGGATTAATTGTACAAATGTGTCTGCGCCTACACTTGTGCACTATAATATCTCCTACGCATCTGGCTAGTCTCAGTGAGATTAGCCGCGGTGGTCGAAATTAGTAAGGAGGACATATTAAGAAACGTATTTTTTTTATAATATTAGAAAGGGTATTTAATTTTCCCATCATCATCAGTCTTCTAAAAATGAATTTTCTTGTAAATAAATATCCTTAAAACTATCTCACTTATAATACAAACTGCTCTTTGAATTTGAGTAACACTTGATTTTTCCTCAATTATTTCATAACAGTAACCCTAACCTAACAATTAAAACAAAAAGTATACCTCCTCTTTTTTGAAGTCGGTAAAGTCTTATTAATAAAGTATATTACCTGGCACCGACATGGGTCCCATCCCTATAGTCTGCATACCAGGAATGCTCATTCCGCCTGCACCCATCATAGGCGAGTTTACACTAGAAAATAATGAAATAAAAAAAAACTTTATTAGTTTACCTTATTCTGGCATGAACTTTTTAAGGGGGTTTACACCATTGGAATATTATTATATTATTAGAGGTAAGTATGTGCAAAATGATATTCGCACAAGAAATTCATAGAGTTCTAAGGTTTAAATATCTTCATTCTGTGTTTTTAAACTAAACTTACATCCCCATAATCTTCTATGCTTGTGATATGTGTCAGTACATTTAATTTTTTTATTGACTCCGGCTGTTAAAAAATGGGCACTGTTACGCCAGGTGATTGTTTTTTTTTTCGGAAATCCTTATATAGTTATATATTTATAAAAATACCTATGCGAAGGTTCTCCCGGATCTTTTGGACTGTCAGGCGCGTCCATAGAGTTCTGTTGATCTTCTTTTATATGTTGCAATAGTTTGTCCAGATCGTCGTCAATTTTTGAGTCATCCAAATCCATCCGGACATTTTCCTATAAAAATGACCAATAAAATATAAGAAATCAAATATAAAACAAAGTCTGTAGTCTATTTAAAAATTATATATAAAAAATACATTACAAGACGTCTAACCTTAAAATGTATTTTGCTATAATTTTAAATACATTTAATTTTTTAATTTTTAAATGTATAAATATTCTTTTAAAAATATATACATAATAATAGCTTTATTTTTATTGCTTTAATACATATATAAAAATTGTATATGAATGTTTTTTTTGTTTTGGAACGTCTTACCTCTGCTAAATTTTCACCCTTCACCATTGGTATGTACTGGTACGTATAGACACATGTATGTGAGCGTTATATATTTAATTTACCTCCATTTTAGGCTTAAGATCGATGCCAGCGAAAATATCATCGTCCATGTTGTGGTTTGTGCCCGTGCTGTTGGCGGGCGGCGCCACTGTGTGCACCGCGGACGTGCCCGTGGACGTCGGCTCAGTGGGAGAAATGAGATCGCCTAAAAATTTTTAATTAGTATTGTCAAAAATTCCACCAGTTGTTAAGTGAAAAGGAACCTCTGATGCTTTAAGTTACCGAGCTATATTTCCTAATCCCAAGATTGTTTTGTGATAGAGAAGATCCATGGTCAAGTGGTATAACGCTCTAATTTGAATTTATTATTTAGAATAACAATTTCTTCGACTTCGATTATGTTAGTGGGATATTTGTTTATTTTTAGTCATACAGAGAAAGCTATGTTTGGTTTCGTTAAAACCACCGCCTAACACACGGTACCCCCAAGTACCGTGGAGGAAGTAAGTGGAGTAAGTGGAAAAAGGAGTCAATAATCAATATATTCTTTCAATTTTAACTTAAAGGACGTAAAACTATAATTTTAACACAAAAATATAACACTAACAGTATTCATCCAACGAGTAAATTCATGTACCATTAATTCTTTCAAATCAAAGTTTCAATTCTATAATAGCTATTAATTTAGGTTCACAAAATACAACAAAATGTACCAATAACTTACCTCTCGATATGAGAGTACACATGTACGCGTCATGAGAGAACACATCACGTCTTATCAGTTCACCGAATAAGTGCACTAAGTTCGCGAACTGTTGCCTATTGCCCGGCGGGGCGTTTGGACTTTCATCTGAAAATTCAATGTTTTCTATTACTTATTATATTTTTAACTACTTCTTCTTTATATACATTTCTTACTACAAAAATTTAGTTGTTGTTGTGTCACTTAAGAACGGCTGGACCGATTTGGCATTTTTATTTAAATTATAGTATTAATCTGAGCAACGCGTGCGGATTTAGGTGTTTCTTTCGTATTACTAAAACAAATACACATTTTGCAAATATAAAGCGTATACGTTATAGAAAACGTATAGTTTTGTATTATTAAAAACCTGATGAACTTCCTTGAATTATTTACGCCGCACTAAGGTTTTATTTTGTTTTTTAGAGATCATTTTGGATTTTTTTTCTATCAAGGAAACTACAAGTAATCGTGTTTCTAAAGAGTACGATTTATAGAATAAATCCTTAAATATCCTACATATTAATTGCATATTTAAAGTTTTAGTAATAACAATACAGCAAGGGATCAAACGAACGCAATTATTTCGTAATTGCCTCGGTGCCCCCTTAAGGTGGACATTGGGATTTTTGGAAAAACTGAGATTTTTTGGTTATAGAAAATGCTATAGGATTTTTGTACGAATTCAAAGATTGAATAAATTGAAAGTTGGTCAGGATAATATCTGTCGGGCTAGCTAGTATAAGGTAATAATATAATTATCTCCTAGTGCTCCTGATCTAAAATCTTTCAACGTTGAAATGTTTATTTTGTCCTTAATTAGAGACGTGTCACTTGCAAATGAAATTAAATAGATTAAAGCAATATATATAAAAAATATTTAGTTGGCTTAAAATATATACTAAATAATACTTACCTAAAATGGGGGCGTCATTGTCTAAGAAACGTAGAAGTAGATTTTGAAATAAAGGCGGTCCGTTGTAGAGACCTGTTCCGGAACTTATGGATTCTTTGTCGTCTAAGCCTGCAAAAAAATTATATATTTTTTTGCATTTTTTAGGGTTCCGTACACGAAGAGTGCCAACTGAACCCTATTACTATGCTTCCGCTGTCCGTCCGTCCGTCCGTCTGTTAGAGGGCTATTACTCATGAACCGTAACAGAGTATGTGATTCCATTGCCACTATAATAATAAAAAAAAATATGCAAGAAATATTTTTTTACGTTCACAAAATCGATCATCGAAGTTAATAAATACATAGAGTAAAAGTCATATTAATAAAAAGTACATGTACGATGGTACGGAACCATTCATGTGCGAATTGGACGCACACTTGATTTTAATTTCATATTAATTGATATCTACTAGCTGTGATTACACAGTGTGACTAATAAAAACATATAATAAGCCGTATATTAATGCAACCCCCTAGTAATAATATTAAGAATCATGTGAGCATCCATAACATACGCATCAATGTATCTTATTCTAATTTCTATCATAATAAACAAGAATGTGCTAAAATAACCTACATTTAAAGTAGCCGGCTCGTATCCATTAATTTAGTTTAGCAAATAATATAAAGATTCGTTGGACCAGGGTAAATCCAATGACACATCAGGTGTGTCACCCAAGTAATGTGTAGGTTATCAGTTTGTGGTAGGTATACTGCCCACGTTGTTGAGCAGTGTGCCATGCGGGTTGCTCCTGGTACTTCTCTGATAGCAGCTCTGTTATTATTTGCATTCGTTTGCTCCCACATCCGAGTGGATGAGGGAGCAAACCTATGGTCGTTGTGATCTGCCTCGATAGGCCTGCTGTCGAGGCGTCGTGGTTCAGTGCGTAAGCGATCCAGCTACGACCCATCAAGCCAGGAAGTTCCGTAGCGTTTTAGTGAGTAATACTGTTTTTTTGCCGATGAGTCCCACATAACCACCTGTATGTATGCAAGGGTAATGCATTCCCCGACATTAAAAAAGGTTTTGTCAGTAAATGGTGACCGGTTAAGGGTACATAGTAGGTTGTGTATATTCGTGGTGTGAGATAGAGTGTACATACCCTGGTGGTCGTGGTGGTGGTGGTGGTGCTGGCGGCGGTCCAGCAGCGCGGCCGCGGCCATGGCGCGGTGCTCGCCCCAGCGCGCGCCGCACACCGCCCACTCGCACAGCACGCGCACCACCGCGTACGAGCACGCCCACTCCTGCGCACACACGTAGAAATTACATTTATATTTATTACCATTCACATGTTTATTATTGTGTTATTGTTAAGATAATCTCAGTAATAGCCCGGAGTTGGGAAGTTGGGGGCGTTGCGCCCCCGTGCCTCGGAGAGCACGTAAAGCAGTCGGTCCTGCGCCTTAACTCTCACCGGTCGTGTCGAAGGATCATCCCATTGGACTTTGAGAGTAAAAGGAATAAAGAGTGCACGTTTTGTCTGCGCGTATACACACACGCGGTGCACTATAATGTCTTATCGCACTATAATAGCGCATCTGGCTAATCTCAGAGAGATTGACCGCTGCGGCGGAAATCGGTCAGTACGACATTTTATGTTTAATTTTGCATGTCAAACTAGTAAAACGTTTTTGTATGAAATCATAAATTAATATATTATTATCATTTGTTTATCATATTTATATTAATTTAAGACGGATCGTTTTAGTTTTTTTAATGTTCTTGAATTTCTACCTTACGACATTGTAAGGTATTATAGCAGAAAGTGGATAAATATCAGAGATTAAAAAATATAGGTCTTATCAGGGCAATTAGTGGACTCTATCCTCCCTGAACATACAAATATATTACATCAATTAAATAGTTACATCTATTAGACTTGTAATCATTAGGTATTTTTGTGGTTGTAACTACAAAGTTTAATTCGCTAATTCTTTTAATCTATATATATATATATATATATATAACTGCCTCCTGTCCTGGGTTCGAGTCCCGGGTCGGGCCAAGTTTAGTTATTGAGTCTTTCTGTATAGTAAGTCTCGCTAACAGTCCGAAGTTGGGAAGTTGGCGGTGTTCCACCCCCGTGCCTCGGAGAGCACGTAAAGCCGTCGATCCTGCGCCTTAACTCTCACTGGTCGTGTCGAGTGGTCGTCCCACCGGAGTATGAGAGTGACAGGAACAGAGAGTGCACTTGTGTCTGCGCGTACACTTGAGCACTATAATATCTCCTGCGCAGTTGGCTAATCTCAATGAGATTGGCCGCCTTAGCCGGAATCGGCTAGGAGAACATCATCATATCTTTATATATATAATTCTTCTGTGAGTGTGTATGTCACTGAACTTCTCTCAAACGACTGGACCGATTTTGATGAAATTTTTTGTGTGTGTTCAAGGGGATCTGGGAATGGTTTAGATTCACAATTTGAATAATAATTTTCATCAAAATGGTCCAGAATGTATTAGCTTATTAAAAAAAGTTTGAAATTTTCAAATTAAAGACGTGTAGACAGGACAACGTCTGTCGGGTCCGCTAGTATATATATATATATATATATATATATATATATATATATATATATATATATTTAGATGATATTTAGGGTTTGTTACCAGACTTATAACTCGAAAACTGCTGGACCGATTTTTATGATCTTTATTTTGTTGTCTTAGCGCTCACCCCGAGTAGCAGAATAACTATTAAAACACAGGAAAAAATCACAAAAAAAACTAGTTTTCAATACAAGCATAAAAATAACAAAGTAAGATTATACATGTAATAACATGACATAACATGGCATATACATATTATATGCATATGTATAATGTGTATACCACAGAAATCTTAATAATAAGCTAATAGAAGTGGACGCGTGACCTTGTCGCCGCGCATGTGACTCGTAGGTCACAAGCGCGTGTAAAGCGTTTGTTGCGGTAACTAGTGTTATTTGAGACACGGAGAGGTAAACATGGTGTTTTGCAGCATATCCAACTGCGGAAATTCTTCCACAACTTGTAACTTTACAAATAAAGGGATAACATTTCATATATAAGTACTTAATTTTTGAAATAATGTCGTTTTTAAGAAATATAGCCAAATCAAATGTTTTCACCACCACTACTACGATTATCGCAGGAAAACGTTTTTTTTTTCAATTCAATAACCATTACCACTTAAGCTTGTTCATGTCTACTATTACAACTGCTAAAAGCAGCAATGAAATAATAGTCATGCGTAAAGAACAATATCGTCGCGCACGTAAATTCCAAGGACACGCCGCATAAGTTGACCGCGAATTAGTGACGTGCCACCACTATTTTTTATCGAAAATTTATTACGTTTGGCTTAATATTTCTCGTTAAATATTTAATTGTTACATCTCATTATGTTTGTTTTCTTTCTGTCTGAATAATTTAAAAAAGTCATTTATCAACGATTATCTGTAAATTCGTACTTTTAAACTACTTTTTCATTCAGAAAATTATTAGGAGGTAGGCTTATTATTGTTATGTATATGGGTAAGTCAAAAACAGTATGCGTTGAATATCCTTGTATCGTTGACATGTTCCGCATTTACCAAATTTTTTTTTTTGATTTGATTGAGTAAATAATTCTAAGGGCGAGTTGTTTGATAAACATAACATAGAAATTCTATAAAAAAATTTAAGTCATTGTTAAAAATGTATAGGATTTTAACAAATAGTTTGCATAACTTTTGTATAATAATAATAATATTTATTGCAAAGGTATACACCCAATTTAGAATATAATAACATATATGTAGTTATACAAGTCAATTTTTATATCACTTATGCATATATATGCAAGTCATTAAAAACATTATAAAAACAAAATTCAGTCAGACTCTTCATTAAATTAAATTAGAATTAAAAACAATATATCGCTGTTGAGTATATAGTAGCTGTTGAGTGTATAACTATATAATAATAAAAAAAAAAACTTACTTTTAACGTTTTATTCTATTCCCTTTATGAAAATAAATAAATCGTCTAAAATCGCGTCGAGGAATGAAACATAAAACACTTTCAATAAATTAGTTACCTATTGTTGCAAGACTCAACGGAAAATTATCGATATGAGCATTATGCGCTTTGTGCTGCACTAGAAGTGAGCGCGCGATATCATTCTGTGCTTTTCGCACACGTTTATTATTGGTCACAGGGATCACGGGTTCTGAGATTATGCGTTTTTAGAAAATATTGCGTAATGTCATCCTCTTAAAGTTTAATTTTTGTTGCAACAATGCAAAATGCATGTGTGAGCGATAGTGTGTATTTATTGTTTGTCAATGTGTTGGTAGCTGCAAGCCGGCGACACGCGTCCCAGTACTAAAAGACCGCAATGGCATTTCTATTACCTTATTATTAAGATTTATGTGGTGTATACTCACAGGATCTTTCGGGTCAGGGTTGCCATCCTTGTTGGGCGGCGTGCAGTTGGCGAACACTTCCTTGTACAGCGTGTCCAAGTTGTTGTTAGGGTCGACGCGGTCGAAGCTGTGCCTGTCCAGAGCTTCCAGCACAGCTAAAACTCGAGCTAAACAAACATTTTAATAATTTTTTTAACTATAATAATGACCTGCATAGATTATTTGAACCTCAATTTTTTTTACAACTATGGAAAAGTTCGCGTTGTATACTAAGTTAATAGAATTTTCGTTAAAAAAACATTGATATCATTATAGTAGACTTTATTTTTTTTTACAGATATTAAGTGGATTAAAATTTATGTAAGACTATATACTCGTACATTAACTTAACATAATGATATACTAAATGATAATTGATACTAACCTTGTGAGCTGGTCTGCCATTTGTCTGTACACCATTTGCTTTCAGCTTTTTTACTTCGAGCAGATATTTCCTGTTCCGCTTCATAAACCTACAAAAGACAATATTCATCACACATACACATAATATCAAATCTAATATATTAAGTTAAATATATACGTGTTATATTTACAATAGCTTAACAGTAGTTATCTGTTTTGGCTAACGGTTTAAATTGTTGAGATTAGACATATCACATTTTTTTTTCTTTCATTTGAATTTCTCGGTTTTTCTGTACTATAATATGCATGTATTATACATACCGATGTAGGACCGACGGCTTTACGTGCTCACTGAGGCACGGGGGTGAAACACCCCCAACTTCCCAACTCCGGGCTGTTGCCGGGACTTTCTTAACAGAAAGACTTAATAACTAAACTTGGCCCGACCCAGACTAGTTGATATACATACCTACTACACATATATAACTTTAAATACGTGCATATTATAAATATAAACACCCATGACTGGAGTACAAACATTCACGCGACCACTGGCACAGCAAGTAGGGTCACTTCTCACTAAAAACTAAGCCAAACGTGTCGTCCAATTTGTATATATATAGATGAAAATATGTATAATGTATAAGTATATAAATGTTAGTACCATGCGTCGGTGTTCCTCAGTGAGGGCGGAGTCCATCTGCGGCATGGGCAGCGCGGAGGGCGGCACGGGCAGCAGGTCCAGCGGCGAGCCCGCCAGCGCCGACCCGCAGCCCGACCACACCAGCGCCGTGGGGCACTCGATGCAGATTATCTGTTCAGTCCACACGATTAGCTTTATCTTAGACACTATTAATTTATGTGCAACAATATTAATACTATGTAATATAAAAGTAAAAGTAGACCGAGAAAGGTAAGGATAGACTGCATGTAAGAGGATATGTGTATGAAAGATGCATGAAATGACGATGACGGCGATGAAAGCTGATAGAAGGAATTATGTTGCGCCGACCCCTCGTAACGTATGATAAGACAAGGAAAAGAAGAATAATAATACTAATCTATCTTGGACACTTTTTATTTATCTACAACTAGCGACTCACCCTTGCTTCGCTCGGGTACGTACGTCCTTAGCCTGCTTCCCATTACAAACTTTCATCCCCATCCCCACCCCCTTAAGTGATGATTTCCGGTATAAAAACTATTTCACTCACTCACTTTTCATATTATGTGATTTACAAAAATCTTATTTTAGTAAAAAAAAAATCTTTTAATTTTCATTTATACAAAGCTTGTCCTGACAATAACAAACACAAATAAAAAGAATTATCCAATTTGGTGCAGTCGATCGGAAGTTATGCGCGTACATACATACATTTCGGTGATGCATTTTTATTTATATAGATTAGTGACTTACCCTCGCTCACCGTACCTCACTGGTACCTAACAAGTAACAATACTGCTAATTAAGAATAACCAATGTGTTACTCCAAATCATAGTCTATATGTACATCTATATATTAAATATCATCCAAATCCGTCTAGTCTTTTCAGGGTAAAAGATTAACACATGAATAATACAATAATAATAACACATGAATAATATGAAGTCGCGTGAAAGGCGTGTTTAATTATCAAAACCTCTTCATTAATTTTATAAATTGAAATTTACTTTATACTTTCTTAGATATACACGAATATTTTACATTTAAATAAGACTATCTTTTCAGATTATTTCGCGAATTTATTTTGATTTTTGGTTCCAGACGTTTCGAATGCTTTACAGCAATCATGATCACGGGAGAGACTGAGGTGTTAGATGTCTCAAAGGCATTATATAGTTGTTACAGACGGCCTACCCACAACAGGACAGGTAGTGCTATAAAGCATTCGAATCGTCGGGAATTAAAAATCAAAATAAATTCGCAAAAAAATCCGAAACGATAGTTTTATTTAAAATAAAATTTACTTGTTTGTGCGATTTTATTAGGAAAGTTATGTTCTTGAATCATTTTACTTCTCATATCTTAGTACAACTAGTTAGTTCATCCTGTCATATTTTAGAAGTTTTAAAGTTAGAAAAATTCTAAAATATAAAAGGATGAAGTTAAAATATGAGCGGGAAAAAAATATTCATTTGACTAAGTCGAAAACTACTAACTACTTACAATTTATTAACTTTACCCCAAGGGGATATACATACGACGCGAGTTCGACGCCCGTTCGACGACGCATATACGACGACGCAATAAGAACGCATCTGCATTTTTTTTATTTATCAGACAACGCGTTAAAAAGTTATCGTGTGCATAATCCCTAAAATATATTATTTAGAAATATTATTATACCTGCAAGATAGTAGCAAGTTGGATTATAACGTCTCGGTGAAAGGAACAGTTGAGTATCTCCCCAAAGCCAACTTGTACTGGATTCATTGCTGATGCTATCACTGTAGTTAATGTTGCTTTAGTATCCCTCGGGGGAGATGCGGCTTCCTCTTTCACTTGTACATCCATTGTTTGTTGTGGATTAGGCGTTCCCATGGGATTGGGAGTTCCGAGGGAGTGATTCGGATTGGGAGTTCCTAGGGAATGGTTGGGATTGGGTGTCCCTTGGTTAGTATCAGCAGGGGTTGCTGAACGTTTGATTTGTGATACATTTGGTTTGACATCCCCATTAGCTTCATTGTTTGGAGACATCGGAGTACCATTTGCTTCTGAGAAAAATTAAAAAAATATTCCCATGAACACATTGATTTAGCCAACATAAAATGGAGACAAAAGCTATTATTACTGTGTGGTAAAAACCCACTGATTATGATGCTCAAAAGGATTTGAATTTTATTTGGAAGCAGTGTTAGTTTTATGCATACACTCATTAAAATCTTGAGATGATTTAACTTCATGCAAAGTATTCAGAAATTTCTTAAAAAGGAAATACAAACATAAACTATGTTAGGCTTCAATTAAAATGCAAAATAAAAACTAATCTCTAACCTCCATTCCTATCATTAGTCTTATTATAGATAGTAGGTTGGTTAAGTGTTCTGAGGGTGGTGTCAGAGAGGACAGAACAAATCGCAGCTGCTTTCTTCGCGCAGGACGTGGCGAGGCGCCGCGACAACCCTTCGCAGCAGACAAACTCACTCATATGTTGTAGCGCTAGCGGCAAGAACAATCTGGCAATAAATAAAGTATTATATACATATAAAATTGAAAACTTTTTGCATGTTTTAGAATATTAACATCGATATAAGGGCAGAACTAATAATCCATACTAATATTATAAATGTGAAAGTGTGTTTGTTTGTCCTTCTTTCACGTCAAAACAAAGTGACGGATTTGTTTAATTTTTTGTGTGCAGATAGTTGGAGGACTGGACAGTAACATAGAATACCATTTACTGCTGGAGATTATTTCATTCCCACGGGAAAACACGTTATAATAAAACCCAAACCACTCAGTATATATATATATATATATATATATATATACTGAGTCTTTCTATTCTATACTAACCGTTACATTATATAATTATAATTTCAAAACAATGTATTAATAATTTACAAAAATAACTAACTTTAAAAGTCCATCATCAGGCGCTCTCTTGTCAAGCAATTCAATTATCCATGTGAGGAAGTCATGTCGGTCCAGTAGGCCTTCGTCCAATAGATATCTGGCCAGACGGCAACAGTAGTTCCACTGCCGCAGGGCCTGTCTCCAATCAGTGCTGTCATTTGAATTTGGTGTTGATGACCCCAGTCCTGGTGATGATGATAGTTCCTATGTAAGTCTTGCTCAACAAAGTTTAATACAAACAAAAGGCTAAGAACTTGTCAATGTTAAAACATAAAAGTGAATATAATGTACTAGCGTTTTCCTGCGGCTCCACCCGCATAGTAAATTAATCACCAACATATCATATACTAAAACCTTCTTCAAAACACGCTACATCTTATGGTATGAGTATTATTCCGATCGGTTCAGTAGTTATCGCATTATAACAAAACAAAACAATTGCTCTCCATTTATTAGTATAGCTGGGCTTATGTTATGAGAAAAACATATTTTTATTGTTTTTTTTATTTGTACTTAATCTTGATTATTTATTTTAAAATTGATCTAAGCATGCAGGTATTTCAGTATTATTTTACCACTTGAATTTCCTGGTGAGTGCATGGAGTTTGGTACAGTAGAACTATTTGGAGTGGTGCCACCTGGTGGGTTACCCGAGGAGTTGTGACTTGGGGTTCCTTGACCTAGATAAAAATAACATATATTATCTTATGCATCTTCAAATCTCAAAATTTTATTTAAAGGATTAGCAACTTCTTAGTGTTCTAAAGAGTTTTTGTTCCATGGCAAGTATAGTGTATTAAAAATGTCAAACATAATTTTATAATACAAAAATTAACTCATCACTGTCTTGATTAAATACACTTGTCATGATAATAGTTGATGATTTTAGAAGCAACTAAGAATATGATAATCTTCAGGCTACACATAAATACATCAAAATATGCTTTAACTTAAATCTATACAATTATGTATTTAAATAATACCTGACATTAAATGTAGAGTATTTAGTAGGTAGGTGTTGTAATTATAATTTTATGGATTTACCAAAATACACTATATAAAACATTCAATATAATAATATAATTTTAAACTACATAAAGTAATTTCATACCTGACTGAGATGGTGGAGTCTTATCGGAAATATTTCCTGGAGTTGCATTTTGGTAATATTCAGCTAACTTTGGTATCTGATCTTTGAGAAACTTTATCAATGTTGTGGTCCATTCTGAAAATATTATTTGTAATAAAAGATAAAGAATATAATACAATATACTCATAAAATAAACAAATTACCATTTCATTATATTTCTTTTTGTATAGTTTTATGAAACAGAAATATATTGCTTACCAGTAGTTGGATCTGGAAGCTGTCTCTTTTTAATTTTAGCTTCAGAAACTGCAACAGTATATGCTGAACTGAGTTTAATGAACCAAGCAGCTCTTGGCATGGCCACTTGGTATTCAGTCAATGTTATAAAAATCTCTTCTTTCTTATTAAAATTTGGTGCTTTCTTAGCAAGTTGTGAAAGTGGTTTGTTTCCTGGAAGCAATAGCATATATTTAAGCTAAATTATATAATGATTCTAAAATAATTTACACCTCCAATTAAACAAAAAAAGTTATCTAATATATGGATAAGTTATTTAATTTATGAAGGCATAAATTTGACATACTTGTAAATTATATTTTTAATATTATAAATGTAAAATACTGGATGGATGTTTGTTACTCAATCATGCCAGAACAGCAGAACAGATCTGGATGAAATTTGGCACAGAGTTAAATTTAGTCTGGAATATCACATAGGTTACTATCCTGGAAAAATGTACGGTTCCTGTGGGATAATTTGTATTTGTTCTTTACAAGGGATGAACCCAAGCAAAGCGAGGTTGAGTTGCTATTTATACTATAAGACAAAACCTATAGGTAATAGTAAGTATAAGTAGTAATAACATCACCATAATCTTTTCAAATTCCAATTAAGTTGATTGGTTGAAAGTACAATATTTAAACTATTTTCTTAAATCTATTTGTATATTCAATACATTACCCATACCTGCTAAGTCTTTAAACCAAGCTTCAATTTGTGGCTTAGTTCTAGCAGTGGCAGGCCAGAAATTATCTTTTGGATTTACCTGTTGGCGCTTTCTGCCACAATCAGGTAAAGTATTTAGCTCCTCCTTTTTGGATAGAATTCCAGAGAAGAATTGTCCAATCTGAAAACATGTATGTTAAATTCTTCAATATATCTTTGTTCAATATATAAATTCTATTTATAAGATTTATTTCAAGTTTTAGTTGTATAAACAGGATATTTAAGAACAAGTTTCTTTACCTTAGATGCTGAATAGTTAAAATTTCGTGCAGTTCCAAATTCATCACTTGACTGTGGAGTAGTTGTAAAACCATGTTTAACATTAGCTGATGTAAGCTCGTCTTCTTTCTGACGAGGCTCTTGTGGGTAGACATCAGGAGGTCCTAATCTAGGCCTCTTTAAAGGCCGTTTCTCATACATAATCCCCATCGTGTCAGAATGTGGGATCTTATCTGCGCGATTCACAAATTGTCCATGTAAATAGTGTCACAAAGTTTACAATATTCATAATGGGGCACTGTTCTTGGTACTTACCTTTCATCTAAAATCAACTTATATCATACACATTTTTTATTCTTATAAAATTATAAATGAATACTATGTACCTCTGGTTCAAATGTTAAATTAAAAATTAAATTATTTACTTAATTTTACTTAATAAACAATAAACACTAATTCTTCTTTTCTCATTAGTCTCTGATTTCTGAAATTTGACTACAGTAGCACAGATAAGATTAAATATATATCTGACATTTCTCTACGTGAGATAGATTATAAATAATATATATAAATAGGAAAACTAAGGAGGAACGACACTAGCAATAATAAGCACATACATGCAGCACTGTAAATATAAATTTACTAAATATTAGTATCGTTATAAAATAATATCTAAGTAAGTAAAGGTTAAATTTTTGAATCATTGAACATTTTTATTTCATTTTATTTTTTATATTATAAATAGATATATCATGTACATTGTGTCAACCAACTTTTTTAAATTTATAATTTACCCAGTTCTTTTAATAACAACTTTCTTAATTCTTACGCCTTCTTTGATTTTTAAATTTACGTAATATTATCAATACAATGTAGCTCCTCACAGTTATGATACGTACTCAGCTAATCAAAGTTAAAAAAGTAACAAATATTATATTATTATTATAAAAACAATAACCGAGAAAAATAAATATCATTAAATTGTTTTATTTAAATAAGTAAATCCTTCCAATGATATTATTTTTAATATTTAGTCGATATTCTTCATAGTACAAATTGTTCTTACTTCTTAATATTTCTGACAAGACAGATCTGATGGACATTGTTGTTCCTGGTCTATGATGGACATATTACTTATTAAAAACTAGCATGGATGACAAATAAAAGTTACTATACTCGGAATTATAATTCGATTCCACATTTGACATTAGCTACACCTACCCTACCCCAGCCTGCAAATTTATGATATGTGCAATGAAAAAAAATACTAATCGATAGATTTTCAATAGCTCAATTTAACTACGTAGCCCTTTCAAATTGCTCACCTTTAATTATGTAATTAAAAATCAATAAAGTCTTTGAAAAAAAATTAATTTATCTGTATATTCAAACTCCTATATCTTTTGATGTATACAATATTTCAAATTGCTCAAAGTTCTAAAACACTGCTCAAGTTGCATTTGTAATTGCTCAAGTAGAGTTTTTACCAGCTCCACTTTCGCTGATTATTAAATAATTAAAAGTATAGTTGTAATAAATGTAACGTAGGTTAAGTGAGCGTGCGCATGCGCACCGCGCATTGTCGGTCGGCCTCGGCGGGCTTGGACAATCGTTCCAATTCAACGTCTTAATTCTGTTTCTCGGTGGATTTCTTTATATTTATTGAATTTATGAATTGTTCACATTACGTGATTCCACTTCAGATATTATAACATAAAGAACAGATCTGGAATCTACCAATAAATGAAAATTAATACCAACAGATAAATTAAGACAAAATCTTATGTTCAAATGCTTATTCTATTAAGGTAATAGCCATGACAGGGATCATTAGTAAAATGTTATTAACATCAATACAAGACGGAACTTTATTTATTTTTAAATATACATATAGTTTAATGACATTTTTATTTCAAAGAAACAAACTGCATGAATATAAACTGCCTTTAATATAAAGGAATTTTGAACTCTGATCAGCAATCAATAATTTAATAATACTGCTACGATCCTTTTTAGCTCCTGGAAGCGCCACAAACATTCCATCTCTTGATGCTGAGCTGATCGCCTCTCGGATGTTTCATCTCATTTTCAACAGCTTCGTCTCATTCTTTGACTCCATCTCATTAGAGCCCTTAGTACCGTCCTCTTTTTCCTGATTAATTTAGCGGCGATGTTTCATTTTTCTTAGCGGGGTCCAGTTGTGGTCCGTTTACCGGCATTTATATATGATGAGGTTATGAAACACTTGATTTTTTTGCCTTGCGACTCGCGTTACTGTTTGCGCGCATGCGCAGCACTCACCTATCTATACGTTAAATTTATTCAAACTATTTATATTTATTTAATAATTAAGGAAAGTGGAGCTGGTGAGAACTCTACTTGAGCAATTACAAATGCAACTTGAGCAGTATTTTAGAATTTTGAGCAATTTAAAATATTGTATATATCAAAAGATATAGAAATTTGAATATACGGATAAATGAATTTTTTTTCAAGGACTTTATTGATTTTTAATTTTATAATTAATGGTGAGCAATTTGGAAGGGCTACGTAGTTGAATTGAGCTATTAAAAATCTATCGATTAGTATTTTTTTCATTGCGAATATCATAAATTTGCAGGCTGGGGTAGCCGGTAGGGTAGGTATTAGCTACTGTCATTTTGTAAAATAATGATACCGCATATAATAGTGTAGTGATGAACACAAAAATCGATAAACACAAAAATCGATAAACAATCGCGATTTATGTTTATATAATCATAATATTGGTGTGCCAATTAAAGACTAAATTATTGATTTTTATTTAAATAAATACATAATTATTCATAATAATTATTTATTAATTAGTAACCACTGCTTTATTTTATAAAAAGTTAATATTTTTGTTTTTTATATTAAAAACAAAACTTATAATAAAAGAGTCTAGATAGATAGTTTTCTGTATTGGCAACCCGTGCGCGTTCGTGCAGCTATCGCCATTTTGTTTATCTTGTCATTCGGCAGTCGGCTTCATTCTCCCAGTCTGACTGCACGAATATCTTGTTTCATTGCGAATCGATATTTTGTTATTTTGTTGGGTTTTTGCTATGTTGTGTTTGTTGTTATGTTTATAGTTTTTTGTGAACTTTGAGTTCTATTTGTTTTGGTTTTCCATCAAAATGGATCCTCAGCCAAGTACATCACAAAAAGACGTGGATGTTTTCTTGTCCCCAAGAAAAAAACGTCCACGAAAAGCTTTCACTGTTACTGAAAAAGTAATGATCCGCAACGCCTACAAGTATAATAACATAATAAAACCTTCAAATTGACAGACGTAAGAAATTTATTTGAGGGAGGCATTCAAAAAATTACGGCTACCGAATGGTCTAAATGCGTATCCCATGTTGTCAAAGAAGAGGAAAAAATGAGTAGGCTAGATATGTTAATTGACAATATCACAGACACATTTATAATAAACGTTACAGAAAGCGATAGCGATAGCGATGATGGCGACGATTTATAAAATAAAATATTACCATAATACATCTATTTGTATTATTTCTCATGTTCCTTCATGATCACATTTATTTATTTATTTCACACACTATTATTAAAGAAAACTCTCAGATCCTTAATAAAATTAATCGTCATAACTAAATTATCCGTTCAGAAATATTTAATTTCCTGATATACTTAGTTTATATTAAAGAAGTAGTTGTTTAGATATACTACTATAAACGAGAGGAATCGATCCGGAAATATTCCATTTCTGTATCGAATAATTTCGCAACATCACTATTTAGTACTTGTCATAACGTTGCAACACTGAAATTGTCAAATCTGGAATCGAATTAAAATTCCGAGTATAGTTAGAAATTAGAATAGATTGTGCCAGTTGAATTTGTATCTTATCTGTATGAAATAGAGTTTAATATTTATTTGTCATCCATCAGTTTGTTATTATTTGTTGTTAATGTATTGATGAGGGATTTTAAGAGTTAGTTTTGTTTACAATTTAAAAAAATATTTTTTCTTTGTACATAGCTGTTGTTGTATTGCAAACTACAATGCCACCTAAGAAACAACCAGAAAAGGGAAGTAAAAGTGGAGGTGCCAAAGGTAGCGGTAGTAAATCATGTGGCGACAGTAAAGGTTAGGATTTTTTTCATAATATTACTTCTGATTCAATTAAAAATTACTAACGTAATAAAGAGGATATTTCCTACTGGCTTAATGAATTTTATTTTGAATTTAGAAGCAGCAACGAAAGAGAAAAAAGGCGGGACAGCTGTCAAAGTAAGGCACATCTTGTGTGAAAAACAGTCAAAATGTTTGGAAGCTTTGGAAAAATTAAAAGCTGGACAGAAATTCCCTGATGTGGCTGCTGCTTATAGTGAAGATAAAGCAAGACAAGGTGGAGATCTTGGCTGGATGACTCGAGGCTCTATGGTTGGGCCTTTTCAGGATGCAGCTTTTGCTTTACCCATATCATCAATCACTAATCCTATATATACAGACCCTCCTATTAAAACGAAATTTGGCTACCATATTATAATGGTCGAAGGCAAAAAATGAGTGAAATGGTATTTGAATTTGAGTACTTCTGGGTGATACTTTTATTGTTCATTTTAGAAAGAATATGTTGCTTGCAAGAACAGTTTGATAAAGATTTCTCTATTTTGCCTGAACGTCAGAGTTCTAATGAATCACTAGACTCTAATATTGAAAATTATGCTAATAGAGAGTAAGTTAAACAATTTTTTATGCTCTTTGTATCAGTGTATTGTTTTCAAATATACAATTTTATGAATTAATTATTGCAGTTTTAGCCTAAAGCAGAGCTTCTTACGTCTATATAGGCTGATGCATGTGACAATACTATTCACATTTATATATTTTTGCAACATCTGCCTCTGGTTCCTGATGGCTAAAAAAAGCCCATCCAAAACACTTAAGTATAGAATAAAAGTAATACCCCCAGTTTAACATAATATGTTAATTATCCTAACAATAAATTGCATTTATACTGTTTGTCTTGTTTTATTACAAATTTTTCTCTGGTGCTTCTTCTAGTTTATGTATGATGTGGTATTTAAATTAAAAATGATTTTAATAATGCACACTTGACACCTTAAACACACTGTTAAATTAGGCCTCCATAGGTGTCCCTCTCTCACCACAAGGACACTTAATTTTGAGTGGTGATAAATACAAAGCTAATATTTATGCTTATATGGGAGTCATAACTCATACCCATGACTTCTAGTACATAAAAGATATCATAGATTTATTATCTAATTTGATAAATTTTAAGTTGTAACTTTAATTTGCCTAATTTGTGACATTTTTAAAATTAGGGTAAGGTAATATATAGCCTATTGGATAATGTTCTAGAATGCAGTGTAAATAAAAAACTAAATAAATTAATAGCAGTCTTTATTACCAGATTTGAATAAGTACTTATTTCAAAATAATTGTACTGACCACTTTTTTTCTTAAATACTGAAATAAATATAAATCAGGTAAAACCTTAATCTAGGGTTCATAATGTTGTTGTAATATCTTGAAGGTAAATTTTTCACATTCCTAAATAACAAAAGATGTTAAGTTATAAGGTATTTGAATGTATAAAGCATTTATTGATATTTTTGGGATCCTCTGAATTTATTATGTGGTTAACTTATTGCAATGTTTGTTAATTGTTACTTAAAGTCTCAAATTGGGGTTGGTGTATCGAACGTATTTGAGGAGTGCGTCGTTTTCTTCACACACGAAGGGTTTGCGGTGGTGGCAAGCAACATCGTGCCAGTGTACGCCGTCGTTGTAAAAGTTGTTTAGGATCGCCACACAGTGCTCAGCTGCTCCACCCTGGATCAGTTCCTATGGAGAATATATTATTGTTATTATTTGTTTCACATAACTTGGTTTTATTTATAACTTGTTGTTTCAAGTAGTGCATTTATGTGATATACCATAAAATACTATGTAATTTGTAAATGGGATATTTACATCGAAATTGGGAACAGTTAACATGTCGTTTTAAAATACTTGAAGAATAAAAAATTTAAAAATTGTATTGAAAAGTCAAATTTAATTGTTTGCGTGGCTAAAGTGTACGAAATATATGGTCTATTTTAATATCTTACAAACAAAAATCCTAACTTCAGTATAGACTATAGAAAATAAAATCGATAAACATAAAAAAACATACATATGCAGATGAACTTAGAACCTCCTCCTTTTGGAAGTCGGTTAAAAGAACATTTATAGCGTATAACAGAAAGTTTTGATTGTTATATAAGAAACCGCGTAATACAGGGCCTTGACGCGTTGCAAGCAATTGTGGCGTAAAGCGGATGCGGATGATCCGGAGAACCGCAGAGATATGCAACTTTAAATTTTTACTGTTGCTTATTCGGCTTGGCGAAAGTGGATCCAAACAAATGTCGCGACGACTGCCGAATACCGATGAGCTTTTGTTATACAGGTTGCTGGTAGAAAGTGGGTTGAATGCGGGTACGCCCTACGGCGAATAATTCGCAGGCCTATAAATATTTACACCGCTTTCGTTTTCATTACGCGACATTCTATAGTTTTAAAACATGGTTTACAACAAATATTACTCAACTGGCAGTAATTATGGGTTGTGTAATGTGCATGATTTGGTAATATATTTGCTGATACGTAATGGTAAAGTTTAAAATTTATGGAAATTATGTTTTTTTGCAAATTATCGCCATTTACAGTGTTATATTATTAATAGAATATTTGATATTACCAACATTGTAAATGAAATTTATGTATAGTTATATATAGGAAGCATAAAATATTATTTCACGAGATTACAACGTGCTTACTGAGTAAAGATATGTTTCTGCTTATAATTACCCTATTGTCTGGTTGAGGTTTTCCGATGCCGCCGCCCTCAGACCAGTCGTTTTGCTGCCTGTTAGTAGTGGGAGCCAACTTCTGCAGCTCAGCCGTCCAGAACCAGCCGTTGATATCGTTAGGCAACAAGTCGGGGCGGTTGCAGCCCTTGAAATCGCACAAGCGGCCGGAAGTCCAGATGTATTTTACCTAATTAAGATAAATTATTAGTTATAAATTGAATTGTTATAAATATAATATATCAGTATCATTAATGTACGATTACCTTATTATAGGTACAAAATTCCTTTACTAATATTTCTTTAATGATATATGCAGAGAATAAAATGTAAAATATAGGTTTTGATAACAATAAAAAGCTATTTAAAGCGCCATCATTTTTTCTTTCATATTTTAAAAACTTAATGGGTGAGTAAAAAAGTATTTAAAGAAAGAGAAACGTGTGTGTATAATGTGAGTTTAGTGTTTACGTAGTAACGAGGTGCTTATAGAACATAAATGTCGTACATGTTTGCTTTAATTACACTATGTTAAAGCGATCCCACGAGTTACGAGGTGAAAAACGCTATCGCTTACAAGAAGTGAAACTTAGAAAAGGAAAATTAACTATGTATTGTTCTTGAATCGCATGACAATATACTACTGAAGTTTGTCAAATTCAACACATGTTTCATAAATATTTGAAACTACATTTTAAATTACAGGCACGTCGAATCGTTAACAATTCCAGGCTCTACTTTCTATTTCATTTGTTTTCGTTTTGAAAAAAGATTTTCACTTTATAATGTAAGCAATGGGCGATAGATATGTAAATGTGTAAAATTGTGACATGCGTGACCGTTTTTCGGTAACTCCTGACTAATTCGTGCCGCAGTTCAAAGCCATGTGTGTCAAGGGTACTTTAGGCGTTGTGATCTTTTGTTCGGGGTAAATTGCCTCTAACTTACGTAAATTACATAAAAAATATTTTAAAGAAATATCTGTAGTATAATTTCTATTCAGAGAATCAGACAGGAAAAGCCTTGGCAGAATTCGAACATCTTTGCCTAAAATGTATGCAGTGAAGAATGTATCTGGAATTTAAGTTGAATCTAATAGGAATTAAATGTTAATTCGAAGTGAGTCCGCATTGCAAGATGCAAAGTTTGATGTTAGATCGTGTATAAATAATTTACCTACTTAAAATCTTTTCAAATTTTTTAGAATACCTAATAGTGATTAATATATTATAATAGTCTAAGGATATTAAATGTAATCAAAAATCATTTGGTATATATGGACTGTTTTTAATTTAAAATTATGAATTTCAAAATTTAAAAAACCCCCTACGCAAATTAATTGTCATTTAACGATTACACTGACACGCGTGAACTTAATGAGTAATTATACGCCAAAATGCTTTACATCATTTTGAAAAAGAGCTGATACTCTTACACTTTTTTTTAAAGTTGGGAAATGCATTTACGCACGACGTGTAGGACTCACCGGCGTAATATAGCCAGTACTACCCACTAAAACCCAAAAAAACCTTCCCCCGTCTTAATGGGGCGTCGCAGGATCGCTTACGCATTCAACTACGACGCCCCGACGGCAGGTCTGCCGAAGCAGACCACCACAACCATGGGGTTGCTCCAAGGTCCACTCTGCTATCAGAGAAGTACCAGGAGCAACCCGCAAGGTACACCGCCCCCCGAAGAGGGCCACCTCCCACCACCTACCGAAGTGGGCAACCTCCCTGTGCGTTTATTAGCTTCGCGCCCGGTTGGATTGCCGGGCACTACTGAGCCCCCCCCACCACGACAAGGTGACCGCACGTTGGGGGGGAGATACTCTTACACTGCTGGACCGATATTAACCCAACATAGGTAAGAACCACCGCAAGGAAACTGGTCTTCAAATGAAAAAAACCGCATTAAAATCGGTCCATCCGTTTGAGAGCTACGATGCCACAGACAGACACACACACAAACACAGACAGACATCGACGTCAAACTTATAAAACACTTCTTTTTGCGTCGGGGGTTAAAAAGTATGGAAAATTAAAAAAGAAGGTGTCGTAAAATTTAACGGAAGCTGCGCAATGTTATTTTCTATTACATATGTACTACGGCCATAACAGTTGCAAGTTTATCAAAAATACTTAATTATACCTTATCCTGTACAATGCGGGCTTTCACCCACTCGTTTTCGTCACTGGTTTCCAAGGATACGAGGTCCATGCAGCGTTGACGGCAGTAGTTCCTAGCACTCAGCCAGTCTTCTTCTACTCCACGTAACGACGGATCTTTCCACGAGAAGAAGTAGCCCTTATCTAATGAAGATAAATATATCGTTGCGTAAGATATTTACACAGAAAATAATAATTATACATAAGAACAGTATTTTTTAGTATACTTATTATAAAATCTATTATAGGTATTATTACCTACTAACAATATAAAATAATGGTTTATTGATCCGATAGTTATTTTAGCATGGTAGATTTTGTAATAGTTACACGATACTTTACTTATACTTAATAGCGATTTGTAAATAAAATATGCTATTCATAAATAGGTACTTATAAAACGCGGGTAGGTGTACATACACGAATTTAAGATTTATTTATTTTAATGTTTAGTACCTAAAAATAGAAAGTTATGAGTAATTTAAAATATATTTTAAATGTGTAATTTAAAATATATTCTAAATGTGTAATTTAAAATATATTGTAAATTAATACTCTTGGGGAAATCTATCCCACGGGAACCGTACATTTTTCCGGCATAAAAAGTAGCCATGTGTTATTCTGATGTACGAGCTATATTATTGTATAGTTTCATTAAAATCCATTCAATAGTTTTTGCGTTAACAAATAACAAACATCCATACATCTATATGTACATCCAGACATCCATACATTTTCAAAAACTTTCGCATTTATAATATTAGAAGGATTTAAAATGTTACTGCGTTCCTGTTGAAATTCAAGTACCTACGTAAAATTTCAATTTTTTTAAACATAAAGTGAAAGAAGTCTCGAGAAGTAAGTATCTTTGATAGACCGACATACATAGGTAGATATCTAGGATTTCCATCTAAACCTTTGGGTACGGTTCTTAAAAAATATTAAGATTAGATATTCGAGTGTGAATAATTTGTGAAAATTGTTGAACGTAATATTGCTTGTAGACATGATATTATTGTTAGTGGCATGAGAACGACTGTCGATGGAAAAGTAACTTTCCATATAGACTGATAAAAAAAAAGTTACTATTGTTTAGTGCTATTTAAGGTTAATTTTAAATATAGGTAACGTTTTTTTATACATTATAAAAATAATTGAATTATTACAATAAACAAAAAAATAGCCGCCCGAACAGGGACTTGAACCCTGGACCCTTGGATTAAAAGTCCAATGCTCTACCGACTGAGCTATCCGGGCTCTACAAAACATGTATAAATTAACAAACGTATTTTCGTGTCCACATTGCGCGCTTAAAATAATTTATTATGAATTTTCATTACAATAACACTAATAGGTTTAATTTTATTTAAATAGGTATCTAAAAAGTTTGTTTTAATAATATGCAACAAATATTTTACAAAAAAGTTAAGAATACATTACAGGATCTACGAGATAAAAAAGTTTCTAGGAATCTTTTAAATCACGTTGTGGAGTAGAATTTTTATTTTTAATCTTGTTTAAAGTTGTTATCGGATGCATTTTAAAAGTCCCGTTTTGAAACAGGTTTACTTCTTATCAGGTATCCGGGAGAGATTGTGATAAGCGTCGCTGACTAGCTTGAATTAGACTACTGGATTCTTATCTTCCTTCTATGGTTCATTTATGGTTCATATATATATATATATATATATATATATATATATATATATATTTATGTATTTTCGTGTCCACATTGCGCGCTTAAAATAATTTATTATGAATTTTCATTACAATAACACTAATAGGTTTAATTTTATTTAAATAGGTATCTAAAAAGTTTGTTTTAATAATATGCAACAAATATTTTACAAAAAAGTTAAGAATACATTACAGGATCTACGAGATAAAAAAGTTTCTAGGAATCTTTTAAATCACGTTGTGGAGTAGAATTTTTATTTTTAATCTTGTTTAAAGTTGTTATCGGATGCATTTTAAAAGTCCCGTTTTGAAACAGGTTTACTTCTTATCAGGTATCCGGGAGAGATTGTGATAAGCGTCGCTGACTAGCTTGAATTAGACTACTGGATTCTTATCTTCCTTCTATGGTTCATTTATGGTTCATATATATATATATATATATATATATATATATATATATATATATATATATATATATATATTTATATATGGTTTTATAAAGTTTAAAATATTTGTAACAAAAACTTATTTACAACGACAGCATTAAACCTACATAATATTATGTATGAAGCTATAAGGTAATAATTACTAAAATTATATATATGTATATATGTGTATATATATATATATATATATATATATATATAGTATAATACTTACTGTCGACAAATCTCTCGTGTATTACGCGCTGTGCACATTGCGCGGGTACCGGAGGCTCTAGGATACGTCCGTTGGGAAACTGCGCGTGCGCAACGGCAAGCACCGATAATAGCAGTAGTTGCTTCATTGTCTATAATAATAAAAACTTTGGTTAAAATAATAATTTAATATACGAACTAACTACGAACTAAGAGGCAGTGGTAGCCCAGTGGTAACGCGCTCGCTTGGAAAACCGAGTGATGCGGGTTCAAATCCCGGGTCTCGCACCTCTGATATTTTCATGTGCGAATCATTTCTAACATGATGACCACTTGCCTTACGGTGAAGGAAAACATCGTGAGGAAACCTGCATGTCTGAGAGAACCCAGCAAGTTTTCGAAAGACATGTGAAGTCCGCCAACCCGCACTTGGCCAGCGTGGTGGAATATGGCCTGATCCCCCTCGTATTGAAGGGAGGCCCGTGCCCAGCAGTGGGACGGTAAAAAGGGCTGAATACATACATACATACATACGAACTAATATTTTAACATAAACATTTTTTTTAAGAATATCATAAATTGCTATATTTTAAATTTTGATAAATATTAGGTTTAATTCTGATGAAATTAATTCTTATACCGCATCCAAAAAAATTTTTTGTACCTAGTCTTTTTCTAACAATATTTTTAAGATTTATGAACTGATTTTAAATATACAAGTTAATATAGAGTTCGACGACCGATGTAGTCATTTACGACTCCTACACAATATAATAAATGATGGTCCTAATGGATTCATATTATTGTAGCGGTATTTCCCAAAAACATATTATTTACAACAATTTTTTTACAGTTACGTTACAAAGGTAGCTAAACTTGTTATTGGAATTTTATTCGCAAACCAATATCACCTTAGAGGATCTTATAGGATGCAAATTTAATTAGATTGTGAATCAATATTTTTTGTCACGATTGTTAAATGCCAGTTTATTTTTGTATCTCTAAAGGTCAAACAATCATATAGTTAGATACTTCAACAATAGCTTATATGAATACACGTAATCGTTAAGGCTAAAAGGATTTCCAGATTACGTAGACGCTAATCGTTACCTCATACGAGGTGCGTACAAAAATATCTAACAATTAAGCTTATTATTTCTTCTTATTAGCTAACAAGTGCAAGCTTTACTATAAAGTTGTTTACAAACACTTTCCATTGAAAACTTTATAATGGATTATGTAAGAATTCGTGATCTGGACCGGTTCTAGGGCTATAGAAAGCGACCTTGCCCTCGAGATGTTTCGATGATCGCGTGACAAATTCCGACCTTTATCGATTTATATTTTTTAATTCACTAATATAGGTACACAATTTGATTTATAAATTTTATATATTATGTTAATTGATCCATTTGTATGTTACTGTTAAGTTTAATTTATTTGAATATTGTTAGCTTATTAATAAATGCTGTAATAAAAGACGCAATGCTTACACAAATTGGAGGTTTTTTCAAAATCTATAAACTTTAACTTTTAGTAATTAATATTTGTGTAGATATAACATAAAATGAAAGAAAAAATCTTCGAAGTTAAAAATAAATTATAATATAATACGTCGCGTATGAATATATAATATTAAAAGTATCAATTATTATTAATGAATATTTTTAAATAAAGCCTTAAGTAACTGTTAACTGCCTGTAAGTATGTTCATAAGTGTATGAACTACAGCATAAAAAAGTACTCACGATATGGTGCGTCTGTTCTCCTTATTCGTCACTAACTGATGCGCCGGCGCGTTGCGACGTTTTATATGTAGAGGAAAGTCTGGCGTCCGGATCTTCCAAGCGTACTTACACCCCGTGGGATATTTACACTCAAAACATTATTAAAGGACAATTTTACTATCATTTAATAATTATAATATGTCATATTTAAAGCTTTTCCAAATCAGACTATCTCTATGTAGAGATTATATATACAGGTGACTTTAAGAATAATTATTATACAAATTTTTTTTTATAAATACATATCTATTACGTAACAACAAATTATCAACGTTTTAATTTTAGTAATACAGAATTTGTTTTACACAGGTAATTATACAAATAATATTAAATTACGACCATTCAACTTCATATGTCAAATAAACTTAATTTTAAAAATAACTGAAAATTGTATGTTTATTTAAATTTGATTTTTAATATCGTACACTGTATATACTAATATTACATAGTTAAAGAGTTTGTTTATTATTTTGTTCGTTGCCATTTTTACGCGCTAATCTGAGAAATTATTACTATAATAGATTTTATTAGTAAGAAGACAAATTCTTTTTACATTTTTTTCCTTTTGAGGAAGGAAGGTCAGGAAGGCTATCTAACATAAATTACGCGATCAGTGCCGCGGGCAGTTATAATAAGTTATGCGTGGATGTATTTTTATGTTTTAACTAGCGACTCACCCTCGCTTCGCTCGGGTCCGTCCCTACTTACGGTTTAACGTTTAGTGTCGATTTCTCAGAGATGAGATATTTTCCCGCACTAAAAAGTATCTTATATGTTGACCCAGATAACCAGCTATCATCATACCAAATTTCATCAAAATCCCTCCAGTGGTTTTTCCGTGATGCGGTAACAGACAGACAAAAATTCAAAAAAACTATAGATTCGGCCTCTGTATCGACAATAATGTCTATTTCATATATAAATAGTAATGTTTATTAAGATTTTCTAAAAAATATTTAATGTACAGATTCGGCTTAGTTACAATTTTATTATATGTATAGATATATAGAAATTAATATAGTTAAATCTAAATTAACATAACAGTAGGTATGCCCATATTTAATGTATAAACAAAGATTTCGGTGAAGATATTTTTTGTGCTTAAAGCTTTTTTAATATAGCTTTACTAGTACTAGATATGTATCTGTTATCTCATATCTCAACAAAACGAAGCGGACCTATTAGCTCAATGCTTTGTTTTTTTATCATTAGGTACAACAAGTGCAGTAAAGTTAAGTAAATTCTGTACAAAATTAGTCATGGAGAAATTCGTTGGCAAAACATCTTCAAGGCGAGGATGACTAAGTCTACACAATTTTGATAATACAGAAAAGATTACAATATTATGAAAGAAAGTATGCGTTTTTATGTAGGTACTTGTGGTTATTAAGACAAGTCTCTATCTACTTAAATATTTATCGTTTTTATAAATTTTACTAGCAGTGCCCGCGGCTCCGCCCGCGTTCAGATTACCAAAAACCAAATTTTTAGGTTTTATATATTAGTATACTCTTACAATGCAATTTTTGTATTTTTCTCATAAATCAGATATTTTCCCGCGGTAAAAAGACTAGCGACTTACCCTCGCTACTTTCGGGCTTATCGCTAAATATGTTTTAACGGTTAGTATAGATTTCTCAGAGATGCGATATTTCCCCGTAGTAAAAAGTATCCTATATGTTGACCCGGATAACCAGCTATGCCCTGGATCTCCTTGCCGGCGGCTCTATGCCGGCATCGTGAGGTCCATGGCACTGTACGGTGCTCCTGTTTGGATCGACGCCCTCGCCGCTGAGAACAGGGCCCAATTGCGCAAGGCGCAGCGGGTCCTGGCGGTGAGGGCGATACGGGGGTACCGTACGGTGTCCTTTGAGGCGGCGACGCTTCTGGCGAGCGATCCGTCCTGGGAACTCCAGGCGAAGGTGCTCGCCGAAGTATACCAATTTCGGGCGAGTGAGCGCGGGTGCGGGGAACGTCCGGCGTGGAAGGGAGTCGTTCGGATCAGGCGCCTAGCTGACGAGGCCCTGATCCGGCGCTGGTGGGAAGATCTGGGGACTCCGGCGGCTGGTCTGGCGACGGTGGGTGCGATTCATCCGTACCTGTCTCGCTGGGTCAGGAGGCCACACGGCGTCCTGACGTTCAGGCTGACGCAGATGCTTACCGGGCACGGGTGCTTCGGTAAGTATCTGTTTCAGATTGCACGTCGGGAACCGTTGCCCGTATGCCACGAGTGTGGTGCGTCCGAGGACACCTCGCACCACACCCTCGCGGTATGCGCCGCATGGACTCCCCAGCGCCATGCCCTGATGGCGGTAGTGGGTGGAGACCATTCGTTGCGAAGCGTGGTGGGGACCATGCTACGCGACGCGAGGTCCTGGTCGGCGATGGTCTCCTTCAGTGAGACCGTCATCTCACTGAAGGAGACGGCGGAGAGGGAACGCGAGGCTAACGCCTTAGCAGACCCTCTTCGTCGCCGTCGGCTGGGGGGAGGAGGCGCCGGTATGTGCATCTTCTCCCGCCACCCTAGAGGAGCTACCGCGGGGGGGTCTCTCGTTGACTCCCCTGCACGTCATCGGGGCGGTCGGGATGCCCTGCGAACCGAGGGCATCCTGATTTAGGCGAGGCTGGCCCGCGTGGTACGGGCCGTCCGCAGGGGTGTTGCAGTGAGTGCGAAAGCGATCCTGCACGCCCCATTGCACTGCAGCGAAGGGTTCCGCTGTGGGTTTTAGTAAGTAGGAGTCTCACAGTACCCTGCCCATGACGGCGGCAGGGTCCCCATGATGGGTTTCCCCAGCGAAAACAAAGAAAAAAAAAAGGATAACCAGCTATCACCATACCAAATTTCATGAAAATCCCTCCAGTAGTTTTCTCGTGATGCGGTAACAGACAGACACACAGACAGACAGAAAAAAATTCTAAAAACTATAGATTCGGACTCTGTATCGATAGTAATGTCTATTTCAATTAGATTTTCCAAAAAAATATTTAATGTACAGATTCGACTTAGTAACAATTTTATTATATGTATCTATAGATTACTTATGTTAAAAGTTTAGATCATTTATAAATTTTAGGTGTTTTACTTCAAGGATTAAATGACGACAAAATTCGCATGGGTCGATATAAAAACAATATTTATAAACATGCATAGTAAAATTTATGAAAAACCCATTTCAATGAGTCTAGAACATTCTAGGGCAGACAGGTGGCGTACGTGTGTGTATTGCTAATCACAGATTTCTTTGTACGTGTTTGTTGCCATTGTCAACGTTTGGTGGATGGTAAAATTACTGCACTTAAGATTTTACCATCTTTAAGTAGACACCATTCATGAAACAAAGAAAAAATAATAAAGACTTCCCTTAAGACCATTATAAACTATTGCGAAACAACCTATTTGATTTAATATTTTTGAATAGGTATTTATTTTAATAGGTATTGTAAGGAATAGGTATTGGACTTTACATGGACCAATACTCATATTGGCTTAATAAATATTTTATAAGGTATCTTAAACTTTTTATTTTGTAGAAAATTGCAAAGGCATAAAATTTGCATGGCATAAACTGTCTTTTATGCATTTTGACTTCCAAGCATTCTTATGTAGAATATTATGGAGTATTGAATCACGTTATTATAAACTAATAACTATCCTTTAATCGTGTGGTCTGAAGTTATAAAATGTCATGTCAAATCAGGATCTGTAATTACCAATCATGTAGTTGTACCAAGTACCTAGTATAAAAAAACAGAATAAATAATACTCACGATTTCTAAAAAGAAAATTAAAATAAAACTAACAGAATGAGAGGTTTTTTATCTAACACTGTATTATAGAGTCACCTTAGCTATTTGTTTCCATCCACGACATACAAGTTTAAAGACGACAACAAGTTTATAGTTTTTAAAACATAAATGGATAATAATTGTTTTATAAGTTCACTAACCTATCTGTTTTTAGTTTAGTGTAGTTTAATCCTATGTATTTTACGCATATTAATGAAGCGTGCCTACGAAATACGAATCTATTTCTTCATTTTATTTAATAAAATATAAAATGTGAATCGAATTTAATATAATGTCTGGTTTAGTAGATATAGATGTCACGTATGTATGTATATAGTTTGATATATATGGGATTTATCACTAAGAATTCTACGACATAATTTTTTGGTTAAATTTTGATATATTATTTATATAGAATTTAAAAATGTATTCATTAGTAACAATGGACTCTTATTTTTTAATCATTTTCAATCCCTTAAATACCCAGATTATCTAAAAGCAAGGCAAATCTTAATTTTTTTATAGTTTACGCAACTAATTAAGTATATGGATCAATATTTAATGTAAATAAAACACATGAACTATTTGCTCTGCTAATTCTTTGTCAATAATTAATCAAAAATTACTAGAACGAGCTTCTTTGCCGACCTTGTACCGTGTACGTTTTCTTGAAAAAAGCAGATAGTTAAAAGTAAATACAATATAATTTCACAACTTATGTTAAGATTAATGCTTATGTATAGCGTATGTAAATACTAGCAGAACCCGCGGCTTCGCTCGCGCTAAACTACAACAAAAACTCTAAGAAGGTAGGTTTCATACAAACTTTCATCCGCTATTTTACCCCCTTAAGGGAGGAATGTGGTTTTTTTTTTTAAAACACGTACTTATTTAATTGTATTGAAGCACATTAATACTAAGTTTCAAGTAATTCTGACCATAAATAATTTTTTGGGTCGTCTTATAACGTGTTTTCCCGTGGGAATGAGATAATCTCCCGCGGCAAAAAGTAGCCTATATGTCACTCTCCAGTCTTCCCACCATCTCCACACAAAAATCACGCCAATCCGTCACTCCATTTTGACGTGAAATAAGGACAAACAAACAAACACACTTTTTAACCGACTACCCAAAAAAAGGAAAAAAAAATTGTCGGAATCTTTTTTTTAATGTATGTTCACCGATTACTCGAAGACACATCAACCGATTTGAAAAAAAATTTCTTTGTTTCAAAGGGTATACTTCCCCGGTGGTTCCATATAAATTTTATCAAAAATCGGTAGAGCGGTTTTTTTTAAATCAACAAATAAATATTTTTTTTAAACAAATTGCTTAATC